TTCTTAATATAGATATCTCAAGTAATTTCTAGATGTGTGAGAACTCTCATTGAATAGATGATCATTGTACATACAGTAATCACAGCTAAGTAGGTTCTTCAAGTATAATCTTCCCCTTTGCAAGCAACTCATGGTTGTATTACTCTCTCTGAATCTTAGATCAGTATAAGATGTAAAAATCAAGAAGATTTAGATTTGAAAAACAATTTTGACATCTGATATTGATGAGAAAATGAGAAAGACAGTGTATGTTCTATCATTTCTGATTTGATTTCTGTAACATTGACTTTTGGAAACACTATTCAGCATCTGTTCATCTAATCAATTACTATACCAAGTTTGAAGAAAAATATTATACAGTAAAGTGGTGATTGCAAAAATTAGGAAAATGACCTGGATTTTAACCTTGACCTATGAATAAGGGTATTGTTGAAAATACTAGAGCAATTTAGAATCCCACAATAAATTTTATGAATATTGAACTTTAAGAGTAGCCACTAAAATTAGAAAAAGTTACTGACTTTTAAGGTCTTGATTTCCCAAATCTGAGTGTATATCTGTGATATTGTTTTAACTGATATTGTTTTAACTTATTTTAAAGTCAAAATGAAGATTTTAAAACATTGATTTTTTAAACTATTTTCAATCTGGAGTCTAATAAAGGTCAAATGATATCTTATTTAAGGCAGGTTTGACCATTTCAGTGTTCATCATAAGTCATATTAAAGGCAGAATCAGATCTAGCAAGATCATGAAAAATTGTTTCAGTTTTAGAAAAGTATAGTCTATATACTGTATTTGAAAAAAATAATACATGTAAATGTACATTCATTTTTCTGTAAATATGGCTACCATTTTATTATTTGGGAGAATTTAAACATTTTTTCCCCATTTTGGCAATTGGAATCCTCAATAACATCACCATGTACATGTTGCTTGCAATTTTGTGACTCCCTGATTCTGCCATTAAATTGCTACATTATGTTTGCTGTATCATCTGCATCTTTATACTGTACAAATAAAATGACACCTTCACGTTTCCAGACTCAGACAGGCTCAGTATGACAGTATGATGAATAACGGATTAACCATGTCAACCCATATTTAATACTGAAGATACACTTAAGTTGACACTACTTAATTTGGTGGATTTGCTCAATTTCAAATATTGGCGGCTATTTAATTTGGCGGAGTCAGGACTGAGCTCAAGTTTTATCATAGATCTGGAAATAAACATTTCAGATTCATGTGTTCTGCTTTCAGAAAGTCTTGGTACAGCACTGACATCCAAATAGGAATACTTACACAAGGGAAATAATTGCAAAGTACTAATTCTATAGGGATTTTCCAAAATAGATCTGTAAAGTTAAACTTTACAGACCAACGAAACGATATGCTTTATACATTAAATGATGTATGTGCTGACAATCCTGATATAAACCTTAACTCTCAAAATGTTATCAAAGACACAATTCTCTTTGGGAACAAATTGACGATACAAAACAGTTGACGATAACGAACGATTGATTTTGGCACTACACAAATTTATAAAAAGTACGAAGAGATTTTAATTTTTTTGTCTAACTTGAGATGTCCTCTCTACCCAAGTCCATTGTAATATGTTTGTTTTTTCTTTATCTTTATTGTAACTGCATGTATTTAAATTCTGTACTTATATTTGTATCATGTAATTGAGAAGCATTTACATTAGCAAATATGCTATTTTGCTAATCAGAATAAATATAGTATAATGACAAACAAAATAGATATGAAAGTTGGCAGATTTTTAATTTGGGGGATATTTTCAATCCGCCAATCTGTCAAATTAAAACGGAAGCCAAATTAAATGTATCTATAGTAAGTGAGGCGATGTATGAGTCACATTGTATGCATTGAACTGAAAGTGTTTAGACATGTGCATATCATGCATCAATGATGGAGTAATGAATTCAAAATTGCCAAATTAAATACTTGTTCAATGCATTTCTTGTTATAAGGAATATACCAAGATGGCCAGAGCCGTTTAAATTTAGAAAAATTAGAAGGTATTGTCAATCAACATTACTGACAAAACTGCCAAATTAAATAGACGCCAATATGTCCGGTATTCAAAAAACGGCAAATTTAAGACGATTACAGTATTAAATGGTAAAATCAGATAGAGAAAGCTATTTTACTAGAGGCTATCATTATTATTGGTACATTTTACATTTTTTATTTTGCCGGACTGGACTGGAAACTGAAAGTGCTTCAAAAGACCAATGTTTACTTTTGTATTTACACATTTTATCATTTATTCTTCAATAAAATTCAGCATATACAGGGGTTTCATCAGCAGCAGGCAACAGGCGATTTTCACTGGTTGTTTTCACATAATCGCCTGTTGTTTTAAAGGACTTTTCAACTTTTGCATGTTAAATTTATGATTTCCATCAATTTTTCCAGTTGTGTTCATTTATTTAGCCTGTTGTGAGAAATTCTAGTGAAACCCCTGTAATATAGTAAGGTATCATAAGTTTTGTTTTAGAATTTGTTAGTTTGTTTTTAAATGAGAATCAGGCTGGGATGTCGTTTGATAATTTGTCACCCTTTTATAGTTAATAGTTCTGCGCCAGAATAAGATATCTTAACAAATGATACTTACTCCTGGTTTGGATCAAAGCAAGGATGAAGTTACCCATAAATACAATAATGAACTGACTTATTACTGTAGATCATGCCCAGAGAACATTACAACAAGATCTAATGAAAATCTTCAATAACATAGAAATACGGAAACGTATGTGTATGAAGGTAACTTGAAATTAAATATAGTAACTGTGTAATAGAGTATGCCCTGCCTTGCTTCGCAATCATCTCTGCTTATTTGATTGTTCAGATATGTTGATGTCAGCTATATAGTATATGAGTCATCCAGACACACCCTTTTTAATCATTAACCCCATTCAGCCACATTAACAACATCAGCTCTTTAATCCAAACCTCTTCAGTACCATCCAAGAGAGACATGTTTACAACACCCGAAATAGGGTAAACTATGACAAACCCAAAATTCGAACAAATTATGGTAAAGCTTTGATATCTTTTACTGCACCATCAATTTGGAATTCATTACCTATTGAAATAACATCATCTGGAAGTATTTTTATTATGAAAAAAGATAGTAGCATTCATCACACAAGCAGATCCCCAATCTGTACATTTCATGTTTGATGATAAACACGGGAATATACACAAGAAGTGTCACCTGTTGTTGAAATATATATGAATAAATAAATAAATAAAAATAAAATAAAAAAATCACAGTCAGATACATTTGCATCAACTCAGCTTGATGGCAGCAAGCATCATTGACTGTATCACAATATTTCACCCTCAATTTTCATATAAAACTCTGAGAAAATTGGCCCTTTCTCTCGCAGAATTCAGCATTTCAACTCGCAGAAAACTAGGGGGTATATCATGCATTCCTTATTACTTGGATTAGTGGCCTGTTATAGGAACAATTCATTGAGTGTTATTTGATTCAAGGTTGTGTTTGGCCAAACTGCAGCTATACCATGCTTCATATTAATAGAATAATGCATATATCTATAGAACCAATATATTTCCTGACAATCAATGATAATCAGTTTTCTATCAGTTATGGAATTTGATAGAAATCCCATTTAATAACTGTTCTATATGAAAATGGCTCTGAGATAATTACAATGTGGATGCTAACCTGAAATCCAGAGACTATCAGTAAAAATCTTAGTATCTCATATAATAATATTAATTAATTAATAATAATACATAATATTATATTCACAAAGATATTCAAAAGATTTTTATGGCAATGTTTGTTATATTTTACTTATCACATTGGTTTAAATATGAAAGGTAATATCAGCTATAAATAACATACTGTAATGTGATGGAAACATTCAGTTTAGTCGCCTGATTAGAGTTGTTAAATATAAAGATTTAAAAGTTAAGATTTTATTGAATCATCAATTTTATAAGATTAATCTCTATCATCATTACAATTTTTTGTACTTTCCTGAAATGCGATTTTATTTCCAAAGGGAGATCTGCTATTTATAAATTCTGAATGATTGATATGGTGTTAAAGATATATGATTTAAAGTATTCTTTCCTACATAATGCAAGGTTTTTGTATTAAAAATAATTTGTTGTAGTAGTTGTAAAAGTAGAAGGAAAGGGAAATGGAAAAAGGAAATAGATTTGTTATCTAATATTGATGAAACAACAGATGTTCAAACAATAGTTTATCAGTATTTCATATACTGTAGTTAGATATCAAGCTAGTGTTGCAATGATTGATTGTTGCATACTAGGTTGAAAGAGATGTTTTCTCTGTCTCAGAAACCTTATTATGATATGTCTGTTATTTTTATTGTTTATAAGTCATGGTTTAATTTAACAACTTTTTGGGGTAAACCCCATTTTTATATGCCCGAGTTGTACAAATACCATAATTTATACACTTTCTGGCTCACAGGGTGACCCTATGGAATCACCTACTTACCCGTTTGTCTGTCCAACTGCATATCCAGCCATCTCTCTAGCCATCAACAATTTGGCTATTTTCTGAACAAATGCTATTTTCAATTTGATGATGATCTCTATACTGGTAATTTAGACCACCAGTTCCAGGTCTGACTTAAGTCATTTTTGAGAAAGCAGCTTTTACTTGTCAGATCACATTTCTTACAATATCCAAGTCTGTATCATTTATATTGTTCCCAAATCAGATAATACATGTTATGATTGATATTGGGATTAGTAGCAGTGTCAATTTCAAGTTCTCGAGTTTTATTCTTTTCAATGGACACTCCATACATTTTGCTAAAACTTCTTGATAGTATATAGATTTTTGCGATTATTCTTATTTATCATTTATTTATTAGAACATTTTATGAACATTTACAAATGTATGTAAATGATTTAAATCCAAAATAATTTATGTTAATCATGTTTAATTCTGTGTTTTTCAGGGGAAGAGTTTGAACTGGAATCCTAGCATGTCTATGGGAGGCATCTCCAATAATAAGTTTCAGTTTGGGAGCCCCTCGTATCCCTCTCCTTTGGATAGGGTTCGCACAGGGAAGCGGGAACGTGCAGCTCAGCTTGGACTTGCTCCGGGATCAGATGAGTCATTTGATGCTAACCAGTCATTTCCAAAGCAAAACAAGCCAAAACTGAAAGACATAAAGACACCAGAGTTCAAAGTAACTCTAGATGACTTTAAAGGTGGGTATCTGAATGTCTATTAAGATTTGTGCCTTTCAATGTTATATCTACAAACATAGTTAGACCAAGGGATATAGTGAAGCCCCCTGTCCATCCATATGTCAGTCTGTCCATCCGTATATCCATCCATCTATTGCAATAATTTAAGAAGTAGAATATTCACATGGACTTGAACGTAGTTACTCCTATAACATGATGACTTTTAAAATACCATACTTTTTAACACCTTCTTATTTTCGACATCTCGTCTCAAAGGTATATCTGATTTACATATCCATTTACAGGTGGGGACGTTTTGTCATGTTATGCCTTGTTGAAAATAAGCATGATGGAATGAGTAGACAATGAGAAGCTGAAATAAGCATTGAAAATATACTGAAAAGTATTTTGAAAGGATACTACAACAATAATAAGTGACATTTATGTTTAATTATTATTTCATATTGTGCACACCCTCATAAAAAAACCAATTAGATGATTGGCCCATATTAATGAATGAAATGAAGGGATTCCCTTGGCATTAATGAATATTTTGGCATTATGCACCACTGAGAGTGTGCAATATAAAGAGTATTCACTTTGATAGTGTGTTATTTCTTTTTGAAATAAATAAAGTAGATGGATAGAGTGTTTGAAATGTTTGATGGAATTTTCAAAATAAGATGTTTCCCGTTCAATTCTTAATGCTAGCTGGTTTTCCACTTTGTATTGCGCTAATTGAAGGTTCAAAAGTGTGGAAGGTATTTGAAATATCAGTCCTAAAATGTAAATCTAGCGTGTAGGTGTAAGTGCTTCAGTTATGCCTGAATAATACATATGTCTTCTCTGACAGAAAATTCCCAAGAAACTAGACAGAGCATGGCACTTAACAGACAGGAACATTTTGAGAGTTCACCTATATTCCAGTTGGACGATGTTAATATTTATGAGTAATTGAATATTTGTCGGGTGATTTATACATCCCAGTCACTATTTTTAATATCCACTCTGTCTAACATTCTGTATTTTGTCATGTGAATCTAGGCGATGGTATGAATGATGTGAGCTACACTCCCGGTTGTTCTAAAGGCTCCTTTAATTGCACCACCCCTGACCCTAACATCAGTCAATCGTTGGAGAAGAGCTGGTCCTTCTATAATTATGTGGGTGGTGGTGAGACGGGACACGTCTTCCCTGCATCAGTGCGAAATCCTAATAAGGCAATCGTTACTATCAACGCTCGTACAACTGAGGTAAGCTTACCAGGGTTTTATGATGACAAATTGGTATGCTGGTTTTGTTATTTGTGTGTGTATTTTCTGTGGGACGTCTCTTGCTATCTGTAAATAAAAGTGAAAGATATATTCTATATTAGTCCAAAAAATTGAAGTGTGACTGTCATTGTCTGGTACTCCACCACAAAAAATGAACATACCATTTTAAAGTACTGACTTTCCTTATTAAGAAAATAAACTTCTAAAAACAACTTCTTGTATATGAATCTTGTATTGACCAATTTATTTTTTCAAAATCATCTACAAGTTTTCAGACATTCAAATCTGACTTAAGATTGAACTCATAATATTGTGAGCAACTGGGTGGTGACATTTTGTCATGTTAATGCCTTGTTGATATCTGATATAGATATAGATATATTGTATTTCCCTCAGGATATACCCTGTATCCAAAATTTAATAACCCTCATATTTATCCAAAAATCGGTTTACTAATGGTGATTGTAGTAGAACATTTTTTCATTGAGAAATTAATCTAACAAAAAGCTTTATGAGTTAGCTGAACTCTTTGTCTCTGTTCTACATGATGATGTAGCATTAATTAGGATTCACACCAGGGAATTTGCTTTTTATTGTAATAATAAACACAGTATATAAATGAGGGTAAAAACATTTTAAGCTTATAGAGTGTTAGATGTTTTATTTATGAGAAACAATGCAACTCGACGACAATTTAAACTATTCATTAAGTATATTATACAAATATTTCATTCTGTTGAGGTCAATACCTGTGCATCTTTCACAAGTGATATTCCACAAAGCCTGAAAGGCTCGTAGAATATCATCTTGTGAAAGTGCCACAGGTTTTCACTGAAAATAGAATGAGATATTTGTTTTATTACATGTATAATACTGTCAAACTCACTGTCCATTATATTATTAATTCATATGTCTAAACAGGTTCATATAGCCATAATCTTCATATACCCTGCAGATTCTCCGAAGAAAATAAATTTATATTAGGGGAGGGGTTAATAATATAATATCGCTAGAAATTCACCAGTTGTCTAATTTGCTCTAGTAAGCTCGGCCAGTGAATTTTACTTGATCTTTCATGACAAGTTAACCAGTTTTAACCAATCATAAAGTTGCGAATTAATATTACACACATATCATGATTATTTTTTGACACCTCTATTATATCATGATGTCATTGTTATCATAGCAGTTTTGGGATTCTGCTTTCACCATTGCAATCCAAGGAAAACTGATCAAATCTGATTTGTTTTAAATGCATGGATGTTAGAGGGTAACTTATTCAATAAGTGGTTGACTTTTTGGTGCTCATTTTGCTTTATGGTGATCATTTTGGAAGTTTTTAATCTTGTCATCTTGATTCCATGTTAAATTCCCATAGAATTGTCTTCAATTTAGAACATGATTTAGATAATATCAATCCAAGATCTAGAGTTGATTAAGTTTTAATGTGTACACAGTTTTTCACTGACATTTAAGAGTGCAAAAAGTACTAAGTGTGGTTGAAAATCCAGGGACTATCTATAACCTCAATCCATTCTAAATCTCAATGAGAATTGTATATCAGCAGTTTAGACACTATCATTTACATTAATGATTTTTATCATTATAGTCTAGAAGAGATGATGTGTCTCAGTTTTTCACCAAGAATATCCTGGATCTTTATACAGATGTTAACATCGAGACAAGTTGTAAAGCTCATTAACTTTTGGGTGCTCATTGTTATGTTACCACCAAATAGTGGTGACATATTGTTATTGTCTCTGTTTTTACAACAGTTGGCGATCGGTGATTGGTGATCAGCGTCTGTAACAAATTCTTACAACTTCCAATAACTTAACAAATACTGTTTAGACTGACTTCAAGTTTTCTGACTTTATATTGAAGATTTGACCTTCAATGATCTTTTCAAGGTCAAAAAGGTTAAAAATGTCAAAAAGGTCTGTTTCAACTTGCTTCAAATTGACCAATTTTTTTTCAAAATCATCTGCAAGTTATCATAAATTCAAATCTGACTTAAGATTAGACTCATAATATTGTGAGCAACTAGGTGGTGACATTTTGTCATGTTAATGCCTTGTTATTTCTTGTGGCCTACTTTGACCAGCTCTCTTGAATTATATGGCAGCACTTATGGATGAATGTTTTTCTTGTCATTGCTTGCTGGTGCCTCATTTGGTGGTGTGATCTTGTTCATACAGTATTGTGTCCTGTTTTATGTATTTATTTCATGATCCAATACCCAGCTTTATGGTTTTGTTTTTATACAAGACTTGCAACGGGGATTATGTCTGAATAATTACAAACAATAACCCTATCTGTGTAAAACATTCAATAAAACTGTAGTTCAAATAACTGCATCCTGTAATTGAGACATTTAATTTCCATTTGCTTCACGCAACATAAAAATATGCGATTGGAACAGAAATTTAGACTTCCTATTGAACACATGAAGTCACAACTTTCTCCAGAAACTAGACAATGTCATCATTTATTAGGTGAATTCTTTCAAAGATTCTGACCTAATTTTCTGCTCAAAGCTACTGAAAACAGTCAATTTTTGTTAATCCTCGAAACATAGTTTATTTGGGATATAGAGAAGCTGACTGCCCATTCGTCTATCCATTCATCCATTTGTTCTTAAAGTTACATCATACTGTCATCAAATTTTAATCGGGCCTTTGAAAGTGCATGTACAAATTAAAAGTAGTAATTTACCCTGTGATTATAATACACTATTTATTACACTTATTTGTAGGTACTGGTGTCTAATGAGATGGCTTGTGAACTTTTTGGCTACAACACTGGTGAACTTTGTGGAATGAAGCTTTCAGACCTTGTCCACTTGAAGAAACGTCAGACAGAAGCAATCACTGAGAGCCATCTGGAGCCATCAGGGGAGGTTGTAGAACTTTCTGGAAAAGTGGTATGTTACAAACAACAATCTGTGCTAAAATGTTATTCTGCAGTTTGGTTTTGAAAAAGTTGGACAAATTGAGTTGCAATAAAGTTGACTCCTGGCCATGATTTCCTCAATATTGAGGTGGCTATATTCCAATTCAATGTATGTTTTTACTATAGTTTGTCCTCTTTATTTAGAGTTTGTCATTTTCTTTTCTTAAAATCTGCAAATGTCTAGGTCTTTTCCACCAACATATTCCTCAAAAAACAACTTTTTGAGTGATTGAATAAATTAATATACAATGTGGCTGATACATACCAACTATGAACAAGATTGGTCCATTATTTTCACAATTACACATTTGTGCAAAACATTTTGAACAACTATTATCTAGTTTCAACACTCTTATAATGCTACAGATGGAGGCAGTTGACTCAACAGGTTTGGTGATTCCTATCTCTGTATGGATGAAGAAGATGGATTATGATGGAGAGCCTCGGGCAGTTGCAGTCATGGAGCCAGTTGAGAGAACTACAGCTAACATCACATTTGACAGCACGGTAAGAAGTCCAACACAAGAGAGGATCAATATCTGGAACATTATCTAAAAAGGTTACAGTGAACTCACCAGCATTAAAGTAAATTCTCATTTCTTGTAATTGCTTGTAATTTTCAAGCCTCGTAAGAGCTTGTAATTACAAGGCCTGTAATAGCTCTTGATAGATATGTGAATCATGTAGCATGACAACAATTAATTTTTTGTTCAATAAAAGAGTCCGATAACAGGGCCATGACATGCTCGTACGGGCCTCGAAAATAACAATTACGAGCATCATACTCGCATGGGCCTCGAAAACGAGCTTCGTACCAGCCCGTACGAGGATGGTGCTCCTTTTTGCCCGTAATGACTCGTAATTCTCGAGGCTCCTACAAGCTCGTAAGGGGCCCAATGTAATTTGCCTGTGTGACCTAAAATATATTTTCACACAAAGCCAAGGTATATAACCTATAATACTTTTAGCACCCAAATATACATGTACAGGGTGATCAATAAATAAGGTAAAAGTATCTGGTATTTTGTAAATATTGGTCCAAACATCCTGAAATTTGGTCAGAATATACCTTGTACATTTCTGAATTAAAACATATAAATATATAAATCCTGTCATCTGATTGGTTAATATTATAGTTACCATGGCAACTGGAGTCAGAGGGACCCGGGGCAATTTAATTGCGTCCAATTTGAACGAAAAATGATAAAAAGCACCTCTTTTTCAAACTGAAAAGAAATAAACGTGGGTGCCAGCATTTATTGTTTTAATACTTAGTTACCATTGTTACATACTTTCTTGCAAATTTGGTGTTTGATGTCACGGAAAAGATAAATATATAATGAAAACTGATGTGATCATAGAAAGTCTATGACACAGGTCAATGATGAAAAACAATACAGAATAGGTTTGATGAGAGCAAAGAGGAAGAAGAGGCCCGTAAAATGTTTCACATTGCACTGGGATAATGCTTCATCTCACATTGCTATTCTCACGGTACATCGGGTACAAGCCATTGAAGCACTGGGTTTCCTACTGTTAGGTCATGTTCTATGCTCTCCTGACTTGTCCCCTAATGATTTTACCTTCATGGCGACCTGGAGAGGGAGTTGAGGTAGTTTCTCATGGGAAGACTTGAAGTCAGCTATCTTAAAAATTTGCAGCAGGTTATGGGAAAATGGGTTTAAAAAGGGGTTCAAAGACTGGAGTAGAAGACATGAACTACATGGTAAAAACAAAGGACATTAGGTAGAGTAGTTATGAAGTATAAAATAAGAATATGATATGTCATCTCAATTGTGATTTGAAATATATTATCAAAAGCGCTTCGACTGAAAATTTAGTTCTTTGATAGTTGCCCCGGGTCTTCATGCTTTCTATTGCTATGGCAACCATAACTTCAACCAATCACATCACTTTGATCTGTAACTTAATATTTCAATTCAATAATGTTTGAACTTTATTCTGTGCAGATTTTATGAGGATTGGGTAAAATCTGAAGAAATGCCAGATACTTTTACCTTATTTATTGATCACCCTGTATGCAGATTTTAGAGGTTATAAGTGACAATTTTGACTAAAACATTGAGATGAAACTGCCACATCATTACTTGAGTTCTAGTAATTTGAAACACAATTAGATCCAGACCTAGGGGCTTATTTGAAAAAGTCACTCTACCCTAATCAAAAGTGCTTTACTCCTTACTGAATGCTTGACTCAGGTAAACTTTTGAGCTGACTACCATCATAGCATACATTTTATACATTGTGCGTGTACCATAATGGTATATAGCATTGCAGAAATGTCTTTTATTGTTTGTATTACAGGGTAAGATATTAGGATGTGACCAGCAACTGGCATACATACATGGCTACATCTCTCCAATGGAGATTATAGGGTTGAAGATTCAGCATCTGATACCATCATTCAAACTACCCACCCCAGGCCAGAAACTTCAGAGTGTGAGTTAAACCTTATTTTTCATTGTATGGTAGTAAAAGTTCTTATTTAATGTATTTTTAGTATTTAGTGTCTCCTCCTCCTCTTTTGAAAGATTCCATTCTAGAAATGTATTCCATTTGTTAATTTACAATGCACAAAATACAATATGATAATATAATAATTGAAATTGTTAAGTCCAAAAGAATTGTACATACACTCAAAAGTAAAAGTTACATCAATATTTGACACATGAACATTCATACATCACATACATATCTATGTAGCATGAAACCTCACTGATGCTTTTTGTTTTGTTTTTTGTGTTACCACTTGTTACAATAATAATCCCCAACTTTTTTGTTGTTGGCATTTGGCTGTCAGTGTCTGTAACAATGGTGTCTGTAACAAATGGCAGGTAGTGATATCTTGAATTTTCATGCCTTGCGTATTATTATTACATATACAGGAAGTGCAGAAACAGCGTGCCACAGGGAGGACAAAGGATGGTAACTCATTCCCCCTGAGTGTTTTAGTAAAAGCTACAGAAAAGACACACAGACTCCCACCCCAGCCCCCACCCTTGAAGAACATACCCCCGGTTCAGACTCAGTCTGTTGGTAAGTGAATGATGGAACATCTTTAAAATACACATTTAGTCACACCCGTAAAGCCATTCTGATTTTACACAAAAAGATGATGTGAATCATGAACATTTGCAATCATATACAAGTCTATCACCTATATAATTTTTCCTTAAGGAAACGCTTCAGTGGTTTCAACTTATTTACACAACAATATAGATTAGGAAGAATTGCTTATTGATACCATCAAGGTATTAAACTAGAATTAAACACTTTTCACATTATTTTTAATACCAGTTCTTTGCATTTCCATGACTGGTTTGTTTAGATCCAATATTGTTCATGGGTAATATCCCAACACCATGATACCATGACACTGCTGCTCTTCATAGGAATTATTAGGGGCTACATTTTTTTATTTATTTATTTATTTATTTATTTTTTATTCCAAAATAATAGAAAGTACAATTTTCCCCAAAGAATGGATAGTGGGGTTACAAATAAAGGTTTGCCTAAGACTGCAGCATGAACACCTCATTCTTTTAATTTTTGTATATATGATTTAATATTTTTAATTTCATAGGTTGACTTTTCATAAATACAAAGGTGTGCGATTGAATAATATAATGTGTTCCTCCATAATCTTGGACTATTTTTTTCTTTGCTAATGAGCCATGATTTATAGCTGTTATATGCAAATGTTGATATTATTAGATCAATGACATTTTCATGACTTCTTTTAAAAGTAATATTATTGCCAATAACAATATTTTTCCATGAAATTTTAATTTTTAATTTTGAAGAAATATAGATCCACAAGTCTTTTATTTGATCGCACTCTATAATAACGTGTTTTAAATTATTTTCAACCTTACAAAAATTGCAAATTTTTGAATCTGCTTTTTTCCACTTAAAAAGATCTATGGAAGAACATTATGAAATAATTTGAAGTTAAAGTAAGCTACTTTTTTATCAACAATTGCTATAATCTTGTTATTAAAATACATTTTCCAATTTATGTGAAATTTAAAATCAATCTTCCATTTATCTTTAGTGTACATGTACATTCTTTCTTTATTATGATATTCAAGGATATTATAGAAAAACTTAGACTTTTGATCTTTGAAGAATACTTTTTTATCATTTGTGTAAAAAAATTGTCCTTTCATAATGTTTACAAACTTAGCAATTTTAGGTTTCATTATGTTTTAGAAAGGTTGCAGTATTTTCCTGGCTAAAGATATTTCTGAAATCCAGTTTCTCTTGTCTTTTAATTTTCCTAAAATATGTTCCTCTTTAAGTAAATTGCCATTCACATCTATAATATCCTTTACATAAAGAATATCACTTTTAATCCAAGATTTAAAAAACAGACACTCTCCATTATTTTTCTTAAACAAATAATTTCCAAAAATTGATTCTTGACAGAGTTTGTCATGATTTATAGCTACAGTATTCCCTCTGTCTTTACATTTATTGAAACCTAATAATATTTCTTGATAAAATTTAGGGATACTTAATAAAAGTGGCATTTCTTTAGCAGAATTAAAATTCATTCTAAGGAGTATTTCATTATTCGATGTTATTTTATTAAAATTCCACAGGGGTAAAATATTCCACTGATTTTTTTCACCAGGATGGAAAATTCTATCTATCCAAGATGCTTTTAAAGCACTGAATTGATTTTCGATATTAATCATATTCACACCTCCTTCTGTAATATCTTTATATAGTATATTTCTTTTAATCCGGTCTTTGCCATTCCAAATAAAATTAAATAGTATTGTATTTATTTTTAAAATCATATCTTTTGGAATTGGAAGAATAGATGCACTATTAATAAGTTTTGGGAGTGCAAGTGACTTTATTATTAATGTTTTTCCAAAAATGGTTAAATCTCTTCTTTTCCATTTTTCTAAATAAGTTTGCATACCTTCAATTTTTTCATCCCAATTTTTCATCTTACATTGATTGTTGTCATATCCAATATAAATGCCAAGATATTTTATGGGTTCAGATTTGAATGTATATTTTGAAATTTGCCATTTTTATCACTCCATTTACCAAGCCCTATTGCCTCAGTTTTTTCTAAATTTAGCTTCATTCCAGAGACAGTGCAAAACATATTTATTTTCTTTATGGCATTCTTTATGGAATGCTCATCTGCAAGGAAAAGTGTGCAATCATCTGCATATAATGCTGTTTTAATTTCAAATTGGTCCTCATTTAATTTGATATTAATTCCACGGATGTTTTCACTTTGTTTAATACTTAAATTTAACATTTCCATTGATATGATGAAAAGTAGGGCAGACAATGGACAATGGACAATTCCCCTGCTCATGTGTACTTCTTCAGTTAACCACCCATTATGTTTAATGACAATTGAGGGATTTGAGTATATCATTTTTACCCATCTTATGAAGTCATTCCCAAAGTTAAGTTTTTTAAGTGTTAATAGCATAAAATTCCACTCTATTGAATCAAAAGCTTTCTCAAAATCAGTTAGTACTATAGCGCCATCTTTATTTGTGATCTTACAATATTCTAAAACATCTATTGCTAGTCTACAGTTATTTCCTATGAATCTTTTCTTAATATATGCACTTTGTTCTTTACCTATAATTTTACCTATCACTTTATGGAGTCTGTTTGATAAAATAAATGCTAAAACTTTATAATCCGTATTTGTGAGGCTAATTGGCCTATAATTTTTTAAAAGGTTAGAGTCCCCTTTTTTATAAAGTAATGCTATGATTGCCTTTCTGTAAGAGGGTGGTAGCTCACCATAAACAAAACATTCATTAAGTGAACCTAAAATTAAATTAGAAATATCATCCCAAAATTCTTTGTAAAAGTTAGAGGTTAGGCCATCTATTCCTGGGGATTTGTCCAACTTCAGTTGGCATTTTACTGAATTCAATTCACTTATGTTTATTTCACCATCACAAAGAGCTTTTTCATTTAATGTAAGAATATGTGGTACCTCAAGAGAATTTAAATAATTATTAATATCATTATCACAAATGTTTTAGAAGCATATAGGCTTGAATAAAATTTGCACAGTTCCTTCATTATATCAGAATCACTAGTAACAGTGTTAGTCTCTGTCTTGACCTCAGTTATAAAAATTTTTTCCGGATCAGCAATATATTTCTTAGTTTATTTGTCTCGCTCACAAAATGCAGTTGTTGAATCTTTCCACTTAATCTCTGCAATAATTCTCTATGTTAATGATATATTTTGGAATGGAATTGAACTGAAGCCATGCTGGTGTTGAATCACGGTGTAAACAAAAGACATTTTAATAAATACAATGATTGTTTGAGGATATTAAATCACGTGATCTGCTCAGATCAAAACAATAAACAGACTCGAGCATATTGTTTGCAAACATCCGGCTCAAATGTGCCAACTGGGAAAATTGGCTGCCACTTTTGAAAAGCGACAAACATCAGTCTTTCAATTGGTATTATACCCGATTGTCAATTTTACAATTTAACTGTAGTGAATTCAACTTTGCAGACCTACCCTGAATGCCAATTTTTGCCAAAGTTTTCACATCAATAAAGTTGCAACTTCTACAGTACCTCTGATTGTAGCCCATTAGACGGTTAGTTTGTACATGATATTTTGTAGATAATGACCACCTGTCCCCCCATCAGGGCAAGAACCCAGGGTCGCTGCTCAATCCAGGTGGTAGCAAGAGTGTGGATATGCAAGATGCAGGTAATAACTTTATTCTTCATGGATTTACATTTTGTCAAAATTATCTTATTTTCAATACTTTTGCAGTTGACATTCTGTGGTCGGCGATTCAGAGTTCAGTGTCTATAATGAAATGCAATAACTTACAAGGTGGTGACATTTTGTCATGTTAATGCCTTGTTCATATATTTCAGGCCCTATGGAGTCCACAGGTGATGTTTATAGTGCAGTATTGTGGGTGTTTGCCAACATAAGTGGTATGATCACTGTTTTGGGAGATGGATCCATACACAGTATTAACAATAATTTCTCACTCATGCTCCTGGGGAGACCAAAGGAGGATGTTATTGGAAAGGTAATATATTTAGTTTGAAGGAAAAATATTCTCAGATATTTTTTTATGTTGGTACATCCATTTGCTAATATTTTCATTATCCAAATCCAATTTTATGATTTTAATTCAAATCAAGAAAATATTTGGATGTACTACTCCTTTAAATAACAGCAAGATATATGGAATGCTTTTCATGTTTGGAGTTTCTTTTATAAAAATTATATTATTGTGTTTATTTTATATTATGAATAAAGTGAGTCAAATCAACAAGATGATTATATAAAACAAAATATTCAAGTAATCTGTGTTTTGATTTGAATTTTCAAATTACTTGCTAAGTTTAGTTTTAAAGAAAATTCTTCTCTTCTGCTTCAGGACATTCAGTTTATAATCCCTGAATTTTTTGAAGAGATGGATATAATTGATACTGACTCTATGCCCCTACCACCTCTGGATGATGAAGATGCTGCACAACAGGGTAACACAAATAAGTCTTCACTTGAATAACTGTAATAAACAAGTTTGTAATAATGTTGTTATATGAGTATATTTATTTGTAATATGTGTAATTTATAGGCAGATTTACCTGTATGCAAATGCTCCTGTTAAGATTCATGGGGCAAATATATTGAAAAATTGCTGCATATTGTATGGATTATGTAGGAGTTTTCCCTAAGGGCAATATTTATTTTTATCAGACGATCATATAAACAATTTTTATTGCACAAGAGAAGTTGTATATTATCACCATTTTTATGCTGATGGGCATATATGTGGGTGGCAAAAGAGTCAAAGAATCCATTATTTTAACTTGAAATGTTTACAAGAGTAGACTCAAAGTGCCAAGATCTGATTAGGGTTAGGTCATGCTTGGATAAATTACAAATTAGCCATTTTTGGATTTCAAATGCAGTATTTATGACTACATGTCTTGTCTCACCCTTTGCCATTCATGTTTTGTGGTTCTCTGGATCTTGACTATAAATGCATTATATTGCATTGTATGTTAATCTTCCATTGTTTTTCAGAGCTGAATGACACAGCAGGCCTTCTCAATGCAGCAAGTAACAGTGTTAACAGAAACAACAACATATCACCCTTAGACTCTTCAGTACATATAGACCTAGACAGTTCACACGATGACTCAGTTAGTTTAACGTCATCACGATCAAGTGCCAGGACGCCACCTACCACAAGAAAGGTGGAGCCATTGAATTTAGAAACTTTAGACGAGGAGTCTGAAGGCTCGAGATCAGCAAGTGCAAGGTCGGATAATAAAAGTTCAAGGTCAAATAATGAATCTGGGAGAACGCTTAGTGTTGAGGATAAACAACAATTAGAGAGCTCCCGAATCTCATATGCTTCAGGAAATGATCAAAAAAATATTTCAGATATTTCCCTTAGTCCTTTGCCATCATATAAAAGTCCAGAGTGTAATATCTCTGTCAGTAGCGTTGAAGATGACGCACTTACAGAGGAAAAATCTAGCTCATCAAATTCTGCTCAAACAGATCACCATTTAGGGACAAAAATGCAAGATGCAAATAGTGTCTCAAACATTGATATAGAGATTGATGACAAAATGGTGCCAAAACAAAATTTAAAAACAAGTGGCGAAATGGACTACCCTATACATGCACATGTTAAAGACAAATTAGATTTTGACTGTGCAGAGAGTTTTACTTCGACTCCGCATAGGTCAACTAGAAAGGCAGCTATGATACGCCAGGCTTCTGTACAGAGCTTTCAGATTCCAGAGGGGAGCTACTGTGGGAGATGTAAACACAAGGATACTTCATATTTAGGTAAGTATGTTTTTGACGTTTATGTTTCCTTCTGCTGTGATGTTTGCACATATTAAAGAAAGGGAAATTATAAAATGTTACGCCCAATATAGTGTGTGCTACTGTGGGACGTGTAAGAAAAACTATAAATTAATATCTAATAATTTAAAGTTTGTTGTATTTTTCCAGGTATAATTTATCAGGTGAAGAAAGTCGAGATTGCAGATGGCCAGAACTTGTATTGTATTTGGATATCACGTGACCCGGAAGATCCAGGGGAGGGTAACCGCTCCCTGGCCAACCTTACCCTCTCACTCAGTTACAGTAGCACTTTTGAGGCATCCCAGATCAGTCTGGGAGAGGTATGTGAAGTGAACTTTTAATCAGTGATTATTCCCCAACAATGAAAAAAAACTGTAATTGAGAATTTGTTAATGTTCATGAGCACCCAGTTATAAGATTGGAATGTTTTAAGATTTGTTTAAACAATATTTGCTAAACAGGTGAGGTAATAAAATCAGAAAAAAACTTTAGAGAACAATGATGATATAAAGCCTCTCAAAATATATTCTCCAAAAGATTATGTGAAAATTAAAGCTTGTCATCATTATTCGATTCACTTAAGTAATTACTAAGAATCTTATTTTTTCAAAAAATATATTTCCATATGATTTGTATTTTTGCCTATAGGCTTTAGCTGACAAGAGACAGCAAAGTTTAGATCACTCTGGTAACCTAAGCTTGAAGAAGATTGAAACTTCTCCTGGTAGAGGGCGCTATGATCAACAGTATGATACTCTCATGTCTATCGGGAAGGGAGCCTTTGGATTTGTTAAGCTGGCTAGACGGAAACGAGACTCTCTTGATGTAAGTTTGATGAAATTTTAATTATGAACCTAACAAATGCAATTACAACACAAAATATGTTTAGATGCATTGCCAGCTAATAATTGAAACTCTCTTGCATCAAAGAATAGAGAGTGTAAATGTTGAAACCATCTTTTCAAAAACCATCCCAATGTTCCCCTTATACTAATTGTAACACTTTTTAAACATAAAATGATGTAATTTGATCATGGGGAAAATGGTTAGATATGTTGAGGTGTGTTTTTGAGATTAGTGTCTTTGGCAACACATTGAAACAAGGGAATTGAATAAGTTGATAATCTCCCTCAGGTTGTTGTGAAGTTTATACGCAAGAAGAAGGTGCTGTCTGACTGTTGGGTGGAAGACTCTGACCTTGGGAGGCTGCCCCAAGAAATATGTCTGCTCACCAAACTGGTGCATACCAACATTGTTAATGTAAGTAAACGTTTTATTTCAATTGGTCAACTGTTAATTTATTCTCACTTGAAAAAGGTAATTTGGAGGAATCCTATAGTGTATAACAATTTGATAAAAGATGTTATTCTTTAAAACTTCAATATCATGGTATTCTTAATTTCAGCTTCTTGAGGCATTTGAAAATGATGAGTTTTTCCAAGTAGTTATGGAGAAACATGGCAGTGGTATGGATCTATTTGAGTTCATTGACAGGTGCCCAAATTTTGATGAACCTCTGGCCAGCTATTTATTTAGACAGGTACAGTACATCTTTTGTTGTTTAGAAGGAACTACCTTAACATGATGTGATTCAGGAGACGATTTCTCCATAATGTTTTGTAGCATGATATGTGAATTAATTGCTAATCAGTTGTTCAGTTATCTCTAATTATAATTCTGTTATTTTCTTTTTGCCTCTTAGACTCAGATCCATTCCTCCATAATTTAATCACTCACTCAGTGTTGAATAGCATGGGCATGAATTGATTTTGCTATTATTGTGTGTGTTTCAGCTTGTATCTGCTGTCTCATATCTCCACAGTCTTAACATTCTACACAGAGATATCAAAGATGAGAATATCATTCTAAATGAACATTTCCACATCAAGCTGATTGACTTTGGTAGTGCTGCATACATGGAGCCTGGGAAGTTGTTTGGTACATTCTGTGGTACATTGGAGTATTGTAGTCCGGAAGTGCTCATGGGGAATAAGTAAGTCATATAATAATTATTTAAGAAATTACTCCCATGGTCCTCAAGAAAAATCATGTCCCTTGCCCTTGGAGTAAAACCCATATCCACCAACCAGCTTAGTCTATATATTTTCTTTTTGCTGTGCACACTAATTGTATGAATACATAAATTATATTACCCTTTGCATTCGTTCGACTTCACTTCTTAAAAGAGAGCTTCGTCTTCACTCTTTCAGTTTACAATAAATCTCTGATCTCACCGAGCCAATCAGAGTTAGTCGTCCTATGACATCACCGCATAGTTAATGAGCAGGTAGTTAGCACACGTTCCTTCCACTTCGCTGATTGGTTGAGAAAGGGTCAGCGTGGTAGATTTGAATTGATTTATTACCCATGCTGTCACAGGCACCAATCTTTTGGGCGGGGCTGCTAAACTGTAATATAGTCTATACTAGGCAGAGGGTAGTTTATAACTAGACTCTGCATGCAGGGTGGAATTATATATGCTTATGTCTTCATTTATTTTGCAGATACCGGGGCCCTGAGTTAGAGCTGTGGTCACTAGGCGTCACCCTATATACACTTGTATTTGGAGAGAACCCATTCTATGATGTTGAAGAAACCATTCAATGTGTTCTTAAACCACCTTTCATGGTGTCTAAAGGTAAGAGCTTTTTAGGCTACACAGGTGAGATCCTCCTCCAAATACTACTGAACTGATTTGCTACATATTTCAGGGAGATGTATAATGGTGCCAACTTATTCCAAAACCAAAATAATGTACATGACCTACTGCATGAAAGTTAAATAGTATCAGTAAAAGATAAGAATAGAAATGGCATTATCAATATCAAAAACCTTTGGGCCCATATATTCTGTTAGAATTGGACAATTAAACTTTTGCAAAACAAGGTATTCCAAAACAAGTGGAGTAAGTTCAACCAGCAAAATTTGGTGCTACAACTGTGTGGAACCCCATTAATAATTGATAATTGTATGTTTAGATTTGATGCAACTGATTGGTTGGCTGCTCCATCCAGAGCCTACCTATAGGGCCACCATATTGGACTTGGAGGCTAATAAGTGGGTGAATCAACCAGTAGATGTCATCACATATGACTGGAATGAGGTTTTACCAAATAATGGTAGGTTTGACTGCATCTTCTATGTTCCACACTTAACTATAGTTATTAGTAAATGGTGATTAAAATTCACATAAAATGTTGAAATCAATTTTAGAGAACCCTTTTAAAATCAAGTGAAAAAAGTTCGCAAGAAAACTGATTATCCAGAACCAAAGATTATTGGTACATATGTATATTTAACATATTTTGTCTTGGAATCAAAATTTAATTCATGATGTATACAGGGTGACCCAAAAAAAATGCAACCCTCCATTTCTTCAATATCTTTTCTTAAATGGAGGTTAATTGCTCTGAAATTTGGTGCACAAGAACTTCATTCAATGTGGGATCCTCTGGCAAAGTTTCAATAATCATAGTCTTATATTGATAGAGTTATGGTCGTTCCAAAATATGCTCCAAATATCGTCCATTTCCAATGTTAGGTTTTCGGATGAATCACATTCCCTTCTTTCTGAACATGTAAACTCAAGAAATAATGTGTTCTGGGATCACAAATTCCAGATGAAGTGCTTTAAAGGCCCCTTCATTCTGTTCAATGCACAGCTTGGGCTGCCAATTTCCAAACATGAAATCATCATCCCCTTTTGGTTTGAGGTTGATAATGGCAACACTGTTACTGTTAACACACAGCGAAAAATTGGTGTTCCCAGGAAGTTCTAGGCAGTTCTAGAGTGACATAGAGGCTTCAATAGACAAGAACAGTGGTTCTAGAAGGATGGAGCTACTCCTCACACTTCTAATGAGAAGATTCTAGGACGGAGAACCCATGGCCATCCCACAGTCTTGATCTCAATGCCCTTGACTATATGAAAATAACCCTACCGCAATTGCAGAACTCCAACAAGCAATGGCTGCAAAAATTTGAGCCATACCCATGGGGAAAAATGCATCCGTGTTATGAACAGTTTTCCTTGAACATTGCAAGTTTGTTTTCAGCGAAATTGACGACATCTGGAGCATATTTTGAAACAATCATAACTCTTATCAATATAAGACTATGATTATTAAAACTTGGCCAGAGGATCCCACATTGAATGAAGTCCTTCTGTGCCAAATCTCAGAGCAATTTACCTCCATTTAAGAAAAATATTGAAGAAATGGAGGGTTGCATTTTTTTGGGTCACCCTGTATTACATGTCACTTAGATTGTTCAATTTTTCGTACATGCACATGATCATGGCTTACACATAGTGTCTCACTCATATTTCACAGAAAAAGCTTACTCATATTTTTTACCAGAATAACAGTCCTGGTAGGTAATATAAAGTTTTATACTCCTATATCAAACGTCACTCTCATTTCAGAGTTCACTGGGAACACTGCTGCCGACAACAGGCCTGATACACACGAGGACCCATCTCCACGCACACATGACTCTGACACGGAGGAACTAGAATCTGAGCTCCAACGATGCCTAAATATGGAAGATGAGCCTGGACGTGATGATGGTGGAGTCTCCTAGACTATTGATTGACACTGAATTTTTTCAGGAATTAAGAGATGGTGTCCAAATGTTGACAGTTGATTTGAAAAATCTTGGTTTCCCTTTCACTTTTTTAAATAATCAAATCCCCTTATTATATCTGTTTTCCAGAACTGGTAACACGTGGATACCATTCCTAATCTGGTTATTTGTAGTTAAATAACTGAAAAAATAGAATACATGTACTGTAGAGAAAAAATACTGTATAGAACTTATGGTGATAACTTACAATTTCTTAAGATGGTTGGCTGCTGTGTTATTGAACGTTACTTTTAACTGTACTGTTATTTAAACAAAGAACAAATGAAATATTTTCTATTTAAACCCATATATAGCAGGAAAACAGACAGACCTGACATCTATGAGTATTATCAAGCCTAATTACCTATCTGTGTCATATGGCAACTTGTATTTTATAGGATCACAATATTGATGCAAGATAGTATGATAGATTTCACATGTATAGAATATATTTACAAAAGCATTATCAGGTCGGGCTCTATGCATCAAAACAGACAATACTCAGTATGTTGGTCTGAGGTAATTCAATATGTACCACTGGGGTACTTCATTATGTACCTCAGAGTATTTCAGGATGTTCATCTGAGGTAATCCATTGTGTCAATGTGTACATCTGGAGTAATTCATAATGTAACTCTGGGTAAATTCAGTATGAACTTCTGGGGCAAAATGTATTTACCTCTTGGGTTCTTCAATATGAACTACTTCAATATGGACCTCTTGGGTACTTCAGTATGTACCTCAGAAACTTCAATAGGTATCTCTTGGTTAATTCTGAGGTAATCCAATTACCATTGTGTAACTGAGGTATTTCAGAGTGTACATCTACGGTAATTCAGTATGTACCCTATAGTGTAAAGCATGAGTGCAATAACATACTCAGAATGAACTTTAACACATATAATATACTAGATTCTTTTTATTTGTTTTGGAATCAAAATTGAAGAAAGCAAAAATTGTGGTCGGTGTTCTGTACAGGCCTGAAGTACATGTACATCTTTTTGTTATTTGTTATGGGCCTATTGAAATCTATTTGTTTCTATTTTCCACCAATGACAAAGGTCATATCAGAATGTAAAACCCATTTTCAAGATGACAATTTCAATATTTTTAGTTTAGTTACCTAGTTGCAAGTAGGTACCAATTTCATCACACGGTGACTGATTCAAATCAGATAACATGGGAGACAAAAAAGCTCCCTTAAACTTGGATTATAGACTTAAAATTTAGCCTTGACATTTTTACCACACCAAGCTTGCATGGCATAGAAGCTCCGCAGCATGATAAATTGTAAGCTACAATCCATTGGAATCCAATGGATTCTCAACATGAATTCTTTGTTTGTCACTATGCAGTTCTTATTACCATTCTCATGTACAGGTGTATGAATATATTGTTGGACATGATATAGGAACACAGGATATATAGGAATGATTTTATTTATCATATTGAGGAGTTTCTATGTCTGTATGTCATACAAGCTTGATATGGTTAAAAAAAACTGATGTCTAAATAAAAACTCGAATATTGGAATTGACATTTAATTTACCATCTGCCATTTTGAAAGAGAAAGTAATGGCTATTAGCCTCTCCAGATTCTGATGAGTGAATGAAGGTAAATGATATCTCTTGAGTTTTTTGCCAGAACCCAGGACCGCTGGGTATAGGTGGTCAATCCAACTAATATTTCTGTTGATGAAGAGCCCCATTTTGCCCACTGTGCCTATTGAACTGAATCAAACATGTTAATACTGTTGTTTTCAACCTATGCAGGTTACATAGTGTATTTTTAAAATATGTTGTACATTGGTAACAGATATATTTAAATTGTATAGACATGAATTTTGACTTTATCATAAAGGATGTATTACTGTTATAATTCATATTGTTATGGTTGTGAGATTCTAAATATGCAACTTTTATGATAATGGATGTTTGCAAGCTTTCGATGTCTTGTTAACTTTCTTTGAATGTAAGTTGAGAGCCATTGGTAGCCAGTTTTGATGGCAACACAGAAATGATGAATACAAAAGCTGCCTCAATGCAGTTATAAATGGTATTTGCTATAATGCTTCGATTGAATACAGGCAATATTATTGAGAAGCTCCCTTAGTACAATGTTTTAACTCATACTTTTTATATCAATACAATTTTCTAATGACATTTTGCGTGGAATTAATGTATAGTAGATAATTATGAATGTTAAGTTTGGACTGTAGTGATATGTGTGACATTACTGCATATTTTGAATTGGATTGAATAGATCATGGATATTGTGGATAACCATGGTAACTGTCACAAGTTTGTCTTTTTCTGTTTTTATCTATGTAGTTTCTTAAAGCATTGCCAGGGTGACCATTTTCAATGCACATGCAATTCAACACCTGTTGGTGTATAGTATAGTGAAGATTCCAGATTTTAATGGGAATTTTTTTCATTTGTGTACATTTTCTTGAATATCTCAAATAATGTTTTAAAACATTTGAATGTCAAATATATTTATTATTATTATTTCAAAGAAGAATAAATTTATACAGGGTGGGCCAAAAAAAACCACCCCCCTAGCCAATATTCCTGATAAATATTTATTTTTTAACAATTACACCAACAATGATATATCATATAAAAGATTATTTAATTTGCAACAAAATGATATATAATAGCACCATTTTCAACAACCCAATATAGAAATATGACCATTTATGTGACATGGGGGTCAAAAAACACCTTTTCAATTTTCGTTGATTTTGCGAACAATTGCCTATTTCTACCAAATTTTAGTAAATTACAACATTGTCATGAGTCTTTCATAATTGGATATTATATATTGTTTTCATTCAGTTTTTGAACCACACATGCTCAATATACATGTGTATGCTTATAAAACTAATTCATTTCTTCTTCAGTCTGTCCAAAAATAGCTCAATAGACCCACCCCCAGGACCCATCCTCTGATTGGATTATTCGCTTAAGACGCGGAAGCCATTGGTTGATGGCATAATTGATTGATGTATGCAGAAGTACCATTCAACTACTAGTTATTCTTTCTTTTAGTTCCTCTACATCCCTGATAGGCTGGGTATATTTAAATACCAACTGTTCTAGATGCCCCCAGGTATGGAAATCAACATTATTGGCAACTGGACTGCCAGTAAGCCATTTTTCTGGGCTAGAGATGGTGACATTTCGAATCTCCAAAAACTCCAGGGTAGCATTGGACCTGTGTGATGGAGCACTGTTCTATCAGAAAATGAAATTTCTTTCACATGTTTTTTATATTCTTGAGGAGTCCTTTTTTACCACCTCATGTCATTAAAATTCAGAGTATATTTTTGCTCCTGGTTCAAAAAACAGGGCCTGTATTGTCTTTCCTTTTTGGGAAACACCGAGTGGACACCACCTACCTTTCAGAAAAATGTCATCTCGATTTGAGTAGCCTTTCATCGCAAATGTCACTATTCTTGCTTACTGATATAGAGTATAGCCTTTTGATTACATGTATAGGACTTGGGGCATTTAGAACAGTTGGCCTATGGAGATCCCTAGACCATCAGGGGTGTAGACAAACAGAAAGAATGAATAATTAGGTGTTGGATGGTACTTCTGCAGAGCTCCATCAATTATACCAATGGCTTTCGCGTTTTAAGCGAGAAATCAAATCAGAAGTTGGGTCCGGGGGTGAGTCTATTGAGCCATATTTGGACAGACTGAAGAAGAAATGAATTAGTTTTATAAACATACACATGTATATTGAGCATACAAGGTTCAAAAACTGAATGAAAACAATATATAATATCCAATTATGAAAGACTCATGACAATGTTGTAATTTACTAAAATTTGGTAGAAATAGGCAATTGTTTGCAAAATCGACGAAAATTGAAAAGGTGTTTTTTGACCGCCATGTCACATAAATGGTTATATCTCGAGCCAGAGTTGTTGAAAATTGTTCTATTATATATCATTTTGTTGCAAATTAAATTATCTTTAAAATGATATATCATTGTTGGTGTGCATGTTAAAAATTGAATATTTATCAGAAATATTGGCTAGGGGGGTGGGTTTTTTTGGCCCACCCTGTATGTATTGTAACAGAAAAACAAAATGTACATTTGCTATTTTTGAATCAATTTTATTTCATTTCATCTGTCCAATTTGTTGATTAATAAAATGTTCATAAACAAGATAAAGGGCATACAACAGACCCTTGATCCAAATATACCAACTTGGGCAATTTTAAATTACCTTTACACAACAAAGTGACTGAGCAGCACATTGACACAGAAACAGAGGTATTCAATGACATAGACAGCCAGACAGCTGGTCAAAGATGCCTACATTAATGATTAAACTAAACTTCTAATATACTTCTAAAGAATGCTTTTCTGCAGATCCAGATGTACATTCAATATAAAGATAAAAATATAAATAAAACACAGAGAACACACAGCTTTAAAGTCAATATACAGATGGAGACTAGTTTCTGTATAATGTAATCTAATTTTAGTTCGCCAAATGTTCAAGATATTTAGTCCAATATCATGCATTTTTACATAAATAATCATGCACTGAAATTGTGCAGAATATAAACAAATTTTCATTGCGAAATTAATGTAGCCTAACTATAATCTGATCCCAGACTTGGAACAAAAAAGTTAAATAAGTATTGCTGAACAAAAAAAATACTTTTGTGTTTTTATCAGTCTCAGTTTGACAGAACTGCATTTCCTCTTTTAATGCAAAGGCATTCATTAAAAAATGATTATGCGGATGTTTTAATTATATATAGGCCTAAATTATACTGTATAATCATTATTGATACAATATTAGCAATTGCACTTTTATAGTGAGACATAGTGTCTACTTGATGAACACATCATCAATGTATTAACATTTTGATGATTTCAGACAACCTTCAACTTTTACCAAAACGCACCTCCTTTTATAGTTCACAAATATTTTATCTGGTGATTCTGATGAAGCAGATCATAAGTCAATCGTGTGTTTTGAAAATCATGATGCTCATTTGTTTTACATTGCTTCCTCTTGTTCATAATCTTAAATAATGTCTTTACTTACACATTTCAAGTATATATATTCATGCAGTGTTCTCCCTAGGAAATTTCTCAAGTGGGTGCAAAATTCTTAATTTCACAATTTTTAAAATCTCAGAGTGGGTGCAGCGCCCACTTGCTTTAATGCTGGGGAGATCACTATCATGTCACTGGCTTTATAGAACAGATGCACAGATCTTTTACCCTCAAGTTGTACAAATATAAATCTTAACAATACCATTGTCCATAATTGATGAGTCACACTTGACATACTGACATAGAGATGTTATTTACTGGGATGGATTGAATATGTTTTACACCGAGACCCTAAACGATATTTCTTGACCAAAGAAAATATACCACTGACAAAGTTCTCAATTCATTTCCCAGGAAAAAACCTCAGTATCAAGTTTCAACATTAATGTACAATAAGATTTATACAATAATAAGGATTATCAAATATCACATATATCCATGAATCGCATTGATAATGATGCAACATTAAAATTAAAATGTTTAACTTTAATTTGAATTGAAACAACTTTGTCTTTTTTGTTGAAGATATATTTAACAGTAACAAAAAATGTATACAAACAAACAGCGTGAAGAAAAAATTATAACACGAAACATGATATGATAATAATATAGAGATACAATTTAATATTTTTTTCTTTATCCCATGATTTATGTGTTATCTGTTCAATAACAGCTGAACAGATAGTAATATTTCTGATAATATTGAAATCTGTGTGATATTTTTCAGAAAATCTTTAATCAACCTCATATGCGGTTGATATCACGCAAATTTGAAATTTGTTGAATTTATTATTTTAATTATGGGATAAACCCAATATCAGGTAATTTCTAGTGATATCATTTAATTGCCTTGAAGAGGCAATTAAACAAGTGACCGAAGTGAATGAGTGTTGATATAATTTGATATCAACTCGTCAATAATAAAAAAGATATCACTCAAAATGATCTGATATTCTGCACAGACATGATAACCAATAATTCATTCCAATGCAATCAGCATTTGAATGACACACCAATCTTCATTTGAATGACACACCAATCTTCAGCTTCCCTGTACACAACATTTCCTGAGATAAATGAATATACTAAGAACACTTGAATGTCATTTAAAATTAAATATGATATTTTAAGGTTTGCTAAGTATGGTGTGGAAAATAACTCCTAAAATGCATCTGCTGGAGTGATGAAATCCTCAATGAGATAACAACAATAATATAATATTAAATTCTCACTCTTACTGAGGCCAATGCATTATGGGAACAATTTTCCTATTTGAAAAACCTAAATCTACGGTTTGGTAATTATCAATGGTTCATCTGGGGTGAAGAAATATTAACTTTGCTATCACACATCATCTCTATTGCTTTGAGTTGCTCCTTGCCTTTATCTGTTGTATTCCGTAATTTTTTCTACAAATAAATCCATACAAACATTATTATTTCCAATGCAATTTTATTTTACATTCAACAAATAGACCCATATCATTAAATTTTTAACAATTGGTTAAAATTATTTTGATACAATAAAATGCAACTGAAGTCGAACTTCAATTCAATATATTCAGTCTATAATTTTCAATTACCTCGTATCGTTGTTCTATTTGCTTGGAGGCCCACATTCCATATTTTGAATTCTTACTTTTGGATTTGGAATCATTGTGTGCATAATGGCTCGAGCTCTGGAAGAGATGGAAAGATTAATAACATAACATGTATTTCCATTTCATTAACTATTCTACTCTAGGAATTCAACTATATTATTTTGGACAGGCCCTCATTATTTTTATATCTAGGTACTCAACATTTAGACACTTAGCCTAACTGAACATGAGTAACATGCCCTTGCATTATAGGTGTTCAACATTATGATACAAACAAGGCCCTCATGTTATACAGCTAATCACAAATAAAACACTGAACAAGGCCCTTGTGTTATATAGCTACTCACCAATAAAATAACAAACAAGGCCCTCAAGTTATATAGTCACTGACCAATAAAACACTAAACAAGGCTCTTGTGTTATATAACTACTCACCAATAAAATATCAAGCAAGACCCTCATGTTATATAACTACTCACCAATAAAACACCAAACAAGGCCCTTGTGTTACATAACTACTCACCAATAAAATATCAAGCAAGACCCTCATGTTATATAACTACTCAACAATAAAACACCAAAAAAGGCCCTCATGTTATATAGCTACTCACCAATAAAACACCAAACAAGGCCCTCATGTTATATAACTACTCACCAATAAAACACCAAACAAGGCCCTCATGTTATATAGCTACTCTCCAATAAAACACCAAACAAGGCCCTCATGTTATATAGCTACTCACCAATAAAACACCAAACAAGACCCTCGTGTTATATAGCTACTCACCAATAAAACACCAAACAAGGCCCTCGTGTTATATAGCTACTCACCAATAAAACACCAAACAAGGCCCTCGTGTTATATAACTACTCACCAATAAAACGCCAAACAAGGCCCTCGTGTTATATAACTACTGACCAATAAAACACCAAACAAGGCCCTCGTGTTATATAGTTACTCAGCAATAAAACACCAAACAAGGCCCTCATGTTATATAAATACTCACCAATAAAACAACAAACAAGGTCTTCATGTTATATAGCTACTATAGCTACTCACCAATAAAACACCAAACAAGGTCATCATGTTATATAGCTACTCACCAATAAAACACCAAATAAGGTTATCATGTTATATAGCTACTCACCAATAAAACACCAAACATGGCCCTCGTGTCATATAACTACTCACCAATAAAACACCAAACAAGGCCCTCATGTTTTCTGGATTCAGTTTTGCAGCCTGAGAGAAGTAAGAGAGAGCTGTGGCATATTCGCCTTGGGAATATTTGATCTGAAAGTAAGAATACAAAAAATTAGCATTGATTTTTCATTTCTCATTATTAATCACTTTTTTACGTAGGCAATACTCAGTTATAATGTTTCAAACATCCATTGATGTAAACTGTATAATATTCAGATATGTGAAATAGACGATGAAAAATTTGCCCAAACAGAAACTGATATGTTGAAGAGACCATTAGGTCAACTATAAACTATAGCTTATTGCCTCCACTTTGCAAGAAGAAAAACGTGTCTTGCAACAAGTCTTCTTCAGGTTGGGGGTGTCACAAGGGCTTCAAGCAAGACTAAGGAATAACATACTTCTGCATATCTCTGGTAGTAGAGATGGTTATGTGGGTTTTGCAAGATGAGTTCTTCCATACAAAAGGCAGCCTTTTGGAAGTCATTCTGCCCAAGGTACAAGTCACAAAGCTCACCCCATGCCTCATAGTCACCACAACACCTGCAATCATAAAATAGTGCTACAATTATAAGAATGTAATAAAATTCCAGTTCAGAGCCCAAGAACAGAATATATAAGTATAGTTGGAGTGTTACTTTGACGTAAGTCGTCAAAGTAACATACATTGCTAATATAATGGACTTTCGTCAATGTAACAAAAGCGAGGGGCTAAATATATGAATTGCAACTTTATTTACGAAACAAATTCCAAATCGAAGAAACTTCTATAAAACTATACTATATTTTCTAGTTTTGTGCCAAATTATAATCTGCAACTTGACTTATAAAGAGGTTTAAATCGAGAAACTGTAAATAACTTACTCATTTAGGTATTTGGTAAGCTGCTCAATGGCCTTTTCATAATTGTTCTCACACTTGTGAACAGCAATAAGTCTCTTTTTGGCAAACTGTAAATACATAACATAAGAATTTAGAACAATACAAGTACTTTATTCTTAGCAAGACATATTCATATAATATTCTGGATGATCATACCCGTGTAATGGATAAAATCAAACAATGAAACTTCAATGTTCAATAAGATTTCTCAAACAGGGCAAAGAGGAATCAAACCCTTTTCAGGGACAATATATCTCAAATGATATTTAAAATGGCTGTGACTGATAACAAGAAGTACTTTAAATGTAGTCCTATTCCAAAAATCTGAACAAGATATTATACCACTGTGTACATCTTTGGTACCACAAAATAGTGTTCCATGTACAAAGGTTCATTTTATTATTTTACTTACTTTTTTTATTTTTTTTATTTACTTTACATTTTAAAAAATGGGGCTTTAAAAAGAGTTCTACTTGAGAGTTACTTAAACAGATTTTTCACTTAACAGGTTTTACTATAAAAGCAATTTGCCAAATGTGGTGTAAATAGACAAGTACAACTTACTTGGTTAGTTGGATCTCTTTGTAGAATCTCGTTATATTCTTGCTTAGCCTTTTCATATTCTCCTATTGCCTCTAGCTCCATACCAAGTAACTTCATGACTCGTAAACTATTAGGAAATTTGTTATGTAGGGCAGTTATACAATCCTATAAAACACAACACAGCATAATATATATATGGATACCAACGTCCAGCATCTTAAAGCCATTAAACATTATTCATAGTCTGAAAGCATCAATTAAGGTGCAGAAATATCTAACAAATGACGTAATTCATTTATTCCTTGGGGTTAAACGCAATTATGACACGATACGCCATTGATTTATGACAATTTAAAATTTCAACATTTCACATACTGTACAGAGTTAATTTCAAAATGTACCTGTCCAATCTCCAATCTACCACAATCAAAGGCTGCAATGCACACTTGCTCATAGATTAACCATACTGAAACAAGAGGAAAAACAAATAATGACAAATCATAAACTAGATGTGTGAATTTTCTTCAAATTAACTAAAACTATAACATTCACTGGAATGAATATACTGTACTGTACAACAAGTCATAAGTTTATACATGTACAGTACTAGGAACTTTGATTGATAGTCATCTTGAGTAATAGATTCTTTTAAAATTGGAATAATTAGGTGCTGTAAACAGTTTATAATTTGAAAATGATCATGCAGCCAGTCAAAATCAGTATCTCCATAAAGTTGAGAATTCGGAGAATCATGAAGAATTTGTTATTTTGAATATGTCGTTTGAATATCTTGTCAGAATTCAGTTGACTAATTTCAATATTATATGATTGTAGCTTACACTCATCCCCAAGCCATGGTATGTTGTTCTCTAATACTGTTTCCCAGAGTTCTACCACCTCCTCACTACATCTGTAATTTTGTTCTCTAATCACCTTCACACGCTCTTTGGCACCTACAAGCATAAAATTCCCACAACTGGGGTCAGCTGAAAGATCTCCATTTAATTTAAGATACCCAAAGCCTTTAAAAGAGATCTGACTGGTGGAGCTCTAATACAGGATATGCCTTCCCATGATACTAATGGTCAGTTCATCTCTGTAATTGATCTCATTGGTCCTCAACATTTCAGAAAAATTGCCAGAACTCATCACTTTCTAGAAAGGAACAAATAGAAAGCCATTTCTTATGGTTGTTAATGGTCCCATGTGTAAAAAATGTATATTTCAGATTTTTTAGTTTTTTGTGCAATAAGCCTGTGCCGTCTTGTAATTTGAAGAATTTCAGCCATGTTAATCTTATTGAAAATAACATGGCAGAGAAACATCCAAATATAATAGGCCACACACTTTATAAGCCAAACTAGAAGCAATCCAAGATATACAAATGTCATTCATGTACATTATGAATATACTTTTCACACCAGAGATTACAGAAAACACCATGAAGTTTCTTAAAATCCACTAGAAACAATAACCAAATTTTGTTAAGACTATGTGATCATTTGATTAAATTGGCTGTTTCTTGTGATGTGATGTAACTGAAAGATGAAGAGCATCGGACATCACCAGAAACTATCAAATTTGGACATTATCTTAACACTCTGAAAATTTGGAACAATTGTCTCAGGAAATCTCTATTCACATCGTCAATATTTATTATTTATATTTATTAAATTAGCAATGTGTATGTAGATAATCATGTTTTTATTTTTGAGTTATTTCCTTAAAGAGGCTCTATACCATAGGATAGCACAATCAAGACCCCTCTGGACCTTTTTGCATATTGGGATTAACCACATATTCATCCATCTACTTACTCTTACCCTTTAGTGTTAATTTTAATTAATTCAATCTGAAGTTTAAATAAAATATACCGGGAAAATCCCCCTGTTATATGATTAATCGTTGAATTTGTTTATCATGAACCTGAATGGCTGCTTGGTTCTAGGCGCGTTAGGTGCTTGTGTGACCCAACGGGGATTCCTCTCGCTAGCCGAGTAATCGATTGTGTTTAACTCTGGAGGTTGGTTGTTCTGTTGATTATTTCAATATTTCGGTAATAATATACCCTTAAGTTATTCTCAAGATATATCCATGGTATGTGAGATATTATATTAGCAATAACGAAGGGACATCACAGTGTGTCGGATAAGCAGTCGTCATTCGCCAAATACCATCAGAAAATACATCTGACGAACAGTTTTGATGGAGCACTTGCCATATCGGCGATCTGGGATCAAATCAGACTTGAAAACCCGAAAAATAATGGCATATTTCTGCCAAGGAACTCACCGAAAGATATTTATCGTGATGATGCACTGAATTACAAAATATGCCACTTTTTCCGCATTTTAGTATAAGTAATGATGAAGTACTCTATTATCGCCTGCTGACTTCTTTCGAAAATTATTTTTTCTGTGTATTTCGGTAATAATACTTGGTTATTCTTTGATATTTCTTGAACTTTGTGAAGCAGGGTGAATGGTTATTAGAGGTCGGCGCTAAAAACGGCGATTACTGTTACTAAGCCACGATAATTTTTGGTTCTTCATTAATTTTCTGTGTAGATCTACAAACTTGACTTTTATGAGGAATATTTGGAGTCACGAGACCTAAAATGGCTGCAATCTAAATTCCAAAGTTTTGTTGTCTAATAGAACATTGATTTACTCCAACAACAGACTGTTGAAGGAGCAAAATAAGGTAACAACAAATAAATTATGTATTGATTCAAAAATCAGAGATACACGATAGTTGAAAAAAACTTGATAGCCATTGTGGCTAATTCTTCCGAAAATTTTTTAGCCAACCAAAATATGAATTAGCCATTTTGACCGAAAAAAATTTAACACTTCTGATGACCGTTTTCCTTTTAAAAAATGGAATAAAATACTAGGAAGACCATATTTGGTTGAAACCAGCTATACTGTTAAGCTGCTATACATTTATTAAGCATTTTTGAAGGACACAACTACCCCGGAGAGAATATACAGATACATGATGATGCGCCACAATACTGATAGAGTTCTACTGTGAAATAGCATAGTGTGTAAAATTAATATATATGTCGCGTCATGAGTGACCAGAAATCTACTTTTCCGAAAAAGTTTTCTTCTGAAAAGTCGTTAAAATTCAACATTTATAAAGTTGTTTGGTGAGTAAACCGTAAAAAAAGGGAATTCGCCATAACTGCGAAATACCTTTACATATTTTTCGCCACCTCTTTCGAAAATTTGCGATTGGCGAATGTCTACCGTGATCTCTGCAAAAATATAGCATATTATAAAAAATGGGCTCGGTTTTTTCTCCAGTTTCCCAGAGCTTTTGTCAGCTCAGTAGAGTAAGAAATATGGGAAGTTACCTACCATTCTAGACATCTAGTTGAAAGCCCATGGAGATGGTGAAGGTAAAGGTCAATTCGAGGGTCATATTTTGGGGTGTGGTTTTTGGATGTACTATTTTGGGTTTTGTGTCCGGTCTTCGCATTATTTAATTGAGCCTACTTCCAATGGGGACTGGATCTGACTCGGGGCCTGGTGTGCCACAAAAAAAAATTAGATCTATCAAAAAAATAAACGCCGGTAATTTGTCAAGGAATTCTTACATAATTAGCTCAGGCAGTAACAATAAAATTGTTAAAATGAAACAATGGTATAATCAGTTAGTAGAGTGATGTTTGAAATGAAGATCAATAATGTATGTTTTCTGTTTAAGTATGAAATATATGTTCCTACCATCTAAACTTGAAATTTTTGACGCCATTCTGTATACGGTAGTTCTCGTTCACCACGAGATTTAGACGAGATATCTCCTCTTGCGCATGCGCGTTTGACTCATTACTATAGCGACAAAGAAGCCAGGTTAAAAATTTCCACTTTCACATACGTTTTCATTGTTTTTCTCAACTTTACATTCAAAATGATACCACCAAATGCATCCCTCGTAAAATATGACAACCCTGTACTCGTCAGTAGAAATACAGACAAGAAAACTCCAAGAGTAAGTATGAAATCACAGTTCAAAACTAAAAAATATTTTCCTTCGGGCTTCAGTCTGAGTTCATATTCAGTTCAACTCATTAGCGCCCTAGCTTACTCAACTTCAAATTGAAGCTCAAGTTGAAACAAATTTTACCACTTTACAGCTGACACTGGTGACAGAGGTAAGAAAAGGACAAAATATAATATATGTTATCAAACCTCTATAAATTTTCTTCTGTGCTTGCTGAATCTCTCTGGCGGTAAAGGTATCACGACATTATATTCCAGCCCCAAAGGACAGAGGCAATGTCATCCATATAGGTAATCGCATACACTGAGTGTCCGACAATTACCTACTTGGACTACATTACCTCCATGTAGTCTACTCTATATCTGCTTAGGCTGAATGGGCTTAGCTATAGCTTTTTTGCAGATTATATAGACAAGAGGGAAAATACTTCAGAATTCTTTCCTAAGGCTCAATTTTGTTTATTTTACATTTCCAAGATAAATTTAAAATAAGAGTGAAAATCCTTCACAATATATAATTTTGTTCTCGCTGTTGCAGTCTGAGGATTGAAATTTACATTACAGTACCCTGTAAGAGGCTAGAGGTGTATTGAAATCTAACAAAAAGGTGTACTGGGCTATTCCTAGAAAATACATAAATAAAATATGAAACTGTGTCTTTCTGAAATTGAACTACATGTACATATACTGAACTCAGAAGGACAACGATCCATTTGTTCAATTGTCATATTTTTGAGCATCAAAATAAGGAACAGAACTCACATTGTATGTTTCATGAGATCTGATTTATTGCATTAATATTTATAGGCAAGGGCCCTTAAAGTGAGTCCCCAACAGCCATCTAATGGAGGCCCAGTGCCAAGTCCACCTCCTGGCAAACAGAAGCTTGCACCAGTAGATGCCAAGAACTCCCAGCAAACAGATGAGATCCTCAACTCTATCCTTCCACCAAGGTAATATCAGCAAAGTAACAAAACTTGTTGGAATAGTGTTATCAGTCAAACTCCTGCATTACTAACTGACATACATGTATTATCTATTGTACTCAATTTTGAATAAAATACATATAAGATGTTGCTGTTTATTTTAGCAAATGAGAAATCAATTGACCATAAAATCATATACTTAACCCTTGTACATCATCAGGGACTCCCCTCTCCTTTGATTGGAGCAAACAGCATTAGATATCACAATATTGTATGTTAGCCTACACATTTTTTACATGCTTCAGGGAATGGACTGAGGCTGGGCAGCTGTGGGTACAACAAGTGTCGAGTACCCCTGCAACCCGTCTAGATGTTGTTAACCTACAGGAAGAACTTGACCGTAGACTACAACAGAGACAAGCCAGGGAAACAGGAATCTGTCCAGTCAGGAGAGAACTCTACTCACAATGCTTTGGTTAGTCAATGCCTCCTTAAAAAAATAATCCCCTAAACTACTGTAGTATAGGGTGACCCAAAAATGAAAGCTATGAAAATGAATAAACAAGGTATTAACATGCATAATGTCACCACCTGCCATTTCCATAGATGTCAAACATCGACTGTCAAAAAGCTTCACAAAAAATAGAGACTACTGTATAATGATAGGTCATCACTTGTGGTCGTGACATAAAAATCCCATAATTGATTCATTTTGTGAGAACTACATATTTGGCACAACTTTGGTCAATACCTGTCTGTAATCTGTCTGCTTCAGATCCAATCTATCATAAATCAGTAGTTGTGAACTTTTATCATTCACACCCTGTATTGAATGCATTGCATTGCATTTGGGTATAATCAGAGGACACTTCAACATAAGGATAATCTGTACGGGATAAAAGCAATTCAAATGACTTGTTTATTTGAAAAATATTGGCAAAGAAAGATGAAACAAAATTCAAACCTCGACATATTGATGCAAGAGCATTCTATTAAACACTCTAGGCCTATTATATTTACACAAAAGAAAATTTAAGATGAGTCCATCAATATTGAAAAAGTCGTTTGATATTCAGTTTTGACATTACCCCGCCCTTTATCATATTTCATGTATTTATATCAAAGCAATTTCTCCTTTCTCATCATGAGACAAATCTGATGAAAAATTTGAATTACTGATCGGAAATCATTTGATTTGATTAATCATCCATATTAGCATTCATTGTTATTGTTTTATTATTGTGGAAACTTTTGAGACACATTCTTGACAGGTAATTCCAGGTCGAAGCATCTTTCAGTTGCAAGTCAGAGATAAATTGTCCCCCTCTGCTATTCCACTTCATTAATAACCTTGATTATGATGGACTATTCCATTGAACTTTGAAAATATAGGCAACAAGTCAATTTACCCAAGTTATCACCCGAGTTTTCAATCATAAACTGTACCTTCATCATTCCTTAGATGAACTGATTCGCCAAGTGACAATCAACTGTGCAGAACGAGGCTTGCTGTTACTGAGGGTTAGAGATGAGATCCGCATGACCATAGCTGCCTATCAGACTTTATATGAGAGCAGTGTGGCATTTGGAATGAGGAAGGCCCTGCAGGCAGAGCAAGGCAAAGCTGAGATGGAGCAGAAAGTAAGTGGAATTGAAACATATTTTAAACTATGACGCAGTCAAATACTAAATGTGTTTTGCTTAACAGAAATGAACAAGGCATTAACATGACAAAATGTCACCACCTTATTGCTCACAATATTAGGAGTTCAATCTTAAGTCAGATTTGAATTTCTGATAACTTGTAGATGACTTTGAAAAAATGAATTGGTAAATTTGAAGAAAGTTGAAAAAATACCCTTTTTGACCCTGAGATCATTGAAGGTGAAATTTCAAATCTAAAGTTAGATTTGAACTTCCGAGAACTTGTAGATGATTTTGGAAGAAAATTGGTCAATTTGAAGCAGGATGAAAAAATACCTTTTTGACCTTGAGAATGTCATTGAAGGTCAAATCTATAGTCAGATGTGAACTGTTGAGAACTTGTAGATGATTTTGAAAAAAGAATTTGGTCAATTTGAAGCAAGTTGAAAAAATACCTTTTTTGACCGTGAGAAGGTCAAATCTCAAATCTAAAGTCAGATTTGAACTTCTGATAACTTGTAGATGATTTTGAAAAAATATCGGTCAATTTGAAGCCTTTTTGACCTTTTTCAACCTTGAGAAGGTCATTGAAGGTCAAATCTCAAATCTTAAGTCAGATTTGAATTTCTGAGAACTTGTAGATGATTTTGAAAAAATAAATTGGTCAATTTGAAGCAAGTTTAAAAAAGACCTTTTTTGACCATGAAGGTGAAATCTCAAATCTAAAGTCAGATTTGAACTTCTGGGAACTTGTAGATGATTTTGAAAAAAAATTGGTCAATTTGAAGCAAGATGAAAAGACCCTTTTGACCTTGAGAATGTTATTGAAGGTCAAATCTATAGTCAGATTTGAACTGTTGAGAACTTGTAGATGATTTTTCAAAAAAAAAATTTCAATTTGAAGCAAGTTGAAAAATACCTTTTTGACCTTTTTTGACCTTGAGAAGGTCATTGAAGATCAAATCTCAAATCTAAAGTCAGATTTAAACTTCTGATAACTTGTAGATGATTTTGAAAAAAAATCAGTCAATTTGAAGCAAGTTGAAAAAGACCTTTTCAAATCTTAAATATAATGTCAGATTTGAACTTCTGAAAACATGTAGGTGATTTTGAAAAGAATTGAAGTCAGTCTAAACAGTATCTGTTAAGTTATTGGAAGTTGTAAGAATTTGTTAAAGACACTGATCGCCAACTGCCAACCACCAACCGCCGTCAAAAAAACGGAGACCATAACAATATGTCACCACTTTTTGGTGGTGACATAAAAAATAAAAAGTGGTTCCATTTTCACCCTTTAAGATATCTTGATGTGAATGTTGAACATATCTAAAACGATTAAGGAAAAGCACCTGGAATCTTCCACATCTTTTATTACATCATTTAGTATTTGTATTCTGGCCTATCAAATTCTTTCTCAATCAAGAAAGATAAAACGAGGATACTGGTATATCAGAATGTATCATTTGCATCACTAGGTCAAAAGCATGTACCTGGAGAAGACTCAAGGATATTTTGAATATACTTTTATATCATTGGCTCATATAGTATTACTATATTTAAATGCTTCTACTTCATGAATATGCCTGCATTTTCAAATTAAAAGTTACAGAAATTAGATTATCATATGGTTCCTTTCGTGTTTAGATCGATGAGCTTGAACAAGACAAAAGAGATTTAGAGCGTCAGGTAAATGAACTGAAGGCCAAATGTGAGCAGATTGAGAAACGTGCAGCAGAACAACGTCAAGTTGAAGAGAAGAAACACACAGAGGAAATCCAGTTCTTGAAGAGGACAAACCAACAACTCAAGGTATTTTAATCTGTTTTTTCCAAATATACAAGTACATGTACAGTTTTAATAACTGAAGTCATGTAAGACTAAGGCAAATATTGATGCATAAAGTTGTCTTAGGAGCACATTCAAGATTATCTTTTCTACTTGTTTGCCAAATAACGTGCAATAATACATGTGATCTTTTAAGTTCCAACCTCTACCCAGACATTTCAGGTTTCCTTTATTTATGTTATATACAAAGACATATAATACTATATTTTAAGTTTGCTGCTCTGAAAATATAGTCCTTTTACTGTACTTCTATTATTACTCATCACTAGCAATTAATATTATCACATTTTAATTGTCAAACTTGTATTTAAGGAAATTCAATTACAGTAACATGATTTGAGACCCACTAAAGTTACATAAAAATATGTTTGTTTTACAGACTCAGCTTGAAGGCATCATAGCTCCCAAGAAGTAGAAACAGAGAACTGGCAAATATAAGCGTGATGAATCTTCAAACAAATCTAGAATATTTGGAAAACTATTCAATGGACAATCCAAACCTGATACATGGAAACTAAGGCCAGATACACCCGCATGAACACTGGAAAACATTAAACCTCTTCACTATGAATAAATGTGCTGTGATAAGTTATAATCATTATGCAGAGTAAAGCGAAAACTTTCGAGATTCATAAATAATCCGTCCAATTTATATAAAGTGTTCTCGAACTTTTTTATCATCTATTTTCCGTCCAATGTAAGCTGCTCGATTAAATATTTTAATATTATATAAATCCATTGAATTTTTGTTACAAAAATGTAAATATCATTTAAATGTATATTGTTGTGTAGTAATATAATATGTAAATATAAACTTTAGGACTTATGTTTGGTTGATGGTAAACACTTTCATTCATTCAGAATGCAACAGATCTTTCCAATAAATCCTGCCTTGCTGATTGCAAGGTTTCCTCATAAAAAAGGATCTACTTTTAACTTATTTTGAAAATCGAAAAGTTGTCACTCATTCTCCGTGGATGATCCATTCCGTGGTAATACATGGCCTTGGATTGAATGTCTTTAACTGGTAAATGAGGTTATTATGAACGGCACTGACCCGCTCAGTCATATACAACTAAAATATCTGTAGCCAACAAGTGAAATCGGTTCCAATCATCGAGATTTAAAATATACTTTATGACAATTTTTTTTTACGTTTTGGCGAATGTAAACAAAGGACATTACTTCACTAAGGCTTTTAAACTCTTCACTCGTAAGGTTTACAATTGATTTCTATACCAAGAAAAATCAATTTTCCTGAGACTGGGTGCTGTAGTATTGCGAAACATCTCCATTTCCATAGGGTAAGATCACCATTTTTACTGAAATTATCATATCAGTGATACATAAAAGGACAACTGAAATAGGTTTTCTCAACTTGCAGCTACAAAAGTGCAGTTTTCTTCATTGTAAGCCCAACGTTCTTGTGATAACCATTATAAAAGAAATGTTAGATAACTGTAAATAGTCATAAATACCGTAGTAAAATTAACTGATCAATCAGATTGGCATTAACTAAAATTTGAATCAAATCAGACTACATGCATGGTGTACATGTTTTTTGTTTTTTTATTTCTGTATATCTCTACCTTTCAGGAGGCTATGAAACCAAATTAGAACATGAGTAATTCAATTTCTATTCTAACAGAAGAATGTCATATTTCTCTTAAATTCTTTTAGAATTGTGTATTTCATATAGCTGCCATGTAGGATTATGTACATTAATAAATACATTAGAAAGGAACATATAAGAGTTGCATTGTACATCACAAACACACCCTCTGCATTTCTACAAGTTAAAACATTTCTAAATTTAGTCATGTCCTTATTTCTGGGAGAATGACCTTGTCAGAAAGTCAGCTTGTATCACATACCAGACTGTTTATTAACTAAACGATAGACTTCTCACATATAACAGAATCTTTGGTTAGATTCAAATATATTAATCTTGCATTGCACTTGGATGTGTATCAAACAGCAGTCTGCCTAGTTCATCACATACAGGAGAATTACATTATCAATCACAATTTAGATTTGGCCTGGGCTACTTTAGATGATGTATTTCTACCCAGTTCTTGGCATATATAAGTCCCTGCCTTCATCACCTTCTCCAAACTCACACCCTGAAAACAGAGGAGAAAAAACTCATTCAATATTAAAGTGTGCGCCAAAGTTTAAAACTGCGCAGGCGCACCGCTCTCGCTAAACTATATAAAGAGATTGCCCGGTACACAATTCAGAGGTAAGCCAGGAAGGCGAACGATCTTCGTCTCGTGACGATTTCCCATATAATCTTAACCAGGGAAGTTTCAACATTGAAATTGAAAATTACTATTAGATATACTTTGTAGATGTTATTTATGAAGCTATTTAGTGTTTGCATCAATCAAATGGCTCATTTTGAACATATAAAACGTATTTGTGTTTTGTTTCCCAGGGAATTGTATTGTATGTAGTACACACATAAATAGTGTACATTATACTTGAATAGCCTGGTTTACATAATATTGAAGGGCATGCTGATTACATGCACACGAGTACATGAATGAAGGCCTAATATTGATATACGTAGCTTGCATACCTAAATAAAAAATAAACTCTTCTAATCACCTAATGTAAACACGGCGGTATACGTAGCCTGATTTATCGGGGACTTTAAGAGGTAATTCTTCGCTTGAAAAATGATAAATACTGTATGCATATGTTAATCATGGAAAGCATAATGTCATAGTGGTAAGACTAGACTCAACAAAAACAAGATGAGATAACAAACATTTGTCATAATTTAACAATATTATTTGCTCATATCAACAGTCCATATTATGATATGACTACTTTTTAAAAAATCAGACAGTTCTAACTTTACTTAAAGAATATAGAAGTTAAAACAAGGTGTATGTTGGTGAATGGATATACTACTCACTGTTTCTATTCCTAAACCATTTAATAAATATAAAACATCTTCAGTTGCTACATTTCCACTTGCACCTTTGGCATAAGGACATCCTCCAAGGCCTGCTACAGAGCTATCCACAACTGATACACCCATCTACAACACAAGAACACCATGGAATTACAATACAATGAAAGGGCAGGAAGGACATCTCCAAGGCCTGCTACAGAGCTATCCACAACTGATACACCCATCTACAACACAAGAACACCATGGAATTACAATACGATGAAAGGGCAGGAAGGACATCCTCCAAGGCCTGCTACAGAGCTATCCACCACTGATACACCCATCTACAACACCAGAACACCATGGAATTACAATGCAATGAAAGGGCAGGAAGGACATCCTCCAAGGCCTGCTACAGAGCTATCCACCACTGATACATCCATCTACAACACCAGAACACCATGGAATAACAATACGATGAAAGGGCAGGAAGGACATCCTCCAAGGCCTGCTACAGAGCTATCCACCACTGATACACCCATCTACAACACAAGAACACCATGGAATTACAATACAATGAAAGGGCAGGATGGACATCCTCCAAGGCCTGCTACAGAGCTATCCACAACTGATACACCCATCTACAACACAAGAACACCATGGAATTACAATACGATGAAAGGGCAGGAAGGACATCCTCAAAGGCCTGCTACAGAGCTATCCACAACTGATACACCCATCTACAACACAAGAACACCATGGAATTACAATACGATGAAAGGGCAGGAAGGACATCCTCCAAGGCCTGCTACAGAGCTATCCGCCACTGATACACCCATCTATAACACAAGAACACCATGGAATTACAATACAATGAAAGGGCAGGAAGGACATCCTCCAAGGCCTGCTACAGAGCTATCCACAACTGATACACCCATCTACAACACAAGAACACCATGGAATTACAATACGATGAAAGGGCAGGAAGGACATCCTCCAAGGCCTGCTACAGAGCTATCCACAACTGATACACCTATCTACAACACAAGAACACCATGGAATTACAATACGATGAAAGGGCAGGAAGGACATCCTCCAAGGCCTGCTACAGAGCTATCCACCACTGATACACCCATCTATAACACAAGAACACCATGGAATTACAATACGATGAAAGGGCAGGAAGGACATCCTCCAAGGCCTGCTACAGAGCTATCCACAACTGATACACCCATCTACAACACAAGAACACCATGGAATTACAATACGATGAAAGGGCAGGAAGGACATCCTCAAAGGCCTGCTACAGAGCTATCCACAACTGATACACCCATCTACAACACAAGAACACCATGGAATTACAATACGATGAAAGGGCAGGAAGGACATCCTCCAAGGCCTGCTACAGAGCTATCCGCCACTGATACACCCATCTATAACACAAGAACACCATGGAATTACAATACAATGAAAGGGCAGGAAGGACATCCTCCAAGGCCTGCTACAGAGCTATCCACAACTGATACACCCATCTACAACACAAGAACACCATGGCATTACAATACAATGAAAGGGCAGGAAGGACATCCTCCAAGGCCTGCTACAGAGCTATCCACAACTGATACACCCATCTACAACACAAGAACACCATGGAATTACAATACGATGAAAGGGCAGGAAGGACATCCTCAAAGGCCTGCTACAGAGCTATCCACAACTGATACACCCATCTACAACACAAGAACACCATGGAATTACAATACGATGAAAGGGCAGGAAGGACATCCTCCAAGGCCTGCTACAGAGCTATCCACAACTGATACACCTATCTATAACACAAGAACACCATGGAATTACAATACGATGAAAGGGCAGGAAGGACATCCTCCAAGGCCTGCTACAGAGCTATCCACAACTGATACACCCATCTACAACACAAGAACACCATGGAATTACAATACGATGAAAGGGCAGGAAGGACATCCTCAAAGGCCTGCTACAGAGCTATCCACAACTGATACACCCATCTACAACACAAGAACACCATGGAATTACAATACGATGAAAGGGCAGGAAGGACATCCTCCAAGGCCTGCTACAGAGCTATCCACCACTGATACACCCATCTACAACACAAGAACACCATGGAATTACAATACAATGAAAGGGCAGGAAGGACATCCTCAAAGGCCTGCTACAAAGCTATCCACCACTGATACACCCATCTACAACACAAGAACACCATGGAATTACAATACGATGAAAGGGCAGGAAGGACATCCTCAAAGGCCTGCTACAAAGCTATCCACCACTGATACACCCATCTACAACACAAGAACACCATGGAATTACAATACGATGAAAGGGCAGGAAGGACATCCTCCAAGGCCTGCTACAGAGCTATTCACAACTGATACACCCATCTACAACACAAGAACACCATGGAATTACAGTAAAATAAAAGGGCAGGAAGGACATCCTCCAAGGCCTGCTACAGAGCTATCCACCACTGATACACCCATCTACAACACAAGAACACCATGGGATTACAATACGATGAAAGGGCAGGAAGGACATCCTCCAAGGCCTGCTACTGAGCTATTCACAACTGATACACCCATCTACAACACAAGAACACCATGGAATTACAGTAAAATAAAAGGGCAGGAAGGACATCCTCCAAGGCCGGCTACAGAGCTATCCACCACTGATACAACCATCTACAACACAAGAACACCATGGAATTACAATACAATGAAAGGGCAGGAAGGACATCCTCCAAGGCCTGCTACAGAGCTATCCACAACTGATACACCCATCTACAACACAAGAACACCATGGAATTACAATACAATGAAAGGGCAGGAAGGACATCCTCCAAGGCCTGCTACAGAGCTATTCACAACTGATACACCCATCTACAACACAAGAACACCATGGAATTACAATACGATGAAAGGGCAGGAAGGACATCCTCCAAGGCCTGCTACTGAGCTATCCACAACTGACACACCCATCTACAACACAAGAACACCATGGAATTACAATACGATGAAAGGGCAGGAAGGACATCCTCCAAGGCCTGCTACAGAGCTATCCACAACTGACACACCCATCTACAACACAAGAACACCATGGAATTACAATACGATGAAAGGGCAGGAAGGACATCCTCCAAGGCCTGCTACTGAGCTATCCACAACTGATACACCCATCTACAACACAAGAACACCATGGAATTACAATACGATGAAAGGGCAGGAAGGACATCCTCCAAGGCCTGCTACTGAGCTATCCACAACTGACACACCCATCTACAACACAAGAACACCATGGAATTACAATACGATGAAAGGGCAGGAAGGACATCCTCCAAGGCCTGCTACTGAGCTATTCACAACTGATACACCCATCTATAACACAAGAACACCATGGAATTACAATACGATGAAAGGGCAGGAAGGACATCCTCCAAGGCCTGCTACAGAGCTATCCACCACTGATACACCCATCTACAACACAAGAACACCATGGAATTACAATACGATGAAAGGGCAGGAAGGACATCCTGAAAGGCCTGCTACAGAGCTATCCACAACTGTTACACCTATCTACAACACAAGAACACCATGGAATTACAATACGATGAAAGGGCAGGAAGGACATCCTCAAAGGCCTGCTACAGAGCTATCCACAACTGTTACACCTATCTACAACACAAGAACACCATGGCATTACAATACAATGAAAGGACAGGCCTTAGATCTGCTAATACATACAACTCTTGAATTTGGTACCCGATTTTACAAGAAAAACACCAACTCTCTAGAGTAGCAAATCACAATGCATAAATACGTATTTTATCAAAATGGTTTTGAACATATCATGACTGTAATAACCAGGCAATAGGATTGTTGTCTTAAGTAATATCTATTATCTACACCTACACCAATTTAATTAGGTGAATCAGCTAAACACATTTTTTGTTGACTCAGTTTTTTATAATCGTGTTGACTAATTTTTTCCGCCTCTTTCACCATCACTTATAATATAATTTGCCAGAGATTTCTCATATCATGCCTCATTACAGTGAAACCTGCATATCCGAACACCTCTTTTATCCGAACATCTCTCAATGTGAACACCTTTTCTTGGTCCTAATTTTATTCCCATTGATTTTCATGTTTATAAAACCTTGGAATGTGAACACCTGCTAATCTGAATACTTTTGGTCAGTCCCAGAGGCATTCGGATTAGATAGGTTTTACTGTACTATTCTTTACGTAAACGTAAGTCATCATATGATGCAGATTGTGTAAGAATGAAGGCGTAATTGAGTGCTCTTTACATCAGTTAAATGTAATTTTGTAAAGTTAATAAGTAGAATAAAAGCAATAATTTGTGAATATTGCAAAATATTGCAAGTTAGTCATTACTCTTTGTGTCAGTAACATTTAATTCAGAAAAATCAGTAGGCACTAACATTGTGAAATTAAAAAAAAAAGATTTTACATAAGTAAATTCTGTAAAATAATTAGGCACTAATATTGTGAAAATGGTTTACAAAATGAAATGCGTCAAATCAATGACGTAAACAATATCCATATTGCTATGAAACACAAGAAGAAATGACGACAATATTCTACACTGTAATACAAGTCATTTACCGGACAGAATGTCACCACTTGGCTGTATGTAGTATTAGGGACCAATGGAAAACTTCAATGTTAGAGAGTGAACTATATTCTAAAAGTTAACTCTCAGATACCCCCTCCCCTGTAAACTATACATGTATATGAGAAATGTTGACACTCATAATTCTAACAGGTTTCCAACTTTTGGCAACCTATATAGGACTTTAATTTTCTTTTTGACTATCATGTATTCCTTTATAAGGGATGATTGCTTTATTTAGTGAACAACTTTGAGCTTTTGTATTGCAGTCTTACATGTATCTAAAGCTGATAACTGTCCACTAGACAGACTAATGGCATTGTTCAGCATGAAAAATGTTGCCTTTGGTACCACTACAATACCACAAGATGATGTGGGTTGTGTTTTGAAAAAACTGACCACCGAACATTAATCACCAAATGCCAACCGCTGAATACAGTTCACAAAAAAGTTGGGAAATATAACAATATGTCACCATTTCTGGTGGTAACATAAAAAACATTTTGAAATGATACACACCTGTAGAGCTGCATATATATTACTGATTGCCTGTCCATATGTATCATGACAATGCACAGCTAGCTTGTTTAAAGGAACACACTTAGCAACTTCCTCTAACATCTCAGACATGGCTATGGGTGTAGCTACACCTATAGTGTCACCTAGCGATATCTCACAGCATCCCATATCATATAGTTGCTTGGATACCTGCAAACAGTGTATTGTAGGTAGAGGTGCATCAAGGAAAATGGAGGGGAATTATGGGAAACAAGTCCTTTCAGACGCATTTGCGGAGAAACTGTTCAATATCATTTTATTCATTTTATGAGACACACTTTAAATGCAGAACTGCTGGATGTACCGTATGTTAATAACCATTTTTAAGGAGGTAATTTCCTTTTTTTGACGAAAGATCGTATAAGATTGTGACCAATAGAAGCGGGCTAAGCAATATCACTTCACTAAGAATATCACTTCTTAGAGCAGATTGAACAAGCACATTTATCTGGCCTGAATTAAGCACAGGTCAAAGGGTTTAATCAAAGCACAATCTAATCTTGAGTCATTATTGGGCAACTTTCCCATTAATAAACCTGTGACCCATATGATCTGGAGCCAATCTGCGTGAATCAACCTGACAAACTAGAAAACAGCAACTCCTCGGAGTAGCAAATCATCTTAAAAATGTCTTCTTGAGCAGGGCTCCTTTGTACCCAGACAACAGCATATAAAATTTGAACCAAATCCATCCACTAGTATTTGAGTTATCAAAGATTATATTTTTTCCGAAAAATGGCTGCCATTTTGAATTAAGTGGCCATATTGAAAATTCCTTCTCAAACAGAGGTCCTACACCCATAAGGCATAAGCCTATAAAATTTGAATGAAATCCGTCAACCGATATTTGATTTATTGCCCGGACACACAAACAGACGGACGGCTTTCCTATATCCCTCTCGAACTTCGTACAGTGGGATAATAAGTCTTACCTCAGCTACTTTTATAGGGTGAATCTTTCCTTCATACGGGCAACCCACTACACAAGACACATACCTGGAACAATCAAATACAACATTGATTACCCTGAATATACCTAAATATTCTGGAGGCAGTAATAGTCTATATACCACTTATCTCTGCAGCAAGCAAATAAATGACAATATCTTGATAAGTCTCAGAACTATTTCTATGACAGGGACAATAAAGTGTCTTTTAATAATAAATGTCTTATAAACAGGTTTAACAGTGCAGAACACATGAACATTTCTTCAGTACACATTATATAAGTTAAGTAAGCTTACATATACATGTACATGTATAAGTCAATCACCTGGAGGAATTAAGGACATGTTGAATACGTAATACAAGCTGTAAACAAAATAACAAACACTAGCAAATCAAACACATAATCTGTGTATATTGTGAAAAACTGCCATTTATGAGAAGTGCCAACAAAGAATATGTATTTAGTAGAATGGAATCATAAGTAAGGATTGAAAACAAGGAATGGTACATACCCCCTGACAGGTATTTTGTCTCTCTTTGCTGCCTCCATTACCTCAGACGACCTGCGCAAACTCTCTGCAATGTCGCAGTTAATATTTTTTCTGGAATAAAATTCAAATTTTAAGTTTTGGTACATCCCATATCCAATCCTTCCCGATTATTACATTTTAAATAAGAATCAATGTACATGTATATTAAGGACATTTAGTACATTTGATGTGTGAGAACAGTATTACCAATAATTTTAACTACTAAGATGTTTGCAATTTAGATTGCAATGAAAAAAATTAACAGCAAATAATCATGGAGGTTGAAATAATAATTTATTCCGTATTGTATATTCGCATTAGGGCATTAGGGACTCATCAAGCAAAGGTAATGGCCGTCACCTTCGCATCAAAGATGGCGGATGGGAAGTGTCGATTTCGATGCTTTCAGTTTTCATCGAATTAAACTACTTTGTAGTTGACGTAATGCTTTGATATTTGAACTAAACCCGACTTATATGATGTCTCGTTGCCGTGCATGGAAACCAACATGACCGTTACTGTATCTTACATTACCAGTTACCTTCCCTTAAGCGGTGGAATATATCCTTGAACTTGGGCGCCCACCCATGATATATGAACAAATCATCATATTCCATAGTTATATGAGTCTGATTTGGTTCAAACATCAAAGCATTACGTCAACTATAAAGTGTAGTTTAATTTGATGAAAACTAAAGATATTAAAACCTTCGCTTGATACTTACCAGTGATCTGTATAAATGCTTGAAATTGCAAACTGTATGAATATTGAATACCTGTTTATAAATTATGGTATGTAAAGGCAGTAAAAGACAAACATACTTTGAAAAACTTTCTGATGCCGCTACGAATACTGCAATTTCATCTGCCTTTGCTGAAACCTTAAAACAAAAAGAATTCAATAAATACTTCTAAGATTTCTTAAATGCCAAATTCTATTACATAACAATATATTAACATAAAAACACTTGTGAAGATTCTTGTGAATCAACCAATGACTAAATAATTGGCTTTTGTGACGTCAACCAGAACTTCTTCCGCCATCATTAACAAAAATTACAATATATACTTGTCATAGTAATCATTAGAATTTTTAAACAAACAACATATTCTATTCTTACAACACTTAACTAAAAAAAAACACTTAAAAAGTGTAAATTATGGTGAATCAGCCGATTCCTAATATAATTGGCTTTTGTGACATCAAGCTTAACTTCTTCAGTTATCATTATTCACAGTGTAATGCTACGTTACAAAAATGTTATTTATGAGTTCATTAATGCATTGCCATAGTAACATACATGTATATGTTTATTGTTGTTCACATGTGCACGTTGACAATAACATTTCAACATGAGTCATATTGACATTTTAAATTATGGCAAATGGTTCAAAAGTGTAACAATATGTTCCAGTCACCAACCACCCTCTGGCAACCACTGAAACCAAATGCCAATCAATGAACACTGAATGCAAGCCACTGGCACCAAATGCCAATCAATGAACACTGAATGCAAGTCACTGGCACCAAATGCCAATCAATGAACACTGAATGCCAACCACTGACACCAAATGCCAATCAATGAACACTGAATGCCAACCACTGACACCAAATGCCAATCAATGAACACTGAATGCAAGCCACTGACACCAAATGCCAATCAATGAACACTGAATGCCAACCACTGACACCAAATGCCAATCAATGAACACTGAATGCCAACCACTGACACCAAATGCCAATCAATGAACACTGAATGCCAACCACTGACACCAAATGCCAATCAATGAACACTGAATGCAAGCCACTGACACCAAATGCCAATCAATGAACACTGAATGCAAACCTCTGACACCAAATGCCAATCAATAAACACTGAATGCAAATCATTGACACCGAATGCCATTTCGTGAACACTGAATGAAAACAACTGAATTAACCAAATGCCAATCAATGAATACTGTTTGTCAACCACTGACACCAAATGCCAATCAATGAACACTGAATGCCAACCACTGACACCAAATGCCAATCAATGAACACTGAATGCAAACCTCTGACACCAAATGCCAATCAATAAACACTGAATCCAAATCATTGACACCGAATGCCATTTCGTGAACACTGAATGAAAACAACAGAATTAACCAAATGCCAATCAATGAATACTGTTTGTCAACCACTGAAACCAAATGCCAATCAATGAACACTGAATGCCAACCACAGACACCAAATACCAATCCATGAACATTGAATGTAAACCACTGACAACAAATGCCAATCAATGAACACTGAATACAAACCACTGAAACCAAATGCCAATCAATGAACACTGAATACAAACCACTGAAACTAAATGCCAATCGATGAACACTGAATGCCAACCACTGACACCAAATGCCAATCAAAAAACACTGAATACAAACCACTGAAACTAAATGCCAATCAGTTAACACTAGTGTTGTCGCGATGTGCCATAATCGTACATCGATGCATCGGCAATTTTCAGTAGTAAACATCGATGCACATCGCGATGTACATCGAGAAAAAGTTCGAGAAAAGTGCACTGAAATACCGAACGCTAATGCACTAAAATATCGAACAGAACAAATTAATAAGAGTACGCTGGTATATCCGGGAACATAGCAACAGTGAAATGAAAGTAAAGTAATTTTTTTAGATTAATGGTTCATTTCGACTAGCTAAAACAGTTTTAAAGCGAAAGAATATCAGAAAACATTTGAAAATGAAATAAGACATGAAAAAAGGTAAGCAATTTGCGTCAAAATAAGATAAGAAAGGGCGATTTTTAGCAAATCAATTTTTTTTAAAAACATCTATGTTTTGTTTCAGACATCGATGCATCCCCAGAACCAGCTTTGGCGATGTATATCGCGATGTATCGATTAATCGCAACAACACTAGTTAACACTGAATACAAATATACAAGTGTGAATGCCAAAGGGAAGGGTGACTAAAAACTTTAAAGAAACCCAACAAGAAAAGCAAACTGTAAGTGTAGATCTGTCATAAGAAAAGTAGACCCTATATATCCCAAAACCATGATCTAATGTGAAAAGAAACAATGTCTAACTTCCCCCTCCCCCTCCAATCGAGAATATCACAATCCAGGACCAGAACACCAAGGGACATTTCATTCATACTGAAGTCATTACAATACATGTTGAAGAAAAATTGAAAAAATTGATAGCCAATACTCATAACATCAAAAATAGTTGTAGATACTAGTGCTCATAAAATATAGAGTATTCAGTCTCAAATGATGTGGGATAGATAAAACCCAGTCTCGAAGTCCATAAGCAATTCAAAGGGTCAAAGTCCGTTCCCAAAGCCATCGTCATAATCCATAAAACACAATAATTCACAATGGTCATCAGGAGAAAACTATGGCTGGTTTCAATCCCTATTTCTCAAACATTAATGCCATAGCCGGGATCCACCTCAAAAGGTGCCAAGTGAAAAAATTGTGAGTTCATTGCCAATTTATTATACCATTCCTACATCCTTCAACATCTCAAGTGGTAAAACTTGAAATTTCGAAATTAATGATTTGTATTTCTTAAGTTTTTTACAAGTATAACCTTGACCTAACAGCTTGATCGCTAAAATATGGTGTCTTGATTTGAAATCTAGATATTTTGAACACGCCCTGCTATAATAAAGTACAGACACCATATGCCAATCAAAGAATACTGAATACAAACCACTGACACCAAATGCCAATCATTGAACACTGAATGCTGACCACTGACACCAAATGCCAATCATTTAAACCTGCACATCGCTCCAAAACGCAATATGTTGACATATATTGTTTTTACATTTTCATATCGCCGGCTCCGATCGAAGCAAATTCAATGAAAAATCTTTGAAATGACACATTTATCGTAAGTATTTCTACACAAGATTTGCCCCATTTGTTCATCATTCTATAATCTTTCATTAAGCTCAAAATGATAAAGTTCACCCCCGAAACAACCCAAGATTGCGTTTCGGAGCGTAGTCCAGCTTTAACACTGAATGCTGACCACTGAAACCAAATGCCAATCAATGAACACAGAATGCAATTAAATAATCCAAGCCCAACTGTCAAAAGGGGAAATTTCAAAAGAAATTCCACAAGATTATAGGAATCAGTCAGCCTTTCGATTTTAACTCTCTATCCTTGATTCCTAAAATCAGCACAATTCATTTTCTCAAGTTTTTCTTGGAAGTCAATAAATGCACGCTTCACCGAATTAATGACACTGCTCATGAAAACCCCATTAGTCAGGAACACTGCAACCTTTTTCAAACATTGATTAATGACAACATAATGTCCTGAACTTAAGAGGGTGGAACCATATCATCTAGAAATGTGTCAAGAACACAGGAAGTTTTATTTTGCATATCATTTATTGAACAACTAAAACAACAAAAAGCCAATCCTGCAATAAGGCAGGTGCATGTACTTTGTTTCTGAGACAGATCATTTACAAAATTCACATCAATTCTTCTTGTGACTGAAATAATACTATGTATGTTTGTATGATAACCAGAACAACGGCAACGCCAAAGCGTAGCGAATCCCATCGAACAGAAATGGCTGGCATTTTTACAAAGAAATATATAGCAAATATCATAAAATAACACACATAAGAAAGGTCACCATTTTCAAAATGGTTGCTCACTAGCCAAGTTGTCATCAGAAGAAGTAATATGCTTTTTCTTTATAGTATTCACATACCAAATATGAACAAAATTGCTCCACTACTTTTCGAGTTGTAGTAAAATACTTGAAAATGGTGGAAATTTTTCAAAATGGCCCGCCTTCTACCAAAAGTATGTCATTAGACAGTGTGCCATGCTTATAGTATTCACATACCAAATATGAACAAAATCACTCCACTACTTTTCGAGTTACAGCAAAAATCGTAAAACAACGAGTAAAGGCAGAGTAAAATACATTTAAATGGCGGCCATTTTTCAAAATGGCCACCTTCTACCAAAAGTGTCATTAGACCGTGTACCATGCTTATAGTATTCACATACCAAATATGAACAAGATCGCTCCACCACTTTTCGAGTTATAGTAAAATACGTTAAAACGGCGGCCATTTTTCAAAATGGCCACCTTCTGCCAAAAGTGTCATTAGACAGTGTGCCATGCTTATGTCATTCACATACCAAATATGAACAAAATCGCTCCACTACTTTTCGAGTTATAGTAAAATACATTAAATTTGCGGGGAGCCTTCTACCAAAAGTGTCATAAGACAGTGTGCCATGCTTATAGTATTCACAAACCAAATATGAACAAAATCGCTCCACTACTTCTTGAGTTACAGCAAAAAGTTATAGTAAAATAAGTTAAAATGGCCACCATTTTTCAAAATGGCCGCCTCCTACCAAAAGTGTCATTAGACAGTGTGCCATGCTTATAGTATTCACAGACCAAATATGAACAAAATCGCTCCACTACTTCTTGAGTTACAGCAAAAATCGTAAAATAACGAGTAAAGGCCGCCATTTTTCAAGATGGCTGCCATGTGCTTCTTTAATATCTATATTTCTAGCTTTATCAATGTCCTATATAATTTTTTACATTTAAAACATATTGCTATTACAGTTTTACATATTGCACTTAAATTACTGTAAAATCGGCACTAAAATGGCCGCCATTTTTTAATGAGCGGCCATTTTGAAAATCAGCTTTCGAGCAGAACTTCTACCCCCATAGGGTATATGTGTACAAAATATGAATAAAATCAGGCCAACGGTATTTGAGTTATTGCCCGGACGGACGGACGGACGGACGGACAGACGTACGGACGTACGTACGGACAGACGGACGGAGGCGTTCCCTATATCCCTCCGAACTTCGTTCGATGGGATAATTTATAAAAAAGCAAAAGGAATGTTAGAGTGCAACTTGATAACATCTGAGCAACAAGATAATTGAAGATCCTGTTAGCATTTCAATCTTTACTGCATACCTAAAATTCCAGTAAACTTGATCACAATGACATACATATAGTGAAATTATTTATTTTTGAGTATTTTCTGAACATAGTGATTGTTCAACAATATAATCCTTGATGGAGGAAGCACCAATCAATAAAAGTGGCTTTGTCAGTTTGATGCAATGTTGTTTGTTAATTAGACGATGATTATACATCATTCATGGCAGGTACTTCATAAAATAGGTTACAAGAGCACAATAATAGATCGCTACATGCACTTTTTATGCTTTTGAAATGTTGCATACCCGTCCTTTAGTTCAACAATACAATTCAATACTTCCAACATTCATAAATAGATCCATTAGCGATGCCAATCTGATATTCAAATATAAATACTTTAAATTTTTATCTCAATTTATCAATTTACTCAAGGATATATGTAAGATAGGGTCTAACCCAAATAACTGCCATTCCTCAGATACAGGGTGACACAAAAAGTGCCACCCAAATAATGTTAAATAACCTTTTCGTCCGTATGATTCCTGACTTTTTTTTGCACATTAAAACTAAACTTCATGGAGCGACTCCACAAGAAGTTTCAGATGATTGACTTAACTAGGCCCAATTTTATAAGCTTTATTTTCACAAAGAAAATATTTTTATGGAGCAAATCAAGTGATTCAGTATGGATTAGACATGTCAGAAATATTCTTATATCAGTAGATATGGAACAGGATTTTATTGATGAACAAGTTTTCAACCTTAAACTGTTAGAAACGTCTTTAATGGGAAATTATGTTCCTGCATGGGAAGTAGCAATAAAGGCTAAGCCAAAATTGCGCACTTATGTAACCTTTAAAAAAGTGCATAAAGTAGATAAGTATCTGTTACAATAAATTTTTCAAAATTTGAGCAAAGTCTAGCAGCTCAATTTAGACCAGGTATTTTGCCACTTAGGCTAGAGACAGGCAGATTTAAGGGCGAACATGTGGAAGAAAGATTATGTACACTATGTAACGATAAATCAGTTGAAACAGAAATACATTTTCTATTCCATTGTAATAGATATGATGATCTGAGAAAACATATTTTGATGAGGTAGATTTTAAAGATCTGGATAATGAAGGTAGCAAGGGAACATACCTGTAAAATTGTTAAATTTATTAAGATGGCTTTTGTGCGGAGAAGGCAATTCATTTACAACCTATGATATTGATTTTCATGTATTAATTTTGTATTTCCTATTGTTAACAGTGGTTAATAAGCCCAAGGTGGGTTGGGTAAAATTGTAATTAATTTTTTATATTTTATAATTGAATTGTAAGACTGACCACTATAAATAAATAAATAAACTAAACTAAACTAAAACTAAACTATAAGACATTCTCTAAATGTCAGAAACACCTGAATTCTATAGGTAAAGTTATTGACGACCCACACATTCCACATATTCCCAGACATAAATGGCCCTGATCTCTCTGGTGATCTCTATCTTCAGGTGTTCTATGGTTTGGAGGTTTGTTACATACACATGATTCTTCAAGTACCCTCAGAGATAAAAAAAATGAGGGATTATGTCAGATGAATGTGGTTAATAACTTTGCCAGTAGGATCCAGAAGTATGCCTGCAATGGAATGGACGACATTTTGATCACATCTTGTAACGATTGTATAGGCCCTCATTTTCCTCTGCAGTAAAAGCTTTATATCTAAAAACCTCTCTATGCTGAACGCCTCCCAAAGTGAATGCTTTTTGCCAATCCAGACACTTTATGCCATTTTGGAATTTCATGTTTTTTAATTTGCATGGAACTCAAATCTTTTTCTTTTTGCACCTTTTTAAATTTGATGCTGGGTATGGCATTAATGGTTGAGAAATAGTGATTGAAAATTGAAGAGAAAAGACAGGAAATCAAACGTACCATATAATACAATAAAAGACATCTGCTCTGCTGCGCATCGTAAAATACAGACCTTCTCGGGGAGAACATTTTCTGTATTTCACTCAAATCATTGAATAACTTCAAATACAAATACAAAGTATCTACAAATACTTTTGATGTTATGAGTATTGGTTATCTATTAAAATTTATTCTTCAGCATGAATTCACTTTAGTATGAATGAAATGTCCCTTGACATTGTGATCTTAGATTGTGATAATGGAACTTGAATGGTGGATGGGATGGGGTTATCAGACATTGTTTTTTCACATTAGATCATGGTTTGGGATAGTTGGGGTTTGTTTTCCTCATGACTAGTGTCCTCTTATATGTTTTGTTTTTTATTCTTCAAAGAGTATGATTATTGATATTACACATGCTAGCTTTCAGTTTTTCTGTACAGCAGCAGAAAAACAATTTTGATTTTATCCCTGTAGCATTTATTCCAAGGAAAACGAGCACATGTGATTTACCTGTATTTACTTACAGCTCCATTGTATCCTTGTATGTTAGGAGTGAGGGCAGCATATGTTGTGTTCTTATGTCTTGTTATACCTTTCATGACATCTGTGTGGTCACCCATCTACAACAACAAACCCTTGGATACTTAAATCTTAGCAAAAGTAATTTTCATGCTATTTTATGGCCATTTGTATGAAATCATCATGTACTTAATCATCACATAATGATGCAGAATGAGAATGTTTATAAGCATTATCACAATACACTCGGTGCACATATAAATTCATGTGCCCTCGAGCTTTAAAATATGAAAACTAGAAATGAATAGCACATATATGTTCCACATTTATCCCACCTTTCTGTTTTGTAACTAGCAATATCTCAAGACTAAGAATAGAGTGGACATGGAGTAGCATGGTTAATTTTCCCGTAAAATTTCATTTCATTATTTTCAGGCGTGAAAAAAATATCAATATACTGCAGAAGCAGAAATTAAATAAAATATCTGATATGTTTTATATGCAAGACACCGAACAAAGAATTCTAAATGGCAACATATAACAAGGATCGTTACCTGTGGCACCCATTTGGGAGACACAAAACTTGTCACTTCAATACTTGACAGCCCAGCCTCACTCAACAAGTCAACAAGTTTTACTTTGGTCTCTGTGGGAACAACATCCTGTATAGATATATTTGAATAAAAAATCATCATGCATATTTCTTTATTAATGACATTTTTCAAAATTTATTACTAAATTGTAACATAATATTATGTAGATTTCTTGAGTTCCATATTATATATATAATAATGTACTTAAAACTAATATCAAAATATTTGTTTCAATTATAGTTTTTTAGTTTATTGCCTGCATTTTAAATTTCTAAATTGTGCCTTTTGGTTTGCCTTAAAGTTCTTAACCATGTACATGTACTGTTATATTTTATTATACTGCACCTAAGCACCTTGATATTCTGTAAGCCGTCTCTTGGTCCCACTTCTACAATTTTAACTGATGTAGGCAGGCTTCCCTAGAACAAACAAATAACAAAATAAATCTAAAGGAACATTTGTATATTACCTTTTCAAATTTTCTTTCTGGTTTTTTGATTGGTCTCCTTTGGAATGGAATCTCATGCAAAAATATTTAGTGGCATCTATCTGGCCAGATAGAGATTAGAAATTCAAGCCCAAAACTCACAAATATTGTCATATAAATGCAAGAATTATGAGCTTATAGCAGGCCTGTCAACTGACCCACATTTGCTGAAGAAATTGAAGTCATCTCAGTTTTTTTATGTGACAGAATATGTCACACAAATACGTTTGTGATTATTGTCAAGCAAAAATATTTCCAGAGAAGAGCAAAAAAAAATGAATGCCAAAAACATAAAAAAACACCAAAAAACCAAATGCAACTTTCATTCAGAATTTTTTTGTATATGACACGCATTTGCTTTGATTTTTTGGGGTCTGCGTGATTTTGAAAAAAATTCTGGCCAGGGGGATTGTTCGCTCAAACCCCCCCAGCCCCTCTGGCTGTGGGCCTAGAGTATATGGTACATCAAACACTGGTGTGATGTTTTAATTGACATAAATTCCTTACAAGAAAACATACAATCATAACCAGAACAACGGCAACGCCAAAGCGTAGCGAATCCCATCAAACAGAAATGGCTGGCATTTTTACAAACGAAATATATAGCAAATATTATAAAACAACACACCAGAAAGGCCACCATTTTCAAAATGGTTAGCCAAGTTGTCATCAGAAGAAATAATATGCTTTTAGTAGCCACCTATAAAATTTTTGAAAAATCGCACACATGTACTTGTGAAATAAGTAAAAAATGTAAAAATGACAGCCATTTTTTAAAATGGCCGTCTACTATCCAAGTGTCATGAGACAGTGTGCAAGGCTCGTGAGTATTCACATATCAAATATGAACAAAATCGCTTCACTACTTTTCAAGTTATAGTAAAAACGTAAAAATGGTGGTCATTTTTCAAAATGGCCGCCTACTACCCAAAGTGTCATTAGACAATGTGCCATGCTTATAGTATTCACATAAAATATGAAACATACCAAATATGAACAAAATCGCTTCACTACTTTTCAAGTTATAGTAAAAACGTAAAAATGGTGGTCATTTTTCAAAATGGCCGCCTACTACCCAAAGTGTCATTAGACAATGTGCCATGCTTATAGTATTCACATAAAATATGAAACATACCAAATATGAACAAAATCGCTGAACTACTTTTCGAGTTATAGTAAAATACGTTAAAATGGCAGCCATTTTTCAAAATGGCCACCTTCTACCAAAAGTGTCATTAGACAATGTGACATGCTTATAGTATTCACATACCAAATATGAACAAAATTGCTTCACTACTTTTCGAGTTATTGTAAAATACGCTAAAATGGCGGCCATTTTTCAAAATGGCTGCCTTCTACCAAAAGTGTCATAGGACAGTGTGCCATACTTATAGTATTCACATACCAAATATAAACAAAATTGCTTCTCTACTTTTCGAGTTATAGTAAAATACGTTAAAATGGCGGCCGTTTTTCAAAATGGCCGCCTTCTACCAAAAGTGTCATAGGACAGTGTGCCATGCTTATAGTATTCACATACCAAATATGAACAAAATCGCTCCACTACTTTTCGAGTTACAGCAAAAATCGTAAAATAACGAGTAAAGGCCGCCATTTTTCAAGATGGCTGCCATGTGCTTTTTTAATATCTACATTTGTAGCTTTATTAATGTCCTTTATAATTTTTTTACACTTAAAACATATTGCTATTACAGTTTTACATATTGTACCTAAATTACTGTAAAATCGGCACTAAAATGGCCGCCATTTTGAAATGAGCGGCCATTTTGAAAATCGGCTTTCGAGCAGAACTTCTACCCCCATAGGGTATATGTGTAAAAAATATGAACAAAATCGGGCCAACGGTATTTGAGTTATTGCCCGGACGGACGGACAGACGGACGGACGGACGGACGGACGGACGGACGGACGGACGGACGGACGGAGGCGTTCCCTATATCCCTCCGAACTTCGTTCGATGGGATAATAATTCAAGGAATGTATGATGATGAAACAGGGTTCATGACATGAGTTTTTAATGACGTAAATCAAGATTATTTCTACTCGCATCTGGGATATTCAACATGACTTCAACAATTTGTGTTTGATACAGACTGCCATCTTGTTCCCAGTCCTCTTTATAATCCATGCTCCAGCTTTCGCCAGAAACTTACTTGACGTACGTGGGATTTCGTGAAAAATATTCGCCGTATCTAAAGTCAAATAACTGCATCCATAGGTTATTCACTTGAACCAAACAAGTAGAAATAGAAAGATGAAGATCTCAGCTATAAAATAAGTGCAAAATCTGTCACAGGGAAGCAGGTACCATTTTGTATAAGGAACGTTGGTGGTCACTTTTTTTGAAATTTTCCAATTTAGTGACGCATCTTCTGTATTATTCTTTGAGCCTATGAGATCCTATTACAAAACGATCTGGCCAATATCTGTGGATGAGAACAGAAACTTTCTGAATCGGAGAAGATTTCAACTGAACTTCAAGAAAAATAGAAGTAAGCTTAGACTAGATCTAATCTACCTCTATCAAAAAACAAATTGATCTAATTTAGCTATGGACTGTAGTTGTAATCGAATCAGTCCCAATAAAAGAACATAACTATAAAAACAGTAATATTTTTGATTAATTTATAATGTAAATTGTACTTGCATATGTAGTTGAAAGGCAACGCGCGGCATTTTGCAGAATTTTAGGTCGAATCCAATTTTTCATTTTCGATGCCATTTTGAAGGATGCCAAACTTTTCTGAGAAACGAAATCATAAATATAAAATTGACTTTCTTGACACATCTGTGAAATAAGAATAGACTAAAACCAATACACTAAAATTCCCGCCATCTTTGGTATTTAACAAGATCGATATTACTTTATTCAAAGAAAATGTTTCTTGGAATTTTAGACCTCCATGGGCCCCCCCTCCATCCAATATTAATTTCGATTATTTTTTAAACGCTTGGAAACTAACTTAAAAAAAGTGAGCAATATCATTAGTGTTGTGATAATAACACGCCGTCGCCTAACCATCGCGTAAGCAGGCGTCACCGTACAGCGTTAAAAAATACAGTAGTACAGTTTTCTGTACGGTGACGAAAATTAACTGAGTTGAAGCAAAAACTATAATGAGGGTTTTAAAAAGATTAATTAGATGAAAATAAATACGATTTTGGGTGTAATAAAAACAGCATTCTCTTAGGAATGGTTTTTACTTTCTAATTATGATCAAAGTTTTTCGAGCACTGCTCGGATTTTTTCTGACTGGATCGGCCCACATAATCGACTCGAGAGAAAAATGTTGTTTTTTTCACTTTTCGTTTGGTTATTATTTTCCCTGTCGTCTGAGAGTATGGATTATTTTTATGAGAATATGTATTTGTTATCTACACATTTTAGAACAGATGAATATTCGGCAAATAATCATTCATTCAGTGTATTTATTTAAAAAAGATCAGAACTATACGGTGACGCATCAGCTGTACGGTGACGATTCCTTAGATTTCTAAGCTTACTGTTCGAACAAGAGGTAAAGAAGCGTCAGATCTACATGTACATTATCACTGGTAAGTATCAAGCCGTTACAGCCGTCACCTTCGCATTTAAGATGGCGGACAGGAAGTATTAATTTCGATATTTTTAGTTTTCATGGAATTAACTATTTGAAAGTTGACGTTATGCTTTGGTATCATTTGAACTTAATCAGGCTTTTCTCATATGACTAACAAAGATAGCCTACACAGCCATCTTTACCCCATGCAAGATATTGCATCTTTCATCCTAAAAAGTCACACGTGCAAGATGAGATTAACTTGTGACATCCCTTCTTTTAAAACATCAATAACATAGCAACAAGATAGTTTTTGGTTTCATGATCTTTACCGTATCATACATTTCCAGTAACCTTCCATTAAGCGGTGGAAGGTGTCGTTGAACTGTAGCGCCCATGCACTATATATGAACAAATGATCATACTCCAGAGTTTCCATTTCATACAATCTTAGTCTCATTTAGTTCATCAAAGCATAGCGTCACCGTACAGCTGGTGCGTCACCGTACAAATTTGATCTTTTTTAAATATACATAATGAATGGTTGTTTGCTGAATCTTCGCCCGTTCTGAAATGTGTATTTAACAAATACTTGTTCTCATAAAAATAATCCATACTCTCAGACGGCAGGGAAAATAATAACCAAACGAAATGTGAAAAACAACCTTTTTTCACTTGGGTCGATTATGTGGGCCGATTCACTAAGAAAAAAATCCGAACAGTGCTCGTAAAACGTTTATCATAATCAGAAAGTTAAAACCATTTCTAAGAGAATGCTGTTTTTATTCCACATGAAATCGTATTAGTTTTCATCAAATTAATTTTTTTTAAACCCTTGTCATAGTTTTTGCTTCAAAGCAGTTAATTTGCGTTACCGTACAGAAAACTGTACTCCGCTATTTTTTGACGCTGTACGGCGACGCCTGCTTACGCGATGGTAAGGCGTGAATAACGTCCCTCTATTTATTACGGGTCGTGTAGAGCATTGTTGCCTGATTTATAGCAAAAAATTGACTTTTGCACGTTCTCGCGTAACGTTGGTGATGATGCGCCCTTTTTAATAGTCTCATATCTTAGACATGTTAGAAGCGTATCAGTTCAAAAAAAATATTAGAAGACCTAACATATTTTGCCATGCACTGTGCCTATTCATTTGAAAATTCAGTTGTAAATTCTCTCTTGAAAAAATAAATCTTCCAAAGGAGTGGTATCGATATGGAGAACATTTGAACACACGTTTCTCTTAAACCAGTCATAAAAAAATCTAAAAATTTAACACATCATCAATTTAATGGTCATCTTTTGAATGGTAACTATATAATTTGTAATATATATATATATACTTTCATCTATATTGTTTTAGAAAACACATCAAACACTTGTTTTATTCTTGGTATCATGTTTCCAGAGTGAAATGAAACAGTCTTTCCGAACCTCATTGGAACAAAACGACTTAATCACAATATGTTTAGGTCTCTCAATATTGGGGGAGGGGATGTTACACTTTTTTTCACGTCAGATCATGGTTTTGGGATATATAGGGTCTACTTTTCTTATGACAGATTTACACTTACAGTTTGCTTTTCTTGTTGAGTTTCTTTTAGTCACCCTTCTCTTTGGCATTTGCGCTTATATATTGTAATTGTACAAAGGAATTTTGTACAAAACAAAGGGGATTTTGTTTTAATTTTTTGAATACTTTTTTAAAATCAACCAAAAATTCCTTCGTATAACTATTATATTGAGAGGACTAAAAACATGTTGTATATGCTATTTTGTTCCAACAAGTTTCGGAAAGACATTTTATTTCATTCTCTAGAATTGGTAGAAAGGAGCAAAAACAATTGCACTAAAAACAAAAAAAATGTTAACAAAAACAGTTATATAAAATATTTCTAAATAATTTTCGCCTACTAAATAAAATCGCCTACTCCCCCTCCACCCATTTTGTGCGATCACCGGGGGTGCAATGAAACTTTTTGCGAGGGTCAAGTTGGCAGAGCATCAATTTCAATCTGTAAAGTCAAGTTGTCACCTTGAAAACCAAATAAGGAATGACCTTGGATGCGGTGATTGGTTATCTACAGGGTGGGCCAAAAAAAACCAATACCCAACTTCAAATCAGGATAAAAATAGTTACATTCAATATGGTACATTGACTTACATATCATTTTAAAGGTAATCCATTTTCAAACAATTTGGTATATAAAAGATGGCTGCACGAGATTTCATTGATTTTTCTGCTATTTAGAAACTATCCTATTGATTCTTCATTCAATTGCCTACCCCTGAAGATGATATATTGCTGAGGGACTAATATCCATGTCGCTGTTTAAAGGGAAACTGCTTGCAAGGTAGTTCTCACCAAAAGAAACAAAAGGGTCAACTTATTTTTGATGCTTGTCCCAAAAGATGATATATGGCTGAAAGACGGAATCAATATCAATTTAGCCATTAAGGGAAACTGCTTGTAAGATAGTTCTCATCCAAAGTCAAACTAAAATATTTGTCTTCATAATAATGATATGTTATACAATGGATAGATTAAAATACGTCCACTTGTTTGATAGCAAAACAATGGGTTTCAAACTGACGAAAAAACTCTCCTACGTGCACCTTTTCAATTTTAAAAAGCAACCATTTGACTTCATACCTTTAGCTTCAATTGAATTATTCTTTGAAAATGCCAAATAAATATATCATATATTGGAAAGTCACAACTAGATTATTTGATATTTGAGTTGAATACCTAGGTTTTGTGTTTTCAATATGTTGCCTTTGTGTCCTACCTTTGATAATGGTGTTTAATAGGTCCTCTAAATTGAATATCCTAGGTTAAACCTACTGCATACCAACTGAGGTGATACTTTTGCTGAGATTCAAGATTAAGATTCATAGATATATTACATTTTAGGGGTTGTTTTATGATTTGTGTTTTCAATATGTTGCCCTTTGTGTCCTACCTTAATGATATTTTGATATATCGATTGATTGAATGGTCAATATACTTAAAATAGTCAGGAGTGAAGACTAACATACCCCTAACATGATATTTATAATGATTTGCATAGTCAAATTTAAATGCACTGAATGACCTTAGTTTTAATCCCTATGACCTAATTTTGTTTTGGATGTGTTCATAATTTATAAAAGTAGTTATTTCCATGTTATATTCTTTAGGTACATGGGGTAACGGATCCTTTGCCTAGCCGACTTTTTTATACTGACTACGCCCCTAGATAGCACACCATTTATTGATCATGAATTTCGGTAATGTTGAACCCCCGGCCGGTGTTTAACTATGGTGATACTATTTTGATTACAAGATGCGGCAAACGAAGGATAGGAACATGGGATGTTTCCAAAAATGACCTAAGAATACACTTGATAAACTATAGGCTGATATCAGGCCACTTTATTGAACAAGATGTTATCTTATATTTCTGACTTATCATCGGTGGTAGCCGATAACTAACTATATTTATGTAATAAATGGTCCATAAAGTGGCTTTAATGTGCAATACCCTTCCGCCACCCACCGAATGCAGGTAAGTACTTAAAGAAACAGAGACATTTTTCTTTTTTACTTTTGTTTAAAATATCAAGCCGATCAAATAAAAATGATGAATGAGTTTTTTATCCATGAGACTTCCCTGATATAAGATATAGCAGTACAATTACACAGCAACGTAAATGTTTGCGCAATATAATTTGGTTTATCACGCTTGAGCTGTACTCTAATTTAATTTTTCCATTCTATCATTTCAGTAGAATTGTTTATGTGATGCATTTTATTCTCCTAAGATTTTGTAATTAGGTTTAATCAACAATTACTTAAAGGTAATCTTTGATCTATCAGTCACAAAACAAAACAATCTTTAATTGCCAGCCGTGTACCGAGCCTTCAATGGCTTTCTTTGGCAGGCAAGAAAAACAAACTTTTAATACACCAAATATCATAGTGAAGTGATATAAGATATCATTTTGTTCAAAAATTCATATCTTATAGAAATGAATCCTAGTATGTTCATTTGTTGAGAAAACGCCCACACTTCAAAGTTGTAGACAGATATTCTGAAAAACTGTGAGATGTTCTCGAATACAATAGTCGTCAACAAGATCTTCAAATACTTCCAAAAAATGAATTTTAGTGTAAAAGTTGATTTCATGTTTAAGGTTACGCCATCTTGGGAAGACACGGCACAACTAAGATGGTTCTGTTGAAATTAATTGTCATGGCAGCATTGGTTGCCATGGTGAGCAGTTGCTTCATTGGAAAACAATTCGAAGAAGGAGGAAAGTGCTGGGCTGGTTGTCCCTGCCAGAATGGAATGCGTTGTGAGGCATTTGTTCACAGGTGTAAAAAGAAAGGAATCCTAGATGAGAGATGTCATTTGACGAGACCATGCGCGGATGGCTTCAGTTGTCAACCAGGCATACATAAGTAAGAACCTCATTACTACTGTGGTAGGGGACAACAGCTGGGCTAACTCATAAAACTCGTCAAAAATACGATTGAATATCAGTTAAGACATACGGCACAATCCTCGACAAGGACGCATGCTATTTATGTCAACGTATTTGAAAATCTTTATACATTTAGCACAAATAAAGAAATCAAATAAATACACAAAATATCCACAAAAATGAATGAACCAACAACCAGACTTGCACATTTCCGTATTAAATTGGGTATAATTGCAGATGTTACAACAAGCCTAGATTGGAGGGGCAACCATGCATAGCAGGTCATCCATGCGGACCAGGACTAAGGTGTGAAGCCGGAAGTCACGTATGTAGAAAACTAGGAACACTTCTGGATAGTTGCCATGCGACAAGACCTTGTGGTGACGGGTATAGTTGTCAGCCAGGGGTTCATCGATGCTACAACAAACCCCGTTTAGATGGTCAACCATGCGTCGCGGGACATGGCTGCGCAAAAGGACTACACTGTGAGGCGGGTTCTCAACGATGCAGGGCTCCGGGCAAGTTAGAAGAGAGCTGCCACCTCACCCGACCATGTGAGAAAGGTCTCAGTTGTCAACCTGGTATCCACAAATGCTACGACCTTCCGCGTTTAGAGGGTCAGCCCTGCGTTGCTGGACATGGATGTGGTACAAACCTAACATGCGAGGCAGGTTCACATCGTTGCAGACTACCAGGTGGGCTATTGGACAGTTGTCATCTTACTCGACCATGTGGTGACGAACTCTTCTGTGTTCCTTTAATTCATAAATGTCTTCCAGATTTCTTAATCTCCGATGAATTCCTAGATTTCATTTTCAATTTAACTGCCAATGATACTGCCATGATTGTTGAAATATTAGAAAACATTGATCCAAATGACATAGAAGGAATCTTTAAATTCATTGAACTCATCCCAAAAGATCTTTTAAATGGAATTCTAGAACTCCTTTCTTCTTTAACACCAAAAGATCTGAACAATATTGTCGATTTTTTGAAAACGTTAGATCCTAAAATGGTTGAATCTATCGCTGAATTCCTTGCCAGTCTTACAGAGAAAGACATTACGGAATTGGTGGATATCTTGTCAAAGATTGATATTGATCAGGTGAAAGGCCTGTTTGATATGCTCCTTTCCCTCGATGGCAATGAGATTGATATGATACTTGGTGCTCTGTCTCAACTTAGTGAGGAGGACCTCATGGACATTGTTGACATCCTGGCTAATATTACGGAGGACGATTTGAAAACAATCGAGGAACTCATTGGTATAATTGGGTAATTGCTAGCAAAAGTAACACGCTTAGACCAGCTCATAGTCTCGAGAGAGCTTTAATTTACCTTTTCACTGTTCCACAACTAGTTACTTTGACGGAACGTCAATATAACAAAATGAACAAACTTCCTGGATGTACGAGTTTTTTTGTTTTCTCGATTTAAACTTACGTATAAGTCATGTTGCGAATTATCATTTGGCACAAAGTTAGACAATATAGTCTAGCTTTTAGAAATGCTTTGGGCTTGGAATTTGATTTTTAATAAAAGCTGTAATTCATGCATTTAGACCATCGCTTTTGTTACATTGACGTAAGTCGTCAAAGTAACATACATTAGTAATATAACGGACTTTCGTCAATGTAACAAAAGCGAGGGGCTAATTATATGAATTGCAACTTCATTTACAAAACAAAATCCAAATCGAAGAAACTTATTAAAACTAGCATTTTCCAGCTTTGTGCCAAATTATAATCTGCAACTTGACTTGACTCGAGAAAACAAAAAACTCGTAACCAGGAAGTTCATCCATTTTGTTACATTGACGTTCTGTCAAAGTAACTAACTGTGGAACAAGCTTTTGGCTCATCTTATTCTTATTCTTGATGTCCTTTAATTCTATATATTGTTTTTGATTTAGTTATGATATATGTGAATAAAATAAATATAATGTTTATCTTGATGGCGTAAAGCAGAAATAAACGCAATTAGTGAAAATAATATTCTAGATTAAGTAAATGTAAATACCACTGCCAACCTCAACCTGCAGTCGAGACGTGATAATGCATGACCATACAAATGAAAAGGGCGAGTGAACAATAATATAAGTATTTGGTAAGTCAGCCTTACCCCCCTAAAACTAGTTCTTACCCGTTCTTGCCAGTTCTACGAAAACGTCGTAAAACGGGCTCAATCTGGCTGTGGTCGGGAAATATGTCTAAAATAATTAGCTACTTCGTTCATAAACAGTCTTCAATATAGTCCATGGTATGAAATCTCTAGGACGTCTAATAAAGGAGCTGGTAGCACACTATAGTGCAGCGATATTTGACCTTACATTTACATACCTACATATGTTCCCTAATAATTTTTATTATAACCGTTCAATATACTTCCGGCTTTTAGGGTGAATTATGCCTGCCATTAACAGAGGTCAAAAAATCACAAAAAAACAAAATCCCAATTTTTCACAATTTGGAGTACACAATGCAACAGAAAAGAATACAAAATGATTTTCAAAATATGATTTAGGTTTCTAAGCTATAAGTTTGAGGTTATTTTTCTTATCAATACCCAAAAATATGCAATCAGTGTATCGACGTTTTGTATTGTTTCTCAGGTATCAATAAGATAAATGCTACAAATGAATCGCTTTTATATTGGAATGACAAATGCTTAAATTATGCTAGTTTTTCACAAAATGGTTCTCAATACGTTTTGAGATATGGACTTTTATTCAGCGGTGAACATTATCAATAAAGGAGGGCCTATTGCTCTTCCTTGACTTATTGGGACTATAGCTAAAATTCTATTTCCCGAAGTTAGATATAGCTCAGTTGCTTATAAAACAACCATCAAGACTTGGTCGAATTCATGAATAATTGAGTAAAATCGTTATCATTATCTTCCTGAAATTTGATTGTATCCAGCGGTAAGGTCAAAGAAGAAACAGCCGTCAGAAAACTTGATGATAGCCACAAGTAACGTCGAGGAAGAATTGTAAGGCGTTCGATTGCATATGACTCTAATTGATTATTAGACATGCCTTTGGAATATATGAACATTCCAATACCTCTGAAACATTTAATTAGATATAAATCTAACCTATTTGTTATTGTATTATGTTTTATAAAACATTACCAATAATTTGTTGTTAGACCCCTTGCGATTATATGGACAAATTCTGGTAATAAAATGTTTTAAATGGTAAGAAAACTAATATGTTCCCAATCATAAATTACCTAAATATTCCACACAATTTTGTTGGATCGGCTTGGCTCATATTTGAAATATGAAACAAAATCTGAAAACACACACTTGTATAATTACACTAATTAAACACCAACATCTACGGTAAAATTATGTAGTATATCTTTTAATTATGACCATATTTTTTGTTCGTATGCTTAGAATAACAGTCTGTGTCTTATAAAATGTATAAAAGTTCGAATCAAAATATTTACGTTTTTTGACCCCTTGTATTGAAAGACATTTTTCGACCCGAAAGCCGGAAGTTTTTTCAGCAAATGGTATTTTAAAAGAATCAAGACATGTACACTTTCATAAATATTGCTTCAAATGTTGCTGCGCTATAGTGTGCTACGCATACTTCATATTCGGAAGTCATACCATGGACTAATACGTCCATCTCATTCGCAATTCGTTCAGGTCGCACCACGTCGGTGTGCAACGTCGTATAACGCGTGCCTTAGTCTAGAAGGTCATCATGACCTGATTACAGAACGGTATGGTCGCCATCGAATTTTGAATCATTTTAATCATTTCAAAATTCTAAAATCACCTTCTTCACCGTCTGGGAACGTTCATGAAGTTCGTAAATAGTCCTTAGAAAGTTGCAGCTACGTTCATTCCGTTCGCACACAGTTTAAAACCAGTTTTGAAGAACGCAGTGGCAACTTGTTTGGTGTGATAGCTATATTTTTGCTAACTCGTTCATAAGCAGTCTTTAATACGTTCTTAATCAGTTTAAACCCATTTGCAATTAGTTCTACCTCGTTCTCAATACGTCCTCAGAGAGTTCAACTCGTTGTTAAAACGTCCCTAGTAGGATTGAAGTACGACGGTTCCGTTCGTAGTACGCCCAGCTCGTCGTTAGTACGTTGTCACTCGTTCTAATTGTAGAACGTGACGACCACGAGAGCATTTTGAGCATGTTCTAAGTTCTAGAGGACCTACCCGTTCAAGTACGTTCGATGAAGTTTGTAAATAGACCCCAAACGGTTCTAAGTACGTCCAGTCCGTTCGTACACAGTTGAATCCCGTTTTCGAGAACGAAGTGCGAACTAGTTTGGTATGATAGTAGTGTTACCATGAATTTGAACTAACAAAACAATTACAGAGACTGACTGTTATTCCCAACCCAATTTTGGGTGGTTCTGTTTTTTTGGGTTACCCTGTATATTCTACCATCTGATATTTTACGCATTCAGAATTATCTGTTATTGGAAAAAACATTCCGATCCCATAGAATTCTCCCGTTTACATTTAGTCGAAATGAAAAGAAAACAGTTCTCTGAACTATTTTATTAGTTATTATTACGTACATTATATAGGATTGTCGCGAAACGACAGAGTTATTTGACAATACGTAATGATTAATGCGTTTCTGATGAGCGTTGTCTCTTGTCTTGGGAAGGCAACGATATCCAACTGAACATTATCTAACGTAGTTCATTATATTAATACAATATCTAGAAAGGCATATTTGTGTCACTGTTTTGGATAAAAGAATGGGTAACACTTCTAATACTTTGATATCGCTTCTTTAAAAGAGAGTCCTTAAATCCTGACCTCATGGGCTTTATGTAAATGTTATAACTAAATAGTGACAGCAAAAAGTTCTAAAAAGCAAGCCCAATGTCCTGTTTAACAACCCCTATTCTTTCTATTGACAATGGATTCTAGCAATATTATCCCACATGAATCAATCAACTTCAGTTCTGAAAACATGAGGATTTCAGCAAGGGTGCATTAACTTAAACATGGGGATATACACCATTGACCAATGACTTAGGATCTCAGGATACCATCATGTATGTCACGATGTTAAGTCATAGTAAGAATGGGGGTTCTTGAACAGGACATTAAAGCTTAACTAAGGGCTTTTCGAATTTTTGGTTAGTACTAAAATATAGTAGGTCCGCAAAGACACAGTTCAATAACATTGGTACGTATATATGGGTTATGAACTGGGAGGTTTTGAATACAGAAAATATCCCGAGATATACAATACATCTTCCCGAGGGCCCGAAGGAACCAAGAGAAGATATATTGTATATCCCAAGAATTTTTCTTGACTAAAATGTTGATGGTTTGTCGAATATAATGAGAATGATAGCGTTGCCCAAGTCGGTCTCTTACTTATTTTGCTTTCTATTAATTCAAGATAAGATAAGTAAAAAATACCGACTTGGGCAAGGCTATGAGAATGAGAACATTTTAAGAAAACAAACATGGATATTGAGTGTCCTGAAATCCTCACTTGTCAAAGGATAAATTAGGTATGTGATGCTTTGTTTTGAATATGGGGTAGTATATCCCTCGGGGAAATATATCTAACTGAGGGCCAGTAGCTATATTTCCCTCAGGATACACCCCATATCCAAAACCCCTCGTAACATAACCCTGTGTGTATGTTCAAGCGGGGATTATATGCGAAGCGTAATCACTGTTTTTGATGTATCGATGCCCATCAATCACGCAATTTTAAGGGGAACGAAGTGAGCAACAGATCATGCTTGAGGTATCAAATCTCGCTAATGACTTATCTGTACACATGTCCCTAGATAATTGCCTTGTTCATTGGTTGTGCTCTGAAAATGTTTTTAAACACCACAGTTGCGGTGCGACCGACAAGGCGTGTGAGGCGTGTTCCTTTATCATTTTGAAATATGCAGATGTGCGGGATCTTTATTTTGTGTATGTACAAAAAGCAATTGTCTATCACTTCCGTCCATTCAGGAACTGTCATTAAGTATCACAATTTAAACCCACTATATCACTCATACTGAAGCACAGGTAACTTTGATACTCTAGTGCTAATTACAGTTCGTGTACAGGCTGTAAACCATTGTAGGCCGATTCATAGCAAAAATGCACGTTGTTGATGCACCTTTTTAAATATATCTCATATTTTAGAAGCGCATCGGTTCAAAAACAATCCTAGAAGACCTGATATTTTACCATACCGTGCGCCTAGCAACTTTCTCTTCCAGATTCCAGAGAAACTATCTTCCAGATTTGTTGAATTTCCTTGCAGAAATTGGCGCATCTCCCTTCGTTTATTCTGTGAGGTCATTTTATTTTTATTTTATCATTTTATGATATGCTGTTATGGGTTCACGTCGAAGTTAACAGCTTTCTCAAATGTGCATAATTTGCGTAAGATCAAGAAGATTAATGATTCGACACAGGTATTGTCCTCCCTTGTAACGATGTTATTGCATGCTTCAGTTTATAACGAATCCCTCGCTTTCATTTCAATCAGAAAGAACAAAAAGAATTGGAAAGCACCCGTCACTGAACAAGAAAAAGACCATCTTTGATGATCACATGCATCTCACACATGATATGTAGTACATGAGACAGGGGCGTAGCCAGCTTCCGGTCAGGGGGTGCGATCAACAATTAAAAAAATATTCAGTCAACCCGTTGCAATTGTGGCATGAGCAACCCCCAACATTTTTTTTAAAGATTTGTTTTGAATTTTACAAAAATTGATGCAACTTCCTTCAAAATTGAGCTATAAGTGAGGCTACACTTTAAGATTGTTTCAGGTAACATTTTCATGATCATACGACCATGAACACCGTGGACTTTGTGCTATGAGGTAAAACTGGATAGATACCTATAATTATTGTTTATATGATGTAATTATTAATACTAATTAAATTCCTTAAGTTCGAATATTGCTAGAATGGCAAACCTTTACCTATTACTACCATTTGATCTTATTGAGCTTACGGGTATGTTGGGACTTAGCATAAGTAATAAAGCGGAGTGTAACAGCAAATATCTAAGAGTGTGTTATGTACACTCCCCTTCATAAGTTTGGCAACCTTAAACCCCAGTCACATTTGTCGCACGGCGGCCGTAAGTCGATTAAATCGGTGAATTTCTGCGGCGAGCGTAGGGAAACTACGGGCGCCTTGTGGTCTCCGTACGGCGTATGCAGACTTTTACAGGCCACAGGGAAGGCGTAGAAATTATAACTCGGAGTTATAATATTTTTCATTTCTGCGGTGCCCGTAGAAATCAACTGGCTCAACAAGATAGAATCATTATTTGTTAATGTTTCACGATCACTTTTCATTTGATATTACATCCTAGCACTATGAATAACATCTATAAATTGTCCTGATGTAAATAAAATGAAAAAAGTATTATTTATCAACAGAAATTTAAAATTCACCGTGCGGCTGCCGTGGGAAATGTGACTGCAAAAGTATGAGAGCGCAGAAATTCTACGGCGGGCGTAGAAAAGCTACTGGCCGCAGAAATGATAGACCGTACGGCGGCCGTGGGAAATGTGACGGGGGTGTTAGCTCCCCCATTGAACTACGTGTTAAAGCCTCTTTACTTTTGAATTTTTATTTACTTAACCAGCGATTTAAACGTAAAGAGGCTTTAACACGTAATTCAATGGAGGAGCTAAGGTTGCCAAACTTATGGAGGGGAGTGTAGGTCATTTTGACATGGTACTTACATGTACATATATTTAGGTTTAGATCAATACAAACTGGTCCATTTTATTGCAATTTAACGATGGATTTTTCAGTTTTGTCTATACTGAGTTCAGTATACTGTTTCACTGTCAGTAATGCCTTGGTCACATAGGCTCCGATTTTCACTACGGCGCCCGGCCGATGAGTATTTTGTTCAAAATCGGCCGGCGAGCCCGGGCATCGTACGGGCGCCGGGCGATGATCGCCACTCATCGGCCGATTTTTAGACATTGTACGGGCGCCGGCAGAGTTTTATCGCGGAGATAAAAGTTGCCGATGTCTTGGCGATTTTTTCTCAACCAAACTCATCGGTACCTACCCGGCCGTGTCCCGTCCGATCATCGTACGATTATCTTACGGCGCCCGGTGGCATCGCACGGTCATCTTGGGATTTTGCGTGCTGATTAAATCTTAATAATGATTACTTATAAAGTAATATAAAGGTTTTAAAAATAATGAGGTAAGGAATTATAATTACTACACACTGTCATGAGATTTTTTATAAAACATAAATGGAACAGTCAAAAGAAAGATGCAGAAATATGGAATTTTGCTAATAGCATCGGATGGACAGGTAGACATAGTATTTGTTTATATGAAAGATCTAAAAATAAATTAAGGTCAGTTCACTTTAATGAATTCAAAAGACCACGTGCAGTATGGCAAGTGATTTTAGACGGTCGTATCTTTCACCATGAGTACTTTCTGGGCATAAATACACGTACAGTGTTTTTATTAAAACAATATGTTTTCTTTCAATTGAAGTACCCATGATATAGTAAAAATATCAATCAAACAATTTGAAAAATTATGAATAGGGACCCCATGTCAGCATTTTTTCTAAATATTGAACCTATTTACTCAAAAGAGGATCTTTCTGATTGTTATTGCATGGAAACATTATTATCCTGGAAGTCCTGTCTATCGAAGTATTTCGTTTTCAAATCTTGCATTCACGCCATGTGGAACAGGCATACCGGGTCATACAAGAATTTTGTATAATCTAGAGGCCTGTAGATCGATCGACCGATGTCCTGGCGGGTGCCGTACGGCCATCGGCAGATAGCCTTGCGATACCCGTGCGATGTCTTTCAGATTCAATTGATTGCGGGCGCCGTACGATGCCTGTACTTATGTGACCATACTCACGATTAGATCAAGACATCGGTGAAAAGTCACCGGCGCCCGGTCGATTTAGAAATCGGCCGATGACTACTCATCGGCCGGCGCCCGGCGGCTATGTGACCCAGGCATTAACCTACGCGTTCTCAGCTTCGGCTTTGTGATGCCCTATCGGTAATGATACTGATAAGTTATTGCAGATGAATTTAGATTAAACCCCAGGCTCTTGGTATGAGACTTCGAAGACTGAAAAGTTGAACCTGTAAATGTATTATTTCTTCTGACATTTGATCTTAAATAATTGAAACAATTAATCTTAAATGATAGAGCCCAGCAGTGCTTTCTAACATTTTCAAGATTAGTGTGGCATCGACACGAACACGTTACAGAGTCGCCAGATTGCACACAACTGGTGCCCCGGGGATTTCACTCCAATATATCTCTTAATTCCTATGTACCGCACTAAAGACCCCCTTTTGAGCATTATTTCCATGTCAATTTTCTTCCAAGATTGAAGGTTTCCATGTTTAATTCCTTTCAGACTTGTAAAAGTCAATTTTATTCCTCTCAACCTCATAGATATGTCCATGTCGAATTCTTCTGGACTGGGACTTACATAATATATAGTTAAATTGGCTAAAAAATCGACTTTTCCAGTCATTTATCCCAGGCCTCGGCAACTTATTTAACCAATTTAATACCCTTTTTTATAAAAAAAACAAACTGAATTTTGATCTTTTGAAAGGTAGTTTCTTTGGCAATTTTTCATCTTTTTTTCCTCTCAGATTGACCAGTTTCCATGTTTTATGCCCAACACCAAAATTGGTCGTACTGCACACACTTTACTTCTAGTACATGTACCCACTCAGAGTGAACCCCCGGGAATGGTGCACGGGTGGTGGAACTCTTCAAACTGTTTAGGAAAACGGACCTGTTTCTGTAACAAAATGGTTTCACAAGATGTAGGGAGAATCTTTAAGACATTTCTGATACTTGGCATCATCACGACTGGGAAGGGGCAAGGGGAATACCTCAGTATCCAGAGAAGACCTATCTTCAATGAAAAGTTAATAGAGATGACCCTCCATGGTAATAAGTAAACGATTTTAGGTTATATGACTCTTAATTTGGCAAGAAATCAACAAAAATAGGATGCTGATATAAAAAGATATTTTGATTCCAGGACGACAGTGGGCAAATTCTTTTAAAGCGATTTCTTATTTCTTATCAAAACGCACTTTGTACGCAGGTAGGCATATAGCTCATGTTTTTTCAAAATTTATTTCTATGAAGCACAATTCACAATTCTTACTTCATTTTAACGATATTGAGGGATATGGATATTGATGATACATACCACTTCTCAACCTTTGTTCACAGCTCTTTGTTCTATTACCCTGCGCGAGCGGCAGAGTCTATATAGTTATAAACGAAGCTCTCTATTAAGAAGTGAAGTCGAACGAAAGGGTGCTGTTGGAGTCCAGGGTCGCTTAAAATGATATTCAATTCAAATCAATTCAATTCAATTTATTATTCAATTCTAGTTTTCATACAATATTAATTTACAAGTGATATAAAAATGTAACCCAAATATTCGCATGACACAGTAAACAAAAACAATCTCTATCAATTGGAAGATGATCGGCGTCCCTAGATAATTACAAGGTGAGGGATAATAGAAAGCTCATAATGGTACTGATCTAATTAATTCTTTCTAGATTCAAGTCATTTACTTGATTACAAGAACTCGGACAGTAATCCTCATAAAACACATTTTCATAAATGATGCGTCTTTATCACATTTTATCGTAACAACTTCTGTGCGAGTATTAGGCAACTGAACAGCAACACACATAATCGTTAACTCGGATTGGCATAATCAGAAAAATAACAATAAAAAAATTACAAAAATATTCACCCAGCCTAGACCCGGAATTTTTCATTTCATAAGTGCAGTTTTGCTAGCTTTCATTATTTCTCACACTTCAATATAATTTTGGCTTTGCGTAATATAACTTAGTTAGATACATGTACAGGGTGACCCAAAAAATGCAACCCTCCATATTTTTCTTAAATGGAGGTAATTGCTCTGAGATTTGGCACACAAGGATTTCATTCAAAGTGGGATCCTCTGGCAAAGTTTTAATAATCAGTCTAATATTGATAGAGTTATGGTTGTTTCAAGATATGCTCCAGATGTCGACAATTTCGCTGAAAACAAACTTGCAATGTTCAAGGAAAACTGTTCATAACACGGATGCATTCTTTCCCATGGGTATGGCTCAAATTTTTGCAGCCATTGCTTACTGGAGTTCTGCAATTGCGGTAGGGTAATTTTCATACACATTATCCTTTAAATAACCCCATATATAGAAGTCAGGGGCATTGAGATCAAGACTGTGGGATGACCATGGGTTCTCCATCCTAGGAGAGATAATCTTCTCATAGAAATGACTAGTGAGCCAGGCTATGCTATCATTCGAAGTGTGAGGAGTAGCTCCATCCTTCTAGAACCACTGTTCTTGTCTATTGAAGCCTCTATGGCACTCCAGGGGGGAGATTTCCCAAAGATGCCCTATCATATTAGCATGTTCGAAAACAAATTTTATAAACAGGCCTAAATTTGCCGTTGAAATGGATCTTCAAATGTTCACTGTAGTTTTATGAGTATTCTCTACAAGTATGGATCGAGTAACTTCGATAGTATTACCGTAGGTTAAGTTTGAAATGACGATGTTGAACTGATGTAAACGCCATTCTCACGATTTCAAATTTAACTCTGCGCATGCGCAGCACTGAGAGAGCATGTGCCCATGATTGTTCACGTGATCGAATCCTGCAATTTGATTGGAGATGATGCAAGAGATGATGTAATGGGGAATCCCCGAATACGATAGAATATGAAAGAATTATGGGAGCTACTCACTCCTCCTGATGTCACTCTATAACTGCCTAGAACTTCCTGGGAACGCCAATATCGCGCTGTGCGACAACAGTAACAGGAACAGGAACAGGAACAGGAAATGTGATTCATCCGAAAACCTAACATTAGAAATGGACATTTGGAGCATATTTTGGAACAACCATAACTCTATCAATATAAAACTATGATTATTGAAACTTTGCCAGAGGATCCCACATTGAATGAAGTCCTTGTGTGCCTTTCAGCGCAATTAACCTCCACCTTTTCTGGATATAACTGACGCATTTGCTTTACAAAATGAAATGGAATTCATCGCCTACTCCTCGCCAACCTCTTTCAACAGGTTGCTAGATATTACTCGATCTATATCTTGATTAAAACTCCTCATAAAATCTAGATGATTTTCGCAATTCTGTTTTGACAATTCTGTATTCATAACCTTTTGTACTGTCTCTCATGTCACTACTACTTTTGAAACTGGTCTGCGTATCTGACCATGGGCTCTCCATGATCTATGGATTCAGCACAAATGCCAAAAGGAAATGATGAAAATGTGTTACAAAACGCAGCAACATTCATTAACGGGTCTCTCATGCAATTAGCAAGATTCGAAGATGCATTTCTGTCGTATACATAATTTTGCATAGTCACATTTTTTACCTATTTTCGAATCTTTCTTAGCACGGCATGTTGCTAATTTATACCAAAATTTTAAATTACATACATTAGACTCATCGACAGGATATCTACCAGGTTCACCATCATGTTAGTCCATGTATTGCCTACTAAGATATCAATTTAATGTAATTTTCTCGATAGGTAACGAATTACACCTAGATCGAGAAGTTAGAATATTGCTTTTTCTGGTACCTATGTTTATCATAAAATAACACTCGTAATCACTGGTTTCATCTGCAATTTAGATTATGACCATCATATTTTGCTTTCTCAGTATTACTTTTGATTTGCCTTTATGACGATATGATCTTTACGTGGAAAAGCGCATTGAAGCTTATCTATGTTATTAGTGAGGTGACAGTGTCATCATCCACCGAGTTCATTTCCTATAGCTAATTGTTCACAACTTTTTCAATAAATAATCCTCGACGTTGACGTTCAGATAAAGTGAATGCACCGGATGAGAAATATTTTCCCTCGCAATTCACAGAATGCAACAAACAATTTGGACTGAATACGAAGTTTGTAAATAACAAAGCTTTTCATATTGCCATACATGTTTTGTATATAGGTACTTATTTCTTTTTTATACTAAGCTTATATATTATATATTTTTATTTGTTTCATTCAAACACCATCATGGCGCCCCCTAAACATTGTCCCATTTAAAAAATCATTCAAAAAGGTTTCAGCAAAGTTCAAAACGTAATTGGTTGTTGAGTAGCTTTTTCATAATAGCATAAATAATTTGGACTTTCCAGAAAGCATCTGATAAACAGCAAACACGACTACCTGTTGTCGATCCCTATGATTTTAAGCATCGCAATACTGTGCAATGACAGTTTAGACTCGTAGTTCTACTTTGACACTTTTTACAACCCTAACCGAGATCTTATTTTTTCGTAATTCTGCCCCCGCTCCCCCACTTCGAAAATTTGATAATTTTCCCCCACCCCTGAGTCCCAGTGTGTACACCATCGTCATACTAATCATCGTAATATACTCATAGCATGATAATACTAAATAGGCCTCCGATAATACATAGAAGGATGAGAGCAAAGATAATGTACTCTCAACTCGTTTCCCGTTTCCATCCCCTCTATCTCTACTTAGTAAATATACACAGCCTCTGTAATCTGGAATCAATGCAAATCCCCCAATGTACGTACATAAGTTGATTAAAATTCAGACAGGGGATCTCGAAATGTAATAATGATCAGATTATGTACAAAGTACACCCGGGAAAGTACATGCCAATGAAATCCAGATTCTTTGATAACACCCCAATTTCCTTGAATGTCAATGTTATGGATATTCGTATTTTTTCTCATGCAGCTAACAAAATGCTAAACGTACCATAACAATTTTCCGAAAGGGCTCAGTCTGACGAGGCACAAATGATACAGGCATGTTGCACATTAGACTGTCTGGTATTTTCCCTGGTAAATCGAATTCAATTATTTTTATCATCATTGCATCGTATTTACAACGGAATTGGTAAGACATACGACGGTCTATTACAAGAAGATTCAACGATGACATGTAGATGTCCAAAAGCAATACGGGACAGGAAAACAGACTTGAGACTAAGCTTGTATGGGATCTGGGGATTGAGGCATAACCGTAGCCTTGCACATGAAATTCTAAACAACGAAATTCGAAATTGAGATATAGGGCAATCGCTCACTTGTCCGTCTCTCTGTGACTCTGTACGTCTCTGTGTCTGTCAGCCTGTCAATCTGTCAACAATCAATAGGGACACGTTTTAAAACCTCTGTCGATTTTTGTTCAACATCAATTTGAATTTTCTCGGCGCAAAAGTTTACAACTGATTAATTTTGGGGCATTTTGGATAAATTTGGGCAAATTTGGATTTTTCGTCCAAAAATCTTGTCCGTTAAGTTTTCATGTTTTGAACCAAACGATTTCATGGATTAATCTGAATCCCTCAGGGATGTTTCTTGGTACAGGGCATAAAAATCTACAAATGCTTAAAGTCTTTGGATAATCTGCCCAATTTCTTAAACTTTTTTTTATAATAGTGGCATATAACTATTTTGTTTGACATGATATTAAAAACAATTTTTTAAAATTGATTTTTCAATGACAACACAAGAATTTCAAATATTTCTCAATACAATAATTCCAAGAACAATAGTTAAACAATGGGGTTGCCATTCCAGGTGGTTTTATTCCAAGATAAGGCTTACTCAAAGGACATCTCTCTGAATCAGTTTGATATTTCTGCTGTGTCCTCCGGAGCTCAGTGGCTGGTAGCTGGTTAGTTCCTCTTGTGGGGCCACCTAAAACCAAGGTCTTCACAACACTCCCCACTGATCTGAATGAACTTAAAGAATAATTGATAAAGTCAGTGTCAGGTACGACAAGAAAGGTAGCTCACCACCAGTGCTTTTTAGGATGAATGCCAAAATTATAAAAGATATTGAACATTTTTTACTTGTAACATTTTTATTGAGACACTCTGCATTAGAAGTTAGTGTTATCGTTTAGAAGTATTTCAATTTCTCCAAATTATACAAGCACACTGTAAAACAACTCACAATATGCTTCTTCATACTTGGTAGGGAACATTTTTTCACAATTATCAACACGTTTCAATTCCCAGGGAATCAACTCATCAAAATCCTGAGCAGAATTCACAAAAGGCTAGGATAAGTAAAGTTTACAGGAATAAACTGACACGGAACTTTAACTAAGCCTATAGTGAATTTTTGCATTGATTCTTCAAACAAACAAAAATATTGTAATACTACATTATGATATTAGCATACGATATATAAATCACGAGGTCAATAAAATATATCCGACGGAGGGCCGCAGTCCCCGAGGGAAGATAAAATATATTGTCCAAGAGTTAATCCTAATATCGTATATAGCGACTAAAGGATGATCTAGTCATCCTATATTTAGTTTTCCTTTGTTTTTTAAAACAATTTTAAAAAATTGAAAAAACTAGAAAAAATGTTGAAAAAATGTGAAAAAAGATTTGAATTTTTTGAAAAAATAGTGAAAATATTGAAAAGAAGATTTTGAAAAAAAAATTCAAAAAATTGGAAAAGATCGAAACCATCGAATATCACTTTTGAAACCATCACATATCACTTTTGAAACCATAATTTGGGATTTTTTTTCCCGAAAATATGATATCTTGATCCGCAGATCAAATAGATCAAATAGAATATCGTTTGTACAAGTAGTAAAGTTTTCACCCTTTTTGATTTTTCCACTAACAGTATTTTCATTCAACTCCAATCTCTATTTCTATCATTTATTTTTTGACCAGAATTACATTTTTTCGATTTTCTGTTAGTCTGGACATAGGGCTTTATCTCGCCCGCTGTTGAAAATGAAACATGTGTTACAAAACTTGCTTTATACTGAATCACACGTCCAAATGTGATGGGATAATTGATTTTTTTTATATACAGTAAGTATTATTTAGTCGACGTTATTTTTAAGATGTAACATACATTCTGTTCTTATAGTCAGATAACTAGTGCTAATGACATAGTTATGGAAATATAATTAATATCTACGAAGTGAAAAGCGAGGACGTAACGCATATAGGGCAGAGTCAGAGCCTATTAGGTAACTGTTATACATTATCATCGGGGGCATATATTACGGCCATCAATCAAGATATAATTTAAAGTAGTAACACTAGATGGTAATTAGCAACTGTCTGGTACTCAATGAGTAAACCATGGTCCATCTTCATTTATTATTTCACCTTATCAACTGGACCGTTTTTTCAGCGAAAATAACATGTTTAATTAATTATCACACTGAAACTAATGGAACGGTTGGATATCGCTCTGACCTCTACGATATTGCCTCGGTGGACAGTATTTATATTTAACATGTTTAATGGATGATTTCTCAAGTTTCAGTTCTCTCTCGCACGCTATTTTGGATCGGTTGTAACTCTCAAGAGGGTTAGTTTTCCAATTATCGGGACAATTTACTCGTAAGCTGAGTAATATGCATTTACATTTACTTCAAACAAAAGCTTCTGGAGGTCTTTGATTTCGTTAAAATAACACATTAAGCGCATAGTTGTCAAGTTATTTGCACGACGCACCAAGATATAAGTGATATTTAGATATATTTAGATGAAGCAAACAATCTACTTAAAATAGGGGTGGGTGAAATTCTTAAGAATGTTGTATGTTAAAGCTGTTTCTTGCTGTTCTTCTTCCTCATTGAGCCTGTTAAAACGACAAGAGCAGTTAGACAAGTGACGCAATAATGTTCTAACGCAACATCAGTTTGATCCACGCACCACTCAGTATAAAGGCCAGGTTAGCGCAATTCATTTTCATATAGGCTGTGGATAGTCGAAGTGATGTGGAGTATATCTTCTAATTAATTTAGCTCTGCGACAAGTAAGCACACAAAAAAGGATAAGACTTTATTATCGTACGGACGAAAATATCTAAAGGTAATTAGAATTTTATCTAATTTTATGTTAATATGTCATAGAATACGGTGTTCTCTGAGAAAACGTATACGCTTAATGAATATAATATTATGAATATATAATGAATATATATAAGAATGATGTTTCGGAACTACATGTAAATTATTTAAGTATACGTGTAGTCTGCTGATGCTAAATATAATTGATCAATTCATGCAACACTACACGATGGAATTATACTCATATAGATTTCGTCTTGGTTTACAATTCTCAAAATGATATTGTTTTAATTGAAATTGTGTACATGGTGTAGATACTTATTCGCCAGGAAGGACGCTACTTTAGACATAAATTGAATTCATGATAACATCCCGAAACCGAAATTGATCTATAAAAATTATTTTCAGGAAACTAGGCCTACAAGATGAGTGTCATGAGTGGAGCGTTTAATATAGTCAATAATACAATTCAGATTGAACACGGACTTGAAGAAACACCATGGATTGAATTACAAACTGAAAAGGTGGATTACATGTACACGTTCTCCGACAACTCCGAGCAAGATGGGAATTACACTGAAGATGCAAAGTTTGAAGAATTTTACAAACAATCCAGATTCATCACTGGATTGATATGCTATCCCATTGTTTGCACATTTGGCTTGATAGGAAATGTCATAAGCGTTATAGTATTGTCTCAAAAAAAATTGCGAACCTCTACGAACATATACCTCATATGTCTGGCTATATCCGATGGTATTAAACTTTTAAATGACTTTTTGTACTTTTGGACGGTTCTGTTCTTCCATGTTAAACCTCCGATCGGAGAACTGATGTATGGCTATCTGTATCCATACGCTCATTTTATCATGAACTGGTCAACGTTCACTACTGCATGGTTGACAGTATCCGTTGGCGTTGAACGGTACATTTTCGTGTGCTATGCGACCCGGGCAAAAATTTGGTGTAGTAAATTCAGATCATGCGTCATAAGCATGGCTGTTTTTATTATCATGTTCGCTCTGGCTATTCCATTTGGAATGCGTTACCAGACCATTCATAATTCTCAAAACGGAACATTGGACGTAGTAGTGACGGAACTTTGGAAGGTTGACGTATTTGTAGTGACATACACCTGGATTCAAACCTTACTGAGATCTATCGTGCCTTTAATTATACTGGTGACTTTGAATGCGTGTATAATAACGGCGCTATGGAAATCGCACAAGGCCAGCAAGAGACGATTGTCCAAGAATAACAGAATCACAACGACTCTGATATTCGTTGTACTTATGTTTACGGTGTGTGTGACGCCCGATGCTATAATGTCGTTGTTCATGGGATTCGGCTACCTTGACGCCACTTTTCTTGGCAGGGGCATACGAGAAATCACTGATTTATTACTAGCTGTTAATTCTGCTTGCAACTTTATACTCTATTACACGTTTAATAGAGTATTCAGAAAACATTTTATTCAACTCTTCACGTGTATTAAAAGAGGCGAGAGGCGATTAAGTGGAAAATCAGAAACTGTCTTAAATATGACACCCCAACCAAGCGGATTTCATTACCTGAAAAAGGCATTCCCATCGTTTTTTCACAGTTCAATGGTTACGTCAGTTGCTGTAACAAAGGTTCCTCTTGGGTCACAACAGGGTGTTATCCTTTAGAGCAGACGTTATAGTTCATTGCCCGGATTACTGAGGGATCGTTCTTAAGGATCGTTCCGAGGGATGCACATGACAAATTGCTGATTACTAAGAGATTCGAAGTGGAGCATGGTGTAGCAGCTATTATATTGGTCACTCTCAATTAGTTAATTGCTCATTAAAATGGAGGTAAATTGATACACACATTTTGTTTCCATGACAACCTACAGATATAGATATTCTCATGCTACAATGATAACAGTTTTGGAAACTAGCAGGAGGACAATACTTTTTTATTTGTATACCTGATTTATGCGAGTCATATACTCATATTACAGAAGACAGATCAAATATGTGACTGTCAGAAACTCTTGTTTTAGATAATAAAAGAGACCAATGGGGTTAATGAATGAACTGTCCTAATATTAAATTATTGAGATATTGCTAGGGTCAACAAACTAACACATGAGTTCATGGATAAACATTTTTGTGTGGGAGTGGAATGCTGCAGTTGGGAAACGGTAAGGTTTACCTCACACCCCATTCTCTTATACGTCGTAGCACCGGAAGTTTATACAATTATTTTCAGATGGAGATTTGTAAGAATATACCTCTAGTAACGCTACGTCTCAACATTTCGTTTGAACACGGTATAAAACCTCTCAAACTTTCCAGAAAGCACGATAATTATTTTGAAAAAATGAATCATCATAGTTTCTATAATTCCAACTCTATCATCTTGAAAAATTGATTAGATTAACAATAAATCTTTTATACATCATCCAGACACTTCAGTTTCCCAAATCAATGAAAGAAGTCCGAGAAATTAATTTTCCTTTGAAAGTATACGGCGTAAACGAGGTTTACGACATTTCATTGTAGATTTTTAATTCCCTGAACGTCGTACTCCTTTTATATCATACACTTTCAAAGAAAAATGAATTTCCCCGGAATTCTTTCATTGATTTGGGAAACTGAAGTGTCTGGATGATATGTAAAAATTGTATAATTAATCTTATCAATATTGATAGGGCTAAAATTGTAGAAACTATGATGATTTTCGTGAAAAATTATCATTGTTTCATCAAGAAATGGTCGTGCTTTATAAGAAAATGGGATGTGTACCTTAAGTTAGCCGTACACCAATGGGGCAATGTCCTAATTTATTATTGTCCCGTCTCATTTTGTCCGATGTTGCGCCATTTTGTCCGGAAATATGTATGATCATCACGTGATGAAACATGAAATGCCCCTCATTTGTCCGGTATTGTCCCAAGAAGAGAATTAACATGTTCATTCTTTTCTTGGGACATAAAGGGACAACTGGGGACAAAATCGGACAACGTTAGACAATGTCCCGGGGACAACTTGGGACAAAGGGGACAATGTCCCCTGATGTCTCAAGGATGTCCCATGGGAATGTCCGAACTTGTCCCTTCATGTCCCATGAAAATATTTTACTCAATAACTCCTTTGTTGTCCCATCATGTCCCATTGGTGTACGGCTAGCTTTAGACGTCATGTTTTGTGAAAGAAATATAATAGAATGAGAATTTATTATCAACACACCTCAAACGTGAACTTGCAAAGTTCAATATAGTTTCAAACTTTTTCGCTGAAAATCGTTTTGACCTTTGAACATGATGACAAAATGAGAAAGAAAACATGTTTTCTTTTTCCCCATTGACTTGTAATCTGAATTTTCGGAATCGGAATTGAATAAAGTGTAAAATTATGACCATAATCAGCTTTTTGCAACACGATTACACTTGGACCTATATACCTTATACCTACCTTTAAATTGCATTTTTCTCGAATGTTCATATGATGCCAGGCCCGATCGGAGGATTTTCTTTTGCCCACGAATGAATTGTGCCACCAGGCAACGCCCCCCCCCCGCCAGTTGCCCACAAAAAGTCGCGTCCATTCGGACGGATTCTGATGCGATGGGTGCGATAAACAGGGCAAAACAGGATTTTCGGGGCCAAACAGAACTTTAAAAGTAATATTCAAACGCTGTCTTCACGAAAACTAGGTCGTGGCTTTGTAATATTATATATCTATTTAAGAATCATTGTAATGAAGAACTCTTAATTGTGTCAAACCGTCTTTGCATATGCATAGTTTTAGAATTTAGACTTCTGACTTTATAGCCTCCAAGATGCGAATTGAATGTTTTGTTTTAAGGCCCTGACGGTAACACCGAAATTACCGGTTCAGTAAAGTCATTGAGGATTACCGGAAGTGAAAATTATTTAATCGAAATGCATGTTTCGCCTTTTCGTCCACTACGTTTACATTGAAGATTCCTTTGTTTTCATAAACTTCAAATTAATACAAAAACATAATAGCGACCATTTTCCTTGGTCTTGTTGTCCTATTTTCAGTCCTACCTTTGGCCTACTCCAGTTGCGAATTTACTTTTACTATAATATTCTTTGAAAATAAGCGGTGTCGGTTGCCTCAAGTTCAAGGAAATGAATTATTAGTACAATTTATTACGAAGGCAAACATAAATGAGACGACACATTATTGTAACATAAAAAACAGCAGTTATACCTATTAAAATAAGTGTTACATCTGTTCATTGTTTCATTTATCTTGTCTGTGTGTCATATTATATAGGATGAGCCAGAAGTTCTATCAGTTGTAATTTTCAATGTAAATCACTAGCTTGAGCAAGCTTTGGATTATCGGATCCATTTTCTAATCACATTTTCCTTATGTATGGGACTATAAAATGATGGAAATAAGGTGAAATGACGCGTATGTTCACCCTCGATTATATAATCGTGAAATAAGAAATGCATCCAATCAAAATGAAAACTGATGAAACGGAAAATTGAAATCGGAATAATCCTCGTTGCAAAATCACTGGGGAGTATCGTGATGCAACAACACCGTGTTGTTGCATCAAGATGGCCAGACTTCCGGTGATAGATTTTCGTACGATATTTTGTTTCCCCAATTTAAATCCATTTCTAGGACGAGTTGCTCAATAACCATACACGTGCAGTTAGCGCACGATCTATATTTAAAGAAACTGCCATTAGTATACATGTACCATCACCAAGAAGCAATAAGTTCACGGTTTTAGTTTCTCACTATTGATGCAACAACACCAAACTGAAGATGCAACAACACTCCTCTAGATTTGAGCAATGATGCAGCAACACCAATTCATAGTATAATTTCAGAAGACCATAAATCTCGAGAGGAACAGATTTTTAAATGCTACTATTGCAACACCGTTACCCATTACCCATATTTGCGTTCTTCTCAAGGCATTCAAAATACACGTCCTGCGGGCGAAGATCCTTTATATGTTTTTTCAAAAATTTATACTTTTAAATATTATAATGTACTGGACGTTGTTCTATAACATAGTTTAATCACCTTTAACATGACATGACAAACATCTTTATTTTCTCCAAAAAGGTAAATTGATAGGGGTACAGTTATCCCAGATATCCCGGGCCCTCGGGAAATATCATATTGTCTCTCATCCTATACAACTCTTGAGAACGATGTATAACTCCTGGATAGCGTAAACTCCTGAGCAGCGTATACAACTCTTCAACTTGATATATGACATCATTCTTTGGGTGGGATAACAAAGGATATACAATATACAATTGTAGACCTCTCTTGAGGTCAACTGGCAAAATTGTATACCGATACTGTAATCCTTGAAAGTTCGGAGGTCGAGGTCAACAGTACTCTCAGGGTTTACTGTTGAGTTATACACTTTGGCCAGTTGACCGAATAGAGAGGTTAACAATTGTTTGTTAGTCCAGAGAATATAATAATTTGAAGGATATAATATACTAGTATAGTACATTTGTAGACCTCTCTTAAGGTCAACTGGCAAAATTGTATACCGATATTGTTAACCTTGAAAGCACTGTTGATCAAGACCAGAGGTCGAGGACACTTTTGCCAGTTGACCGAAAAGAGAGCTTAACAACATATTTGATGAGTAAAGGTATCATATTTTAGCAAAAAATCTCCAAACCGTCGAATACTTGTAATTTTTTACACAACTTATTTTTTCAAAATAAAAAAAATCATCAATCGGCATGGCTTCATTTCACAACCTTTTCTCCGAACCACGTTAGCAATATTTTTTTAGAAAATCTGGAGACAGTGCAAGTAGCTTAACTCTGTATTTGGCACATCACGGCGTACTCGTTAGTGAATTAATGTTAATTTTAAGTTTCTATTTGTATTTTTTGCTATACTTGTCGCCTAGTAAAGTCATTTTCATCATGTCCGTCTTCCATGTTTTTTTTTGTGACGTCATGAAACTTTTTTTCAGAAGTACATGTAGCGGTCAACAGTACCTAGTAGCGGTCAACAGTACATAATTTTGACCGCTAATCAACCAATCAGAATCGAGTATTTCAGTTGAGGTACTAACAATATACAATTGTTGACCTCTCCAGAGGTCAACCGGCAAAATTGTATACCGAGACTGTAAACTGAGAAACTACTGTTGACAGAGACCGAAGGTCGAGGTCAACAGTAGTTTCAAGGTTTACAGTCGAGGTATACGATTTTGACGGTTGACCGAATGGAGAGGTCTACAATTGTTTTGTTAGTCCGAAGAAACTAGTAATACACAATCATATAGACGGCAATCATCAATCGGCATGGCTTCATTTCATAATATTTTCTCCGAACCACGTAAGCAATATTTTTTTAGAAATTCTGAAGATAGTGGTAGCTATATTCTCTATATTCGGCACATCACGGTAGAGTCATTAGTAAATTAATCAAGGAGGATTGGAAGCCAGGGTTCCAACTCGATATTCTTTAATCTCCACGCATGCGTCATTTGCTATTCGTGTCTGTATAATTTGTACGACTGCATGGAGAATGACCCGATACTCTCCAACAAAGCTATCGCTAGGTGATTGTTTTGCAGAATATCGGTGTTGCATTCTGGGAGCCAATCCTCCTTGTAAATTAATGTTGATTTTACGTTTCTATTTGCATTTTTGCCATTCTTGTCGTCTAGTAAACTCAAAAAATCACTTTCATCAACGTTTACAATATTATGACGTCATGGAACTTTTTTCAAAAGTAGCGGTCAACAGTATCTAGTAGCGGTCAACAGTGCATATTGTTAGTACCTCAGTGTAAATACTCGCATCTGATTGGTCAATTAGCGGTCAACATTTTTGCCTGTACCTCACTTGTGCATCATGGGATATCATATTATTGACCGCGTATGTTACTGTACTACACTTGTGAATTATGGGAAATATGACGTCACAATGTTTACAGAAAAAACATGGTAGTCGGACATTTTGTACACGTTGATGAAAGTGATATTTTGACTTTTCTACACGACGAGTATAGCAACAATACAAATAGAAACGCAAAATTAACATTAATTTTCTGGTGAGTACGCAGTTATGTGCCGAAAACAGAGAGTTTAGCTTCCACTGTCTTCAGATTTTCTTAAAAATTATTGCTGGCGTGGTTCGTAGAAAAGATTGTGAAATGAAGCCATGATTGATGACTGTCGTATATATGAGTATTATTAGTTTCTTCTGACTAACAAAACAATTGTAGACCTCTCCATTCGGTTAACCGTCAAAATCATATACCTCGACTGTAAACCTTGAAACACTGTTGACCTCGACCTTCGGTCTCTGTCAACAGTAGCTTCTCGGTTTACAGTCTCGGTATACAATTTTGCCGGTTGACCTCTGGAGAGGTCAACAATTGTATATTGTTGACCGCTAATCAACCAATCAGAATCGAGTATTTCAGTTGAGGTACTAACAATACATTTTGTTGACCGCTCATCAACCAATCAGAATTGAGTATTTCAATTGAGGTACCAACAACACAAAATGATTGATATCTGTTGTCTTTCCAAAATTATATGAGTTATTTGTAAACAATTTCCATACGGTAAATCAAGGGCATTTAATTTAGAAAATGTATAATCTTTATTTTTCAGATACAATATCAATGAGATTGCCTCCCGGGGATTCAGTGCTTTATTTAGTTTGCCTTGTATATCCTTTTAACTTTGATATAGACAAAGAAACCAAACAAAATACGTTTCGTCATGGACCACTGACTCACGCGTTTTATTCATGTACCGACCAACACCTGTAAACAGAACATAAAACAGTTTCTCTTGTTGTTCAATGATACATTATATTGGCGTTTTTGCATCAGCACATTGGTGTTGTTGCATCATCGATAAGAAACAGAGTGGTGTTGTTGCATCAATAGTGAGGAATTAAAACCACGAATTTATCGCTTCTTGATGATGCTACATGTATACCAATGACAGTTTTTTAAAATATAGATCATGCGCTAACTGCATGTGTATGATTATTGAGCAACTCGTCCTAGAAATGGGTGTTAATTGGGAAAACAAAACATCGTACGAAAATCTATCACCGGAAGTCTGGCCATCTTGATGCAACAACACGGTGTTGTTGTATCACGATACCCCCCAGTGAAAATGACATCAGGAAATTTGGTACTAGATTACTGGTAATATGTGTCAGAAATTTGATTGGAACCAACCTCAGGCAACCTTCTGAGTATTATCCGCATTGCTTATTGTCTTAGCATTTTTTTTACATTTTATCCAATACACCCAGATGTACAACACAACCAGTGATTTGTCATCTATGCGAATTCCGAAAGCTATTTACATTTGCAAAACGACAGGGCATGAAAGGACTGGTGAAATGTAGAAGTGTACAATAATTACAAAAGGATCAATGTCTTTAGTAACGTTGACACCGATTAATTTGTTTACAAGCAGCCTGGATATTTTAATCGATGCAATTTTAATGATATGGCCTGGCTCCATTTGTCCAATTTACTCTTAGTTTCTGGCAATAACATATTTTTGATTTGATCATTAAGAAAAAAATTCCATCTGTGACTGTTTCCATGCAATACTAGTATTTCTTCCAAATATGATTTGAATCACGTCTAGCTGGCGAAACCTCAGGAAGCGTTCTTGAGCAAGTGCTGTCGACGAAATTGGTGTGCGTGCGTTCATTCTTCTTTCATATTTAGTTGACTCATTCAGTAGTGACGTACATCAATTACGCCATGTAACCATGCAGTGATATTGGTATACCATTATTCATCAATTATGCATATATGATGTGCAGTGCAAACATCATTTTGGTTTTTATGGGGTTGACTGAAATCATGATGAGTGTTGAAGAATGTATCAAAGACGCCAACGGCAAGATAAAATAGCTTACAAACTACAAAACCGCTTGTAACTACAATCGCTTAAGTTTCGGCTTTTTGAAATAGCATTAGTATTATCACTGCTCCACAACTAGTTACAATGACGGAATGTCAATGTAACGAAATGGATGAACTTCCTGGTTACGAATTTTTTGTTTTCTCGATTTAAACCTACTTATAAGTCAAGTTGCATATTATAATTTGGCACAAGCTAGAAACTACAGTCTTGCTTTAATAAGTTTCTTCGATTTGGAATTTGTTTTGCTATTGAAGTTGCAATTCATATACTTAGCCCCTTGCTTTTGTTACATTGATGGAAGTTCAGTTATATTACCAATATATGTTACTTTGACGACTTACGTCAATGTAACAAAAGTGATGGTCTAAATACATGAATTACAGCTTTATTTAAAAATCAAATTCCAAACCGAGAGCATGTCTAACTTTGTGCCAAATGATATAGTCTAATAATCCGCAACTTGACTTATAAGTAGGTTTAAATCGAGAAAACAAAAAACACGTCTCCAGGAAGTTCATCCATTTTGTTACATTGACGTTCCGTCATTGTAACAGTTGTGGAACAGTGATAACGAAGAGAAATTTTTGATGAATAAATATAGGATATCCTATGATTTTTGTGTATCCATGAGTGGATATCGCCCATCTCTACGAGTGAGCGCAGCGAATGAGTGGAAATCGGCGATATCCAAGAGTGGATAAAAATGATAGCCGAGAAAATCATAGGATATCATAGTTATCCCATGGTCGCTATTTTTGTATGCACTTAAAGTAATTAGACCTAAAAGTTGTTGTTTTCTAATTTTCTTTTCTAATTTTTTCATTTTATTTTCTGTTACAAATTTATTCTTACAAAATGATTGCATGGAAAAATGTAACTCATTTTTACTGTGCACATAACCTTGGAACTATATTGTCAAACAGACAAGTGGTTATCACAATTAAAAAAAAAATTGTTTACAATTATTTTAAATTTATTTATTTTATTTTAATTTTCAAAATATTTTTTAAATAGTATATCTAGTATCCATCGGATTTATTTATTTATTTATTTATTTATTTATTCCGTCTTCACAATATGTAACATTAAATACATTCATCTTCTTACCTCCAAAGCCACCATCATGTAAGTTACAAAAATCATTACGTATTAAGCCCCGTTTACACTGACAGGTCTTTTTCACCGGACTTTTTAACGGGCACAGGCTGGTATCGAAACATTTGTCAGCTGTGACGGAGCGTGCTATTTTGCATAGAAACACTAAGAAACCCGCACAATTTATTTTTTACTCATATGTTTCGATATACCAAAGAAAATATTTTACTCCATGCAATGGGTAAGATTTTGGAGTATGATACTCCGACGCCGTTTTCAATAGCTTTTACTCTTAGCGTTGTTGGTCTTCAAACAGAAGCCGAAGTTACCCGCAAATAATATATTCATTGCATTGAGTCAGTAATTTTCTTTGATATAGCATTTTATGAGTAAAAAATAAAAAGTGTGGATTTCCTAGTGTTTCTATGCAAAATAGCACGCTCCGTCACAGCGGACAAATTTTTCGATACCAGCCTGTGAGAACTGAGAACTAAAACTGCTAGGCGACAGTTCCTTTTTAACACAATTCCTGAAACAAGGGTCAAAGAGAATGAATACTCTAACCTGATCTCGGAGGTTCAGTGGAGAATTCTCAATTTAAGGTGAGAACCAATTTAGAAATAGAAAATTTCGGATTAACTCTTGCTCTGACCTAGATATATCTACACGGAGATTTCCTCTGAGATAAAAAAAGTTTTACTTTTAACTAATTGATATTCGTAACGAGATCACGGGATAATTATGGGATTGGGTGGAAAAGCCAGGGGTAGTAAAAACTAAAAAGGAGAGTCAAGACTCCATAAAAAGCAAAGGCATTGCTGAACTTGTTATTTATTATGGTAACGTGACTAGAAATCACGAGATTACATCTTTGATTTGGGTACTTCTACTCCCGTTTTAGCCAAGTAAGAAATGTGATTCTGATAACCTTACACCCGACCCACCCCATTCTCTTATACGTCGTTGTACCGGAAGTTTACGACGTTATACAAGTATTTTCGGCGGGAGATTTGTAAGTAATCATATGTTTTGACGTTTTTGCAGAATATGGTTCTTTCCTTTTCGTAGAAACATTGGCAAAATCATCATTATTTTTCAAGAAATTGTGGTGCTTTCTAGAAGGTTTAAAAAGCTTTAGACTGTGTTCAGACGAAATGTCGAGACGAACTAAAGGTATATCTGCATGGTATGGTCAATGTTTCTACGAAAGGGAAAGGACCATATTCTGTTTAAACGTCGAAATACATGAGTAATACAAATCTCCCGCGGAAAATACTGGGTGTAACATCGTAAACTTCCAGTGCTACGACGTATAAGAGAATGGGGTGTGTTACAGAGACACAAGTTTTGCTGTCGATGTTTTTATGTACCCAGTGACTGATCGGGTAACTCATTCAAGGTATAAAGGTTTAAATAAATGTTACCCAGCCACTTTAAACACATCGTTTTCTCTATATCAGAGAAATATTTCTTGAAAAATAATAGTAAAAGATCAGGTTGGCTGTCTGGGCAAAAAGGTGACCCAAAACAAATCACTTTGTTGCTAATATCTAACTTGTTTATTTGTAATATGGCGTAATAAGACGTTAAGTAACGAATAATTGTCTGTATAAGATGTACGCAAGACTTACGAAGTCGCCTTCTTTAATTGTACCGACGCTGTCCTAATACTTTGCAAACACGTACAGTTGAATCAGTACCATCTACTCAGTAAAGCGTATACATACATACACTTCCTTCCATAAGTCTGGTCATCATTTTCGTAAATAATATTGTCTCTCTGCTGATATACAATTTTCCTTAAGTTATACAAAGCTTGGAAGTTATACAGATAATCCTTGGATTAGCAAACAAATGTTGTGATTTTTTCCCTCTAAAACATCTTTGGGAGGCCATGATATTAGAAATAATTTCGAGACATCATTGAACTCATCGATAATATCATATATTACGAGTAGAGATTATTGACATTGTATCATTTGCCTATATCATTTTTGATCAGTATATAGTCTAGAGAAACAGCACGCTAATAGAAACAGCATCTCAAAGTTTTTCACCAAACCCTCCGATACTCTTCATATTCCAAGACAGTGCCCAAAATAAGTCAATTTAGGTTTCCAAACTTATGGACGGGAGTGCAGAAACTTCTACCACTTTTTTTACAAATATTTTCAGTCTCGTAATTATAGTTTCAGAAGGATAATGGGTATATTCTACAATTTATGCTACGTCTAGGAAGGTGAAAGCAATATGAGCGTTTCCTCTTGCCCATTGCCTGAGAATTATTGCATGTATTTAGAAAATGGAAATAACCAATCTCATTATCACGAGACTTCATTCGTCAGGACAGAGCTCCAAGAAAACATGAGCACAATTCATTCATTTGTTAAAATGCTCAACCACGAGTCTGTTTCTTAGGGTGATGTTGCCTTGGATTGTCATTTTCGCGTTTAAATGCACATGCGCAGTACATCCTTCCCGTTAGTGTTCATGTGAAGATAGTCCAAACGACACAACCAATGCACTTGAAAGTGCTATCCACGAAGACAGTGCTATAGGCCCTCTGCTATTAGGTGCTGAGTAAAAACCCTTCCTGAAAAGATAAACATGGAATCACGGTTTACAATATATCATCGTATCTTTTGCCATATCCTCTCAATGGCTTTCATTAAATCATGGACTCGAAGAAAGTCCATGATAAAACCAATCATTACACATTTCCAATGTGAACGGAATGTATAGATATTATCCTACTGTATATGAGGTTCAGGATATTGAATTTGCGCCATGCTGTTTAGCTTTTTACGAACCTGCATAATTACATAATACAATAACTGTATTGGATAAGTATTAGATTTAATCTAGGGTGAAAAAAGACACAAACTACTTATAATTGCAATTGGTTTCTCTGTTGAATTGTGAGGGTTGAAATCTTGGGGCGATCAGTTAAGACTCGAGAAGACTAAACGCTGGCAAGTGAATCCAGGCTTTTAAGAAAGATAACATGTCAATGATTATATTATGTTAAAGATGTTCTAGAGAGAACTCCTTGAATCATTCTCATTTAAAAGGAATATCTTAACCGGTCTTATATGTACTCGTTCCAAATTATTTCCTATTGATGTTTGGTATACATATTTCAAGCATCAATCAAACATAACTCTAGACAGACTTGAGTCATGATTTGTATGTGGGTACTAAAGTCAATTGATACTTGTCGCTTGACTTGACTATCGTATTTCCCAATCAATTCTTACTGAATTCCAAAAAAACTCTTGACAATGTGTTTCAATAAAAGAGAAAGGTTGACAAGAACAGAACTAATTACTATGAAATCAATCACGCCATCGACTAACAATATAATACTAACAATATAATACTAACAATATAATACTAACAATATAAAACTAACAATATAATACTAACAATGTTAGATCTGACAGGAAACGCAAAAACAAAAAAGTTAACCCCCAAGACAGCGATAACTTCTGAATTCTGTAACAGAAAACAAAGACGAACAGGTTCAATTGTACTTGGAACATTTTGAAGAATCGTTATAATAGTTTTAACTGATAATTAAGTACATTTATAGTTATCAAAACGTCAATTACGATTTTCTTGCCACAATAATTCAGAAAATAATTAACTTAAATGAAGTCAGTATTGGACTTAATGCCCAGAGGTTAATCTCAAAGCAAATACATAAATAGACATATTTTCTTAATTGAGTGAACTGAATTCTGGATCTATATACACTGCCCTTGGTAACATATCTTATAGTCATTATTGTCTTGTACTGTATTAACTTACATGTGCGTTTCAAATAAATCGACACATTTAGAAAGCAATGGTATAGTTGCAATTGAACACAGCTATATCCTAAAGCAATGGACAAATCGTCGATGGATGCAATAAATAGTGGAGTAATTCGAACAAGTTATATCCCCTTCTTAGTAGCGTTTAACGTTACTTTCAGCAAATTAAACTAATAGATCATCCAATTTGTACACGACAAGATAAACACGTTTTGTGTCTTTGTAGTGAAGCAGAAATATCATTTGGTTGTCAAAAAGAAACAATTTGAACATCAGTATGGCTGTGCATTTTAGTAAGACAAGGATTGATAAATATCGTTGTCTTGAAATATTACAGCTTACGTCAAGAGCCAATTTTTGAAATTAATTTTACAAACTACAACATAATTGCTTTAAGGCTACATGTAGTTGCAAAACCAATTATACCATTCCAATGTAGGAACCATTCTAGCTTCCGAAGCCATAAATTCCCAGAAAGCTGAATAGCTTCCGACGCCATAAATTCCCAAAAAGCTGAATTGTCAAAGAAAAAACTTATGCTATTGAACTTGAGAGAAAGAATGGGAACGGGAAAAATTAGATGAAGGAAGCGAACATAAACTAAATGCTTACGATTCATGAATATAAATAAGAAATGAAATGATCAGTGGACCTATGACAAAATGTCACCACCTAGTTGCTCACAACAGTCACAATGGTCATTGAAGGTCAAGTCTTAAATCTAAAAATCGGATTTGAATTTCCGAGAAGTTATAGATGATTTTGAAAAAAAACAATTTGGTCAATTTGAAGCAAGTTGAAAAATACCTTTTTGACCTTAAGAACATCATTGAAAGTCAATCTAAAGTCAGATTTTGAACTTCTGAGAACCTTTAGATGATCTTGAAAAATTGGTCAATTTGAAGCAATTTGAAAAAATACATTTTTGACCTAAATAAACTAAACTGTAAATTCAGGGTGTCAAAAACAAACAACGACGCCCCCCTCTGTAGCAAAAAAAACTTAATGTTATATGGTATGTCTAGTTCATTTGAAATACAATTTAATTCTGGAGTTACTCATCAAATTCAATAAAACTACATTGTTTAAAATTTTGCAACGTCAATACTCAGGTAATTCAAGAAGTGTTGTCTAAAAAAAGAGATATGACACACCATGAAGCATTAAGTACTTTATGCTGTGGAGGGTAGTCCGTTGTTTTTAGACACCCTGTAGAATACACCAAACGGTGTCAAATCCTTTCAGTAACTCTATCTTTTGGCACCACAACCACATTATACGATCTGTAATAACAGGAAAGTCGGAAATACAAGCGTTATGGTAAATGTTGGTCGATGATTACATTACAGATGTACACCCTGACCGTTCTGTAGGTTAATCAATGAATAACTATTTTGGATTGATGAAACACTAATTAAGTAATCGTAGTTTTATTCTAATGTCGACTTGGGGTCTAGGTAATATCCAGATTGGATAGAGAGCATAGTAAATGAGCTTACTTTGACGCCTGCATGTTAAGAATTCCACGAAGGGTGATGTGCTTTGTTATCATAGCTGGATCACAGACAGGTTTATAATGTTTATCAGTCGTTGTTTCCACTGTCTTTTGATGATGTACGACAAACGTATTCGAATAAACTGTGCGATTGTTTTTCTGAAAAGAAATTGACCAAATGTGATCATAGTTGACATTGACGAATCATCAAGTATTAGTAGCATACTAATTTGTACTTTACCTAAAAGCACTTTAGATATTAATTCGGGGAAAATCAATCCGAAATGAATTTCAATTTGCAAAACATATTTTTCTATAGATATCACACTATTTTTCATTTGTATGGATTGGGCACTTTCCGTAACTTCATTTTGTCAAAAGACGTATTATAGGTGTTGATATCAAATTGCCACTTCGCGATAATTACAGTTGCCGATGATAGGACATCATATGGTAAGTTAGTACCATATAAACAAGTGAATTAGTAGTTTAATACAAATAATTGTTGTTCTAGGGTATCATATCGCACAATCAGAATAATAATATCCTAGGTACTATTTTTGAAACAATGAGATTTTTAGAGAATCGTCCTATTTAGCCTATCATCTTTCTTTCTGTAATATTCCCTTATACCCTTATCTCATCTCAACAGCCTGCTTTTTTCTCCATAAAAGATTAAAAATATAATTTTCACTTGTCCTATGCGCCATCATAACCCATCAAATCTTTCAAATTAGATCATGTGAAACATTTTAAACTGAAATTTTAATTTATTTTTGAAAACAAAATCGTAAAAAAGTATGGACATGGAAAGGGACACATTTAATTTATTATTTCAGTGTTAAAAAATTGAAAGTTGAATGGTCATACAGTATCTCCAGTTTAATTTGTTCAAAAATTGTTTTGGAAAATCATAAAACATGATTTTCCATGATTGTGCTTACACAATAACATGTCAAAAACAGTGTGGAAATAACAAATGTAGGCCAATTGAATAATTCTGAAGTTTTAAATGTCTAATCTTTCCAAATCTGAATTCTCAGTTTCACAAATATGTGAGTTATGACATTATCATTGGCATAGGGCGAATGGTATCATACAAACAAGACACTATATTGCAGTTTAACAGTGCCCGAGGGCGTTGACTTGTCGCTTAATTATTTGCTACTCACTACTGACTAAGTTCTTATGCTTTTTATAAAAATAAGTTCTGATTAGCAGACCCCCTGTTATCTAACGCTAAAGTGGAAAGGGCATGACAAGATGAGGTTTTTATACGATCGTGCTTCTTTGTTTTATTAATGATTTATTTCCATATATAACAAACATAACGTACGCATGTCTGTGGTTTTGGAAAACTGCATTATAAGCCACAAGTAAACAAGTTTGCAAGAAGAAAGTTGGCAATAAATTAAAAGAATAATGTTTATACAAGATAATAGAGATAATGGTGGAGGAAAACCTAGATACTTTCAATATAAAAAGCTGAAGTGAGCTTTGAAATTTTGATAATAGCATTTTCTGACAACCTGCTACGGTCCCCATAAAAAATAATGAAAAATTGTCTTGCTGGCTTTTGAACTTGGTGTAATTAAAGTTTAGAAAAGTGAGTGCATCAGTCTTGAAGATATTGAGATCTTAGGGTACAGGAAAACATAACATGAAAGGATGATTTATTGCTACACCCACATTTACATGTAGGGATGGTACATTGGTAAAGTTGTGAGCTAGGTTGGGAGTGAAAGATCAGATCAAGACAAGAGTCCTCCATTTTCGTTTCGTTTTTGATTTCTAGGTTCAGATTGAGCTCGCCACTATCTTACCACTTACCACTATCTTACCTCGAAAAATATTGAGCCACACGTAGTTTCATTGTAAGCCAACACGAGTTCATACAAATTCTCATTCTGGATGGGATAAAACGTACATTCTTGTATACCTTGATGGCCGACTATATTAGCGGTACCCTTCATCTTAAATTCTTGAAAGTCAGGTATCAATGGCTCCACTCTTATAATCATGTGAGTGAGATTGCAAAATAGGTCAACTGAAAAAAGAGAATAAAGAAAAAAGTTAAAAACTCCAAATTTTTAGTTTAATGATATTAAAGGACACTTCCCATTAGAGGCTAGTTGAAGGAACAAGAAATGAGAGAAATTGCCTATTTTCTAAAAAGGCCAACATTACTGACTTTCTTTCAGGATATTTGACTTCGATAATCCCTAAAACTGGAAGTGAGCCTTTTCAATGTTTGCATCTTCCAATTTCCATAGTAACCAGGTTCTCATTTTCAGTTAAGATTATGGTTGTATAGGTGAATTAGTCATTCTGGGCTTAGAAAGTACTTTATAGTTTTCATTTTGTTTCATTAGGTTGAGGGCAATTCAAAAATGAGTAAAATCATATGAAAGTATCATTATATTGCCTTACCATTTTCCTCGTACATCTCAGCAGTTAAGGTAAGCGCCTACAATAAATATTGAGGAAAATATATATGTATACAGGGCTAGTAAACGAGTAGGTTTAGTCTTGCATCAATGAAATAGAAGGTCTAAGGACTTGATCTACTACTTCTAAAATAACCTATTAAAACTATCACAAGGGTTGAAACGTTGGACTTGTTGAAACAGTTTTTAAATAATAGGGAGTTTAAGCTTGCACATGAAATCGAAACGCCAACCTATACGTATGACTAATCGCCCATACAAATGCATCGCTTAAATATTTTCCGTTCACGTTTAGGTTTTGAAAAACATTGCAAGCTTAAACTCCCTAATCTTCAACGTATTCTCGCGTTTTTACTCATTAAAAGTGATTTTTTGCGTTTTTACTCCGTTAATTTAAATAGTATGGGGTTAACTTTTTAAGATAACCTGTCCGTGAGCATGTAATTTTTCGACCCCTGGGGATTACTGTCCCACTCTCAATTTACTTTTCCAGGGACCTTTATTACAATTATTTTCCGTATACCTTTATGCTCAATCAGCCAAACAGTACAAATAGGAGAACTAATCCATAGAGAACCATAATTCTACACGTTCACGTACATGTGTACCCTATCCTCAATAGTATGTATTAAAGAAACGTGATTCACAATCAGTAACCAATTTGTTCTCTGAGTTAAGAACTTAACATAATTCTTGGCTTGTCGCTACAAGAGAGGAAATGATCGAATATATTTGGACAGGTAAGTCTAATACATGACTTGTCTGTCAAACGGCTTCTATTCATTCCGATCTAATTATCAAACCTTTTCTGATCAGTCGCTATACGGCGAGAGGAAGAGAACGCGATGACCAAGAAAGTCGATGGAATATTGTGATAAAGGAATATAGAACACGTTTTTAACTTGAAGTCATCATGGTGTACACAGTGATGCAAAAATAAAAATGCAACCCTTATTTTACATCCAATTTCATCGAGATGATACAAAACAATGATTCAGTTACAAACAACATCCCAATCTTGTACAAGAAATAAGAAAATTGCATCATTTGGGCTTCAAGTTCAAATTTTTGGTTGTTTATTTTCATCTTTCAATTAGAGCTACTCCATTTTCCCCGGTCGACAGATATAGACATAATATAGTTGGAGTTGCTGGAGAGAATAGGTAAGATTGAATAAATCTGAATAAATAAATAGCTCTCAGGTGGCTTGAGTTATTGTGACCCAGCCACGTTTACAAATCACTTCTCCATGTAAGTCCAATGGATAAACCATATAGAATAAATATTTCTATAACTTGGTCTACGCGAACTACGCGAATGGAATAAAATTCAAGTATTACCTTGAAAAGCAAAACAATAAACAGCTTCGAGATTCCTCTTGTAAGTTGCATTTTTGGCTCTGGTCAGTTCTTAGATGTACTTTTAGTAACAGTCAATGTTCTTAGGGAAACAAGTGTAAACTTTAAAGTTGACAATAATACACCAATGATTTGAGCGCTCAATTTTAAAGCATTCGATTCAAATATATCATCGTCAATCTTTAAATGATAAATTCCATTTCAGTAACAATTCCAAGCGTTCCCTTTGACGTTCATATTCTGAAATCTTGGTTATCATGAAATGATTTTCATGTCTTTGTTTCATTAATCAACCTGAGGTTGTTGTACTTATCTCCAGTTATTTCTCTCTTAAAATATAATTCAGAGCGAAATTGGGATGTTATTTTCCAATGATGATTGTCGTTCCGTTTGTTCTATTTGACTAAACACTTAAAGAGTATTATTATAGCGTAAAGGTGTTTCATCAAGTTGCTAGGATAATTAAGGTGCTATAATAAAACAATGAGAGACAGGTTTTTTGCCCTGGGCATTTTAAAGATAGACAGTGATTTACAATCTTTCATCGAGCTTTTTCAACATTTAAAGGCCACGTGCAAAGTTTGAAAGCACTCTATTGTTTGTGTTCAATATTAAATCATAGATGGTATGCTGTTGATTTGATTAGTGGTCACATTTGAGCAATTGGCAATTTTATTTATTTAACTTACAAATAAGTAATAAAACATTTGAAATAATCCAGTTGAGGTTTTATTTGGCTTTACCTAAAATGATACATTATCAATTGGCTGCCACGACATGGTCTTGGTGTGTAGTAACGATTAAACAAACCCTTTCATTTATTTTTCAAAAACTTCATATGAGACATGACAGCTTCTTATCCTGTGAAGCTTTTGCTGTGATTTACTCAATGGGAACATCAGTTCGAACAAGTTGGAAACAAATGATGATTCCTTTCTTCATCCTAGTTTGAAACTCTGTATAAGAGGCCTTTAAATCTGATTGCTAGAGAACCCGTGTTGAAATTTATGCCAGTATTTCGATAATATTTTCAATTAATATCAAGTTCCCGACATAAAAGAAAATAAGGCAGACTATGTATAGCCATAAGCTAAGCAGGTAGTGTAAATATTATGTCATGGTACCATCAAAAACATACGTGCCGCTCTAAAAGTTTATATATCGAATATCTGTACTAGTAGACTTGTACTAGTTTGAAGATATTTCAAAATTCGTTTTACAAAATTGATTTTTGTTTTTATGCACTAAGACTTTGTTCTGGTGTCAATATCCTATTGTTATTGTAGTTGGTGAAACAATGTAACTGTCAGTTAAGAAAGGAAACACCGACGTCAAAGTTCTACTTTTCTACCATGCCTGCTGATACCTATTGCATCAAAGATGGATTAAAAAAGAACACCCGTGGCATTCTAGAAATCCCTGGCATACAAAACAAAACGCTCGTCAATTTGAATTCAAACATATCAGTTATTTTCCCCATCTTTTTTTTACTAATTTTGGACTTGCGAACGGTGTCAAAATTCCTATTTTTAGTTGCTTCAATCACACCCCGGATTAGCCTGACAACGGTAAAGTCAGATACCGTTGTCACAAATGGCGGACATAACCGTCGCTTCAATTAAATTACAATGAATTGTATGTTTAATAGAGCACCTAGACTAAATTCCTTTGGAACAACAACCAATCAAAGTGTCTTAATACGCATTATACTGTTCTACTATCGAAATAAAGTTTGTAATTTAACCGATCAAAATGAGATACGGGGACAACGGACACTGTAATTACCATATGCCGTTGTCTTTCTAAATTAGTCAAATTCAGATTCCGTTGTCATTGACGATATCGAAGACGCTATATTGTGGCGATTCACGACCCAATTTGTTCTAAAATGGGATTTCATATGATAAATTATCACAAGAGCTTACTGCATGCACAGAATTAGCGACGATGAAATCCCATTCAATGAGGACCAAGTGATTAACCAGTTGAAGCGACGGTTATGTCCGCCATTTGTGACAACGGTATCTGACTTTACCGTAGTTAGGCTATTCCGGTGTGAATCACGTAGCATCAAATGTGTTATGAATAATACACCACTGGATAGATGATTTGATATCCAGTATAATGATAAACCAATGTTCTCTGGGAAATTACACTAGGGTGGTCCAAATAGTAGAACTTTAGTCAAAAACATATTGAAAATTAAAAAAAATGATTTGATACACCAAATTTTTACCGAGCATAGTTCGGTGTGCCTGGTGTAAAGTGTCTTTTGGGTATTCAAGTCGATGGGAGCCAGAACTCATATAGAAGCAGGCCCGTAACCAGCTTTTGCCATTGAAAGGAGTTGCTTGTTCAGATATATGATTGAGTGAAAACCCGTTGCGTGCTAAGGAGAACTAAATTATTAAATCTATCTAGTTAGCCTTGCCCAAGTCGGTCTCTTTTACTTATAATGACCGGTTATAATTCAAGATCAGATAAGTAAAAAATACCGACTTGGGCAAGGCTATCTATTAGTATTTCACACCTGAATAGCCTGACTACGGTAAAGTCAGATACCGTTGTCACAAATGGCATAACCATCGCTTCAACTGTTTAATCACTTGGGTTTAAAGTGTCTCACATATTCGATCAAAATTTGCCATGCAAACATGTTAGTCTACTTTACTGGCCTCCCTTGCAGTAACAAGGAACCCAAAACACATCAAAACGTAAACATAAACCAATTAGTCACTTCACTGTGAAAGAGAGGGGTGTACGCTGTGTGCATAGACTAACACAATATCAGTGGTCATTTACTGTGTCAACTTAGTAACCCTTGCATATCGTGCTCCCTCAAGTATTGAATAATTTTTTTATGATCTAAATCTTTGTGGTTTATAAAAAAAAGTGATATGTTTTACTTAGAAATACATTAATTAATATATTCATTCAAACAACACTAGAATGCGGGAAGAAAGAGCAATGGTGACAAAATGCAGACAGAATTTTCCGTAAGGGTTTCAAACATTTCTGAACACAATCATAAATGTACTTCATGTGTACTGTTATTTTTAGTGCTATATTTATAGATATAATTTCACGTATTAAAATCATATTTTCCAGCAATGACTTCAAATTCGGAACCACACCCATATCACATTTTCTTCAATAACTCCAAACATGTGTAAACATTGACCATGTGCATATAAATTCAGATTTCACGAGCTCTTTCCTATTCGTGTACCTCATACACCCCTGCATGGATTTGAGTTGGATTCGCCTTTTATACGTGAGCCGACACACTCGCAAACGCTGATTGGATAAAGATTGCGAGAATCTTTAATCACTTGGTCCTCATTTCATGGGATTTTATCGTCGCTAATTCCGTGCCTGCATTAGGTCTTGTGATAATGTATCATATGAAATCCCATTTTGATCAAATTGGGTCGTGAATCGCTACGATGTCGTCAATGACAACGGAATCTGAATTTGAGTAATTTAGCAAGGGGACGCAAAACAAAGAATCTTATGGCCTAATTTAGAAAGACAATGGCATATGGTAATTACAGTGTCCGTTGTCCCGTATCTAATTTTGATCGGTTAAATTAAATACTTTATTTCGATGGTAGAACATTATTAACTGTACAATGAGTATAAAGACACTTTGATTGATTGTTGTTCCAAAGGAATTTAGTCTAGGTGCTCTATTAAACATACAGTTCATTAAAATCTAATTGAAGCGACGGTTATGTCCGCCATTTGTGACAACGGTATCTGACTTTACCGTTGCCAGACTATTCCTGGGTGATTTTGGAACTAGAAAACGGCAACTCCACGGAGTAGCAAATCCCAACGGACGGGCTGACTGACTGACTGACGGACAGACGGATGCAACTTTCAGAAGTGGGCGATTCGAGCGCAATCTTATACGCAAAACGCACAAAGGCAAACGCAAGTTTAAAGTTTAAATCAACATTCACACTGTTTTTGACATTGTTTGGTTGAATTTCGAATTCTTCCTCTTGAAATCTTCCATTAAACTACAACGTACTCTTCTATATGAAGGAATCGTGGATGATCCTGGTCTCATCTAATTTACAAGATCGCTCATACTGAGCAAGTCATCGCACACTGCTCAGAAACAATTGAATCTATATGATGGAACAAAAACGTATATTTTCATGGAATGACTTTAATTTCAAAAGATATTTTCGTTGTTGAAGTATGTATACTGTACGCCAACTAATATCCAAGACGCTATTACATTATTTATTATTTATTTATTCATTCATTTATTTAAGTGTCACCTATCTAAGATAGCCAGCCCTACCTATGAGACACATTTTACATAAGTTACATTAAAATAATAAAATTATTGCAGTTCAGTTCAACATTACTATTGATTTTGACTTTTAAATAAAACTTTTTTCCTTATATAGAATATTTTTTGCAAATACCTTCCAAAGCATTTAATATATTTTTTATTTTCAAAGATATCTTTAAAGGAATTGTTTTTGATTTCTTGAAGAAAAGACTTTCTCGCTTCTGAATAATATTAACACTCAAATACAAAGTTGCTTTCATTTTCAATTTCATTTGAGTTACAAATTTGGCACTGTCTTTGGTTTACTGGAGTTTTCGGTCTCCCCGTTTCTAATTGCTAAAGGAAGTATACCAGTTCTTAACTGAGCTATTAAAGAGCGTTCACCCCTTGTCAATGATGATGTAAGTAAATATTGTTCTCAATTTGGGTTGTGATTCAATGTCTATGCGTAATTTTTCTTGTAATTTTAACTTTAGTTCCCTCTTAACAAAGCTGATATTAACACATTGTTTCTGGTTATAATGATCATTCATCCCTAACTCATTGAAAATTGATTTTATATCTGAACACCATCCATAAGGTTGATTATAGTCAATATTAAATATTTTTTGGTGAGTCTATTATTTTCCATGAATGTGAACCTATTCCATAGACGCACAATATCTAGTGTTCTAGTGTCTTTCGGGGTAAGCCAGCCAGAATCGCTATATAGAGCAGGAGTTGA